GCTATTGATTAGTTTTGTTGCTACTCAGCTACTATTGACTACAGACTTCAATTTGACTATTGTGCCTCCAAGTGTCCGCTGTAGTCTGCTGTAGTCTGCTGTAGCCCGCTGTAGATCTATATAGTCTGAGTCACGGCTACATTAGGTACATAGAACTATGGTAGCTATGTAGTGCTACATAGCTCTCACCAGGGCTCCCACAAAATTTGTTTTTTCCTGATGTATCCTAATGGCATGACCTTCATCAGTGAATTCATGAGTCCATGATATTATAGCCGTGGGAACTACAACAGAATATAATTCTTCTCCTGGTAAATATGGCAATGTATACTGCGATAAATCTGAGTTGTTGGTACATAGCTATTAATCTCTCTAAATCTAGATTATTGTGAGGAGTTTATGATAAGGTTGTGATGCTGTAGCGTGCTGGCCAGCAAAAGATGGTAGTGTAAGTGTGTCCCTCTTAGTGAGCATTCTCATCTCCAATATTTATGATGTGAATTACATGGCTATTGAAGGCTTTTTCGTGGAAAGTGGTGTTCGCATTACTCGTCAAATCTAAATTAGCACACGAATTTGCGACAATGTTGCAACATTGCACCATCGCTACCTGCAAGGACTGGTAGCGTCAAGCGCGTACATTTTCCAAATGTTCTTATTTTCCTTTCGTTATATTTTGACTATAAGGTAATTTATGACTTTTTGATAGAATACGCATTTCACATGGATCAACCAGGCGTTGGCATTGGCGAATAAACGCATAGCTCCAATAGTTTTGGACATGGTGCGTTCAATATCACTACGATCTTACAAAGTAAGTCTGGTACATACTGAATTAGCAGAGGCTGAGACTCGGCAAGTAGATAAATTTTAAAGCTATGTATACATGAACTCTCAGAGTGGTGTGGCCCATGAATGAAATGAACTTCGATATTTACTACAGGTTGATGGCGTTGGGCGCGGTCAAGAGGTGCATATACTAGCACTGTGCATTTCATACTGCTTCACTGCCGCGTTGACCTGTGGCCGCCTCGTTCCCATACTAGTACTAGTACACTAGATACTCTGGCAGGATACCGTGACCAGTTCAGACAAGCCTGTCACCGTTCGCATCTGGCACACCTAGGACTGACCAGATGGTGGCAATGCTGCTGGCCTCTAGTTAGTAATGGTCCAACAAAAATACAACAGCCCTGCCCTGGACCTTCGTCCAATCAAAACTTTTCATAGAAAATGAGGTTTCTACAAAATACAGAACAGAACCTAAAAAAAATCATAAAGTACAGTAGCATTGAAAGCGATGTGTGAGGGTCAAGAGTAAAAAAGTAAAGCACACCTCTGAGGGAGTTGCGAAAACAAATAACAAGATAATATCAAAGTGATGATCAGCGTCCCAATGCCTAGGACCCAGAAACAGAACACCGTCATGAACCATTCCAATTGAATGTCATATACTCCTGCTGTGCTCGTGTCTCCTATGGGACTGATGGTTTGTTGCATACGGGCTTCTGCACCTGTTGAGGTAATGGCAGAGACTCGTGAAGTTAGGGATTTGAGATACGAGATACGTCATCAGGGGATGCTGAAACATATGGCATTTGTAGAGGAGATTATATTTGATGCGCAGGGAGCAGACAATGGTGGGGGCATGGGACTGGAGGTATGGGGACTCTGCGACATGGCGGGCATACTGGAGATGGCTATGTTTGGGAGGGAAGGAGGATGTGAGGCTGATGCGCTGGCCAACACTGGATATGGATATGGATGGGATTGCAGGTGGTTGCATGGAGTTGTGGGTTGGTCTCACCCCAATGTCGCGTCCTATTAAGAGAGTGAGTGACGGACTGTATTGAAGAGACAAGGAATACATACTTTACATCGATGCTGATCCGCAGCTGCTGCTAACCAGGTCAAGTTGACTTGTGTACAATCAACAAAATTGAACAGAGTAGTGCTTACTAAGAGAAGCGAGCGTCGGTCGGTGGCACGCCATGTGTCTGAAACTCCATACACACTCTAAAAAGCAAGAAAGTGAGATTGAGTGTGAACGGACTTTTGTTTCTCCTGTAATGGAATCAGATATTTTGCTGGTGGTAAGTTTGGTGAAGGGAGTTGGCTGATTGAGACGATGGGCTCTTTTGAATGAGAAGGAGGCAGTCTGACTCGGATAGTTCAGAGGCTTCTTGCTTTTGCAAGAGCTTTCGGGCCACTGTTGATTTACACAATAAACCATCATTTCTTGGAATGGTCTACGCACGCGATACCTGAACACCCCGAATGTTTGGTGAACTCAATCAGAGGCACCCAGCCTGGCAGAGGGTAGTGTTCATGCGAAGCTGGTTTCATCTTATTGGTGAGGTGCTTTGGAGTGCTGATTGGATGTTGAACATTAGCGGTATTCGTTCTTATAAATGTTAGTTTGACTGACCTTCTGCATGTTGAGCCGGGTAAAATTGAGGTACTAACTGTACTAGTAGTAGTACTGGTAGTTCAAGTTGGCCTGAAGAGAGCTTAGTCATCTTGAATGACGCACCCTCCCGCAACGCCCTAGGCTATGGCAAGTCTTAGGTAAGGTTGATATTTCGTTCTTCATCAGATAGTGTAGTGTGCTTTAGAACTCAAGGGTCAATATGAACACGAGGCGTGGAACGACTCTAATTATCTGAAGAAAAAAATAAGGACATCTATGTAAACGCGTTCAAGGGCATCCAAAAATTCTTTGGCCAGAGTTCTTGGCCAACTCCTGTATTCCTGCGCCAATCATCCTGCTGACCATTTTTGAAGTACTAGCGGCCCCTGCTAGACTCTTGATACTCTTAGCAAATAAGTCCCATCCGCTTGCATTTTGCAACCGAGAGCTTGCTCCAGCATTCATCATCAACGCGGCTTTCACTGAGTCAAGCTCGTTAATCACTTCAAGTCCCACAGATCGCGCCCACACCACCGGCTGTGCTGTAGGAGAGTAGACCTTGTGCAGCTTGTCGACCGCTGACATCACCTTGTGGTTCTCAAAATAGCATTCCCGCGCGTAGGGTATCAGAGCTGTAAACGAGCCTGAAGAGATGGTTAAAGGGCACTTCTCAATGAAGAAAGATGTGTCTCACCAATGTCTCCTCCGTGTCTCAGAGCTTGTATGATGCACCTTGATAGAGCATCGACGTCTCCCAGGCCCAGGTTTAAACCTTGTCCTGCTAGTGGATGGACGGTGTGTGCAGCATCACTGACTAAGACTGTGCAGCTTCCTGCGCCCTCCCCAATATAGGATTCAGCATGGTTGTAGCGAAGCGGAAAACTTGCTATGGTGCTCTGCTGAATTGATGTCACGAGGGGAGGAAGCGCATCCGCATCATCCGGGGGAATACCACCATCTGAAAGCATTGAAGTGGCAGATGCATACGCAGAGTGACTTGAAATGCTGTCCGAGCGTTCCCTGAACATGATTTCTTCATTTATCTCCTCGCTTGACTTAGCGCCTTCAAGAAGTTGTCTGTAGATATACTGGAGAGATGGCTCGGGGAGGCAGAAAGCGGCATTGATTAATTGTTCCAAAACTCCTGGAGATGATTTGTTCAGCGCTGCTGCCAAATGAGGTTTGGTCGACCATACAAGCGAAGAGGTGCAAGGAGAGAGCGGCAGGAATGCAATCGGACCTGTTGGGAGGAATCTCTGGTAAGCTGTGTTGTTGGGTACTTGGAATGGTCCTCGCAGCGCGTGATTTAGTGTTGCGACAACCGCTTGCGTGTCATATGACCATCCATATGATGAGATCCCAGTGAACGACCTTACTAGGGAGTTGAACCCGTCGGCGCCGACCAGCAGCCTTGCGCGTAGGGTGACGCCATTGGAAAGATGCACAAGAGGCAGTCATTGTGATCACCTGTCTCACATTGTATCGATTCGACTTTGACGCTGTGAATTACCTGGACACTCGGGGTATCCGACAGCTTTCTTAGCAGTGCGCATTGGAGGTTCAGGTTTTCTGTCATTCGAGCCATTTCACTCAACTCCGGTATTACAGATGCGTCAAAGGTGATGCGAGCACCGGAAACGCCGTCCCACACCTGATATGAGACAATTGAGCACTAAAGGATAATGTCACTCTGCAGAGACAGCACCTGCATCTGGTCAATAGGATTCGTGCGTGCATGTTCGACGTAGTCCCAAATTCCAATCCCTGAAACTAGTTAGCTATGACATCAAGCATCTTCACAAGGTACATGCACTGTTCAAGAAACGTTGAGACGTATGTGTGATGGAACTGACGCGGTTTGAGTATGCGTTGGGCGGCATGCCCCAATCTTGTATTTTGGACAAGTCCCCCCCCTTCTATTAGCGTGATTTTGAGTGAATTCTTGGCAATAGGGTTCGCAGCTGCGCATAATGCTCGAATAAGAGCGAGACGTGAGCAAAAAAAGCGATGCACCAAGGGCAGCTGCCAAAGCCAATCCTGCTGGCCCGCCTCCTACTATCACGATGTCATTGTCTCTCGCATGTTCAGGACTAAAAGATCTGAGAAATGGCCTCCATCGACATCCCAGACGCGCTGATGACCTTGGCTTTGCAAAAAAAGCCATGAAATAAATCACAAGTTTATGAGATTGAGTGTGTGACTGTGACAGGCGCCCATTATGTACACGCGCCAGCCAGCCTTTAATGTACCTTAAGTGACGGTCTTGTGATGGATGGAACACAACCGGATGATTTTGGACAATCCGGTCTACTGAGCATCCTTACAGTCTGTCTGAGTCTGAAGGAAAAAATTGCTAGAAAGTATCCATATCCTTACCATACCGCAGATGACGAACACGCATGAGCTTTCGAAGAATGATAATGAACATCAGTGAACTAAGAGAATCCTGAGAAAAATATATATTACATTGACGATCCAAAAGATGACTAGAAAACTGGTTGGAACAAACAAAATCAGGTACTATTACACCAATGTACATGACGAGATCTATAGCTGGAGAAAATAGGACATTTCTAGTGATCGTAACATGCTAGGATGAGCAACCCATCAATACAAAGCGTTCATCAGTGAGCAGTGCATCAAAATACGACCGTTTAGTGGGATCAAATTGAGAAATTTGATCTGTAAGGTATTCGAAGTATCGAGCATTGTCCAGAGTGTTAAGCTTGGCTTGTACGAAAACGCCTGTTTCATGTTGTCTTAAACCCCACCTACATGTTGTTCCTCCGAGAGAGAAAGCATTCGTGAGCCACAACTTCCACTTGTCTGAGCCATCGAAGATGTATTGACTGTATTGTTGCTCCAACAGCACAATTTCCAAAATATTGGTGATCGCGCGATTTGCAAGCGGTACCAGGAATGGCCGAATGGTCCCGTCTCCCACACGCAACTGACGCGAAAGGTCAAATCAGAAAGAGAACATTAAGGTCGACATACCTTCAAGAGTCTGTCAAGAAATGAATCGTTCAACAGCAAGGACTTGACCATGTCAATGTGGGCTGTTTCGATTGGTTGTCCCTCATGGTGTTCAACAATCGGCAATGCCAGTTTGTACGCGACAAAGACCACGAGGCGTCCGCACGCCATAAAATTGTTGAGGATGGTGGTGGGGACGCCCCTTAGCTTCTTTATTTCGCCTTTCGCATCAGCATGCTTTCTCCATTTACGGAGCTCCGCTGTTTTTCGTCGATGAGTCATGAGGCGAGGATATGGACAGGAAATTACCGTTTGCATATTGAGCGACTGCAGTATCGAGCACTTCATTCGTTAAATCCGTTAAAGTGTCATTGGTGGGGAAGAAGGTGTTCTCAAATGTAAGTCTCATCATGTTCGTGTAGGCCTGTGCCTTCACTTGTTCAATCAACTGCAGCAGTAAAACGATCATCTGAATGACTCGGATAGAGTCTGGTATAGACTGAGGCTGTACGACACCCGTACTACGTTTGGAGTTGGACTGTCGTCGGGATGCTACTGCCATGTAATAGTCATGCTGAGGCTTAAAATCTCTGGGCCCTCGGTTCAACTTCTGGTGAACGGAATCAAGCAGAAAGTCAAAAGGATGAGTTGGAACCTCAAGGGCCGAAAGCAGATTACTAGTAGCGTGTGACGACGAACCGACATGTCGTTGAGCATGGATTGGCCACAAGGGTAGATTTGGAAGGTTGGGGGGTAGGTTGGAAGGGTTTTGGAATACTGGAGTTTGTACTGGCCATTCAGGCTGCTGCTGGCTGTCGCCGGCATTGTAGTTGTAGGGATTGTTGACAACATTCAAGTTAACGTTGTAGGGGTCTGTGGCGTGATTGTGATTGTAAGATTGTCTGTGGTCGTAGCCATAGTTGTCATGATCACAATGTTGTAGCGGGACACCAGAATTCAATGCGTTCAAGTCGTGATGGGTGAGATTGGCTGCTGTAAAAGAATCGAAACTGGGGTGACTGCCGCCCATAGGTTGCTGGGCGGCAGCAGTCAATCGTCTGGAAAATTCTTCCCACTGTTGATAATGATGATCCATGTTTCAACTGCCGTTAGCTACTACTAGTAGTACTAGGCTAATTGAATCAGTAACATTCGCAATAAGCATAAACGCGTGACATACCTTTGAGTTTGGAATGCGATAGCCTGGTAGCGTAGAGGTTTTTCGACAGAATGGAGGCGAGAACCTGAGTGTACTACTACTAGCAGTGAATGACCGTGTTGTTGCAGCCAAGCAGTCAGGCTGTGCTTGAAGCTGCATCTCCATTGGCTGGCTGACGCCGTCAATATCAGTCCTATCCTGGTTATTTAGTCAAAGATCTAGTACACGAGTCTTACCTTTACGTCGCTATTCAGTACGTGCTACTGAGGCTCCTGACGCAGTTGAAATAAGTTGCGAAGCGTGATTATTTGTAAATTAAAGCATTGACTAAAAAAGGCAGGTCATACAGATTCGATCCGATCATCCCATTTACCTATTATGGAGGGTATTTTTCACACTCGTTCTCACAGGATTACGCGATGATCACGTTTCCCTTCTAGGTCTCTAGGATGCTGGACTACAACCAAAATGAGAAATCGTTGTTCTGGGATCAATTTGGGATATACCCTACACCGTCTGTTGCGGATAACTTTAGTACTACAAAGAGGAGAACAAATGAGGAATCGGACATAATACGGCCCGTGACGAGATATCTACAGCCAGCAAGAAGTTCTACAGGTCGCAAAAGTTCCATAAATAGAAAAACTTTATCGTAAGGGCGTAGTAGTACAATTACAGCCCAAACATGCCATCTGTTACGCAAGATCAATACGAGTTCGGTAATAGAAAATCAATTTCATAATCACTTCAGCGGTGGGACTCCGTACATTTCACTGCGCTTTTACACACGGGCCGAGACCCTGACTTGCTAGAGCGGTCTTCATCCGAAAGTATGGCGCTTGCATCCGAGTTTGTTGGGCTTGCAGGCAAGCGACCCTCATCACCTGCTTGTGAATCCTGCCCACGAGCACTGACCTCAAAGGTGTCTTCATCACTCGTGGGCAGATAGTGATCACGAGCAAGAAATTCGAGGTGATCAAGCTGTTCGTCAGTAGTGATGAAAGATGTCCTATCCTGACTATACGCCGCAATGCTGAAGGCTGTGCGAGTTTTGAGCTCCTCCATGCTATAATTGGCAAGTGATTCTAACGAGATGGCTAGAGGTTCTTTCAAGGCATTGGCAAGGCAAGCAGCTTCATCCTCGAGAAGTATCTGAACAAGCCTTGTGTGTCGCTGAGAAACTTCAATTTCCCAAGCGGAGGCTAAGGCACGCAATCGCTTCCATTCAAGATCAGCTTCCTTTGTGAGGACTGCTTGAGCAACAGCCTCAGAAGACATGTTTCTCAAGCCATGCTCCACTAGACCTTTGCCCTGGTACAATGTTTGTCAATCAATGTTTCGGCCGTCACATAAATAATAAACATACACTCTCAACATCTACTGGTACCATATCAGAGGGTCCAATATACCTTTCAGCGAAGCGGAGCTCCAACGTTCTGGGATGTCTCCGATAGCCAGAGGGATTGTCCAAACGTTTCGCCTTTGTACGCTTTACAACAAAAGACAAATAGCTGATTATGGGGGGAAGGGATGCGGGTGCATTGATATTGTCATCCTTGGTCTTAGAAGATGATGGTGATAACGACCTGTGACGTTTGATGGGTTTGGTTGGTGAAAAATCTTGAGTTCTGCGGAGAGGTTGAGTCATAGGCCTGCCTTGCTGGAGTGTCTTCAGAGAAAGGCCCGTAAAATTGTGACTGGGCCTACCCCTGGCCTCCGGGTCATTGACATGATGGTCAGGACTAGAGCCTCTAGTAGAGCTCGGAGGAGGTGTAAGACAAGGGTGCATGATGAGTATGTGTTAGGTGACCTTGCCCTGGTGATGGAAAACAAACTATGGGAGGCGAACTGGTCTAAAAATGCTTATGAAGACCTTTATGACATGCCTACTAATGGGATATTAATATGATACGGAAGGGACATAATCACCCAAAAAAGCTGAAGGGTTAGTTTAGGCAATTCTGACACTCCGTAGTATGTAGGTAACACGCACCGCAGTGAATTAAACCTTGTCACCCATTTGGGAATAAATTGGGTTCTGATCACACCCTATAGTAGGAAAGTTGGACTCAGTAGTAACATCATGGGAGTTCAAGCACTGCCAGTAGTGGAATGATGGGCTACCATGACTCAGTACTCAGTACTCAGATCCAGTTTACATGAACTTCGGGTTTGTTATCATGGAGTGACCCGAAACTTGGAGTTGCTGCTACTACTAAACAGATCTAGAGTGAGTACTTTTTCCCAGGGAGTAGGAAGCAACGTTGCTGAGTTGTGAAAGTGCTTCGAAGCGAAGATTTTTTGCAGGAAAGTGTCCAGATAAGGCAATATTGTAGTAGTATGCCAAATTGCCAATTACCATATGTACGAGCAACCGTGGTCTGTGGCTTGATCAACAGTCATCAACTTGAAGTTGCAAAAAATCATAAGTACTTCGACAGTCGACTCATCGACCCTATGGCGGCCTGAGCTGAAGCTAACAATTAGTATTCATGCAGCTCTCAGAATCTTTCTCTATCCTGCTTCTGTTGTTTGCAATGGTATCTTGTGGTGCTCTTGGTTGCTCTTGGGAGAAAACAACAGACAATCGAGGCCTTAGTAGGCACTGCGCAAGTTGCCATCTTTTTAAAAGGTCTACCATCCTTGCAATGCAGAAGAGACAACAACGAGCGAGAGACACAACATTAGGAACCTTAGTTCCAAAATTTGCCCAGTCAGTGAACACCTCGCGAGTGAGTAATCCTCCTACTTTGAATGGGAACCCGAGTCTCGGCGAGACCTCAACAGACTCGGAAGTACTGTCACTACCATACAATATTTTACAACTTGTTTTAACAGAGAATCGCACCAGTGAGGTCCCATGTTACAAGGGCTCGTCCAAGACCAATTGCCGCTTGCAAACCCCTAGCGAACCCTGCTCGGGTGTCGTTATCCAATGCCCCCGGCGGGCTCACTCAGCTTGCTGCTTTGCACCACCCTCTTGATTTGGACTCAGCACATGGACAACACCTTGACTATGTTGAAGTTGCGATGGACTTGGAAGACTCCAACTTTGATATTGGATCTGACTACGATAACTTGCGTTCGTACTTCATTGTTGCTGCATCTGATGTCTGCTAAACACATGACTATTTTAGAAGAACCAGTGCTTCTACGAAGGAGATGCATTCCGAGGCCTTTTGATGATATCCCGTGTTCGGTCGAGGATCTTAACGGCTCCATTAACGCCCCATCACTCCCAGCCCAATCTAGAATCAAACGGGTACTTTTAACTCTAAGAGACTCGCTCCAGACTGTGTTCAGTTCGATTGGAATCTGCTGGCTATATCCCCGCCATCCTTCCTTTGAGCCCAATACATACATTCCGTCTTCGTTACTCGTGAGATCATGTCCAACAGTTTTCTCCCCAGCAACAGATTCACCACCGGTAGCCTTACCTCCACCCTACCCCTTTCCTAACATGACCGTTTATCACCTCATGTCCTGGATGAACTCAGGGAGCCACCAAAAATTGGAAACTGAGGTTCAGCGCCTGGTCAGAGATATCCTACAAGCAGACAATTTCGACATCAAGGATCTTGAGGGGTTCTCTGTGAGGAGAAGCTTGCGAGAATTGGACACGGCCGAGGGTGTGGAGAAGGTCAGTTTCCCAGACGATTGGATTGAAACAGATGTCACCATCGATATTCCAATGAAGTCGAAGGAAGAAGGACCCAAGGCATATACTATCCCTGGATTTCATTATCGTCCTCTTGTCGAAGTAATTCGCGCAGCATTTTCAGATGTCCAAGCCGACGCATTTCATCTGTTACTTTTTAAATGGCTATGGAAGGATCCTTTGGACGACACTCAGGAGCGATTATTGGATGAACTCTACATGTCTGATGCCTGGCTGGAGGCTTAGGACAATCTCCAGAAGCTGCCGAAAGAGCCTGGTTGTTCATTGGAACGTGTCATAGCGGGTCTCATGTTTTTTTCTGATGCCATGCACCTAGCAAACTTTGGAACGGCCAAGGCTTGGCCACTTTACCTGTATTTTGGAAATCTTACAAAGTACACGCGATCATTGCCTCAATCAGGAGCATGCCATCTAGTCGGATTTCTGCCCTCGGTGAGTCCTCTTGATTGCTCTAGCCCCAACGATGTCTCAATGGTTCTTGTCAGCTTCCTGACAGCATCAAGGATATGCTGAGTGGCCTGTCTCGCATATCAAAGACTGGCATGATGTCGCTTCACACCCACTGTCGCAGGGAACTGTTTCAAGCGTGCTGGGGCATAATGCTTGATGAAGACTTTCTTGACGCATATCGACATGGTATTGTTTTGAAATGTGCTGATGGAGTGTTGCGGAGGATATTTCCCCGAATCTTCACCTATTCAGCTGATTATCCGGAGAAGTACTGCCCTCCTTCGCCTCAGTCAAAACTGTTGGATTACTCATAAATTTCTAGGGTTTTAATTGTGACTATGAAAGATATGGGCTTATGTGCATGTCCTCAGGTGTCTCACGCCGAAAAGCCTCTTTGGTTCTCTTGGTCTGTTAGAGGATATGAAAAGTCGTCTATACAATCTCCGAGTGTACGCTATTGCAATCAAGAGGTACCCGCTCGGGAAATGCCGAACATAAGGCAGGGAGGGGGGGGGACCCCCAGAGGTCCTTATTTGCGTAACCTTGGGGGGTGTCAAAACAGCTCCTGTTAGGTTCAAACACCAGTCTGAGCATCAAATGTATATTACTGTATCAAATATAGATTGTCTTAGATTGCGGAACATGATAACAGACGATAATTGAGCTGATTGAGACTTGATCGGGACCTAAACGCACACCCTGAACACCCAGCATGTCAAAGAAAAAAGCAAAGGTGTCCCAGCCAGCCATACGAAATAATCTCTCTCGTGGAACGAGTCCTCTGAACCTAATTTTATCAGGATGTTAATGCTTCTCGGAATCGCACTTCTTGCAACCGGGATGTGAACATCGGTCTCAGAGGCGAGGCCAATTGGAAAGCTCATACTGAGAGTCTTGAGCATCGGAAAAACACCAGTGCAGTTCAGAACAATCGAATGCTCACCTTTTTTTTCCAGCCAAAAAGTGTAAGTATGCAATCAGTTGCTGTTGCTGGCCCTGCAAAAGCTTGGCAGCCCGTAACTGGCACTGGTGAGGCAGAAATTGCCAAACTCAGTGCTGCACAAGCAAGCAAACAGCTGCCATCGTGCAGTGATAATGTCATTGACATTGAAGCATGAGAACCGGCGAATAAGCAAAACCTCGTCTCACCATCAAGATTCGTCCCTCAGCAGCACACGTCAGCTCGGTTCAAGTGAAGAATCGTGTCATTCCAGACTCAGATGCAGACACTCAGCCTGATGACCCATTGCAAGATGAATTTTGCTGGTGTCGAGGGCCGGAGTCCGGAGAAATGGTCCAATGCAGCTTTGATAGCTGTAATGAATGGGTACATGTCTTGTTTCGATGTGCTTCTATCACCGTGGCTGATTCCGTTCCGTTTGGGATACTAGTTTCATTTCGAATGTGTTGGTTTGCTTGATGCTCCAGAGGCAGATTTGTTCTGCAGTGACATGTGCAGGAGCAACACCAGCTCTCAGAAGAAGACAAAGTGATGTTTTTTAAATCTAAAAGTCATATATACGATGCCTAGGTTGTTTGGCAATACATTGTTCGTCGCTCGTCCGCTGTTGGTGCCGCAGAACTTACCAAATTTGGTATACCCCTGGGCGTGGGAAATTCCCACGGGAGGGGGGGAGGGTCTGGGAGGGTCTTAATGGTGTAAGGTGGCCTCATGTACATTTTTTCCTGAGCGGGTACCTCTTGATTGCAATGGTTGTCAGGGCTCGTGAGTATATCTACAATGAGGGAAATACTGTAGACGGTTCAAAGGTTGAATGCACCCTTGGATATGGTTCATGGGTACCTACTATAGTAAGTGCAAACGATTCCTTATGGTTTGTGATAAGCTCATACAAAACTACTCGTAGAATCGATTTGCTGAGAAGCTTGGCTCGCTCGGCCTAGACCCATTCTGCATGCTCGTTGTTGACTTCATGCATGAATGCGAATTGGGTATGTGGAAGGCACTCTTTACTCACCTTATCAGGCTTCTTTACGCCCTTCCTGGGGGTAGCCAGCTGGTTGCTAAACTCGACACCAGGTACACAGGTTGTTGTTACCTACCTACTAACAAGAATTAATTTGCAATCTCATTGTAGGTTTCGCCAGGTTCCGACTTTTGGTAATGGCATAATTCAAAAGTTCGCTAACAATACCTCGGAGATGAAAAGATTAGCCACATGCGACTTTGAGGATATCTTACAAGTTTTTGTGCTATCTGTTGTTCTGTATCAAGCTTGCTGATGTGCTCTCCATTGTTAGTGTGCTATTCCGGTTTTCGAAGGACTATTCCCCCCCGACCACGATACGGCTGTGCAGTCCTTGCTATACCAATTTGCACAGTGGCATGCGCTCGCTAAACTCAGGATACACTCAGATTCTACCATAACTTTTCTTGAAGAGACGTTCAAAACTCTCTCTCAGAAGCTTCACAAGTTTTGACGCGATACCTGTGCTGCCTTCAATACAGTGGAATTGCCAAAAGAGAAGGCAGCTCGCCAATGAAGGTCTGCTCAATGCTCCGAAACTAATACCATCTCTCTAGAATCAAACAGGCTGAGGGTCAAGATGTTCAATTTGAGCACGTACAAATTTCATGCAATGGCAGATTATGTGAGAACCATTAGGCTCTTCGGAACCACGGATTCTTTCATGACTCAAATGGTAAGCACCTGATACGTTCCCGCTGTCTACATGAAGTTAAGTTTGGTTAGGGGGAGCTCGCTCATAGAGCTCTGAAAGCCTTTTATCCGCTGACAAGCAAGTTAGATACACCAGCGCAGTTGGCCAAGCATGAGCGTAGGCGTCGCGTACTCCGTCGGGTGGCAGAAGCAGGAGGTATAGCACCCTCTAATATTCAATCACCTGCCAATGTCCTCCCTTCAATGTCGGATGGAATTCATCACCAAATCGCAACCAATCAGAGCAATCCAGTCGATCTATTCGCATTCCTTCGAGAAAACAATGGTGATCCAGCTGTTAAGGTAAATGTCTCGTTGCAGTAGGTATTCACCTTCATTTTCTCACGATGGTTGTTAGAATTTTATACCAAAATTCAAGGACCATGTCCTTTACAGGCTGCGGAAACTAGATATTACCTATTGCGACCACACATTCACGGACGAAGAACACAACTCGGTGATCATTCCTAACAACACGATCTATGCAGTCCAGACAATGCAGGTTCACTACACCACATATGACCTCAGACGTGAATATGACACCATCAACCCTCGGACGCATGCTGACATTATGGTGCTTTCTGGCGAGATGACGCCTAGCCATCCATACTGGTATGCCCGCGTATTGGGCATCTATCACTTGGAAACATGGATCCACGATGACGGTCGACCTGTGAAGCAACATCTTGAAGTTCTCTGGGTCAGATGGTTAGCACCACTGCAGAACTATGAATCTGGCATAAGACATGCTCGTCTTCCCAAGGTTGCATTTGTCGAAGAATCGGACCCTGATGTGTTTGGGTTTCTTGATCCCAGGCAGGTAGTTCAAGGAGCTCATCTAATTCCCGTGTTTGCGTCGGGACATGGTACAAGCTCCCTTCACTATGGCAAATCATTGGCGCGTCCCGAGGGGGGGCTAGATGATTGGGATGAGCACTATGTTGGGATGTGAGTGTATAACTTTTCCTATGACGTATTAACGCTCGCCTTTTGGGACAGATTCATCGATCACGATATGTTTATGCGGTATACCCATTTTGGTGTCGGGCATCCGGTAATGCTGTGGAGGATGATCAGAGACTGCGAGTCACTGGCACCAGCTAATGCCATGGATGTTGTAGACGGAGAGGACAGTAATAGTGAGGATCACAGGGAGGACGATGATGAACAGGAAGTGGGCGATGATGAACAGGAGGAAACTGATGATGAGTTTAGTGACGAGGAGCCGGAGGATGATGAGGAGGGGGATGGAGAGGATGATGAGGGCGACGATAATGGAGAGCATGAGTTTGACGACCTTTCTTTTTGAACGAATTGCTCCACTGACTCCAAGCCTGGACTCTCCTTTTAGCTTTGAGGGTTCTTTCAAGTTAGCTGCTATCATGAACATTGGGGTCTTTCGACCGGCAATAATCATTCACTCCTTTCTCCTGGTGATACTACTACTAAGCAGTTATAGACGTCTTCCAATACTTCAAATACTGTGACCACGAAATTTAAACTAAAGATGTCTATTTCACTAGGTATATAAAGATATCCGATACAATTTGGATTTAACAACATGCATATTGTACTATGTAACTCATACATACTAATACTAAGTGGAGTGCCTACTAGTACTAGTGCTACTGCAATTTACGTTGTCCTGTGGGAATGTCTCACTTGCAACTCCCTCATGCCACGTCCTGCTTACTATTCACGGTATATCTACGCAGCCGTCTGGTCTTGCTGCGGGCCTTTACTTCTGGCAGGTTGGAAAGACTCGGCAGGGGGATGCAGTGATAGCGCCAGTAAGTCAACGATATCATTATCAATCATTGGAAATCACCTTGGACGTCGCAGGAACTGTTACTGCTACCTTTGATAGTCACGGTGGCATCTCTCATCCTCCCCGCAGAATGCTCGGCATCATGCTTCAGAAAGGTGTGGTTTGCCCGAACTCTCTTACTATTGTGCTCAATCGAGAGAAGGTGAAGATGAATATTACGAGCTCCTACTACTACTGTGCGACTGCGATCTTGGGCTTCAGCAAAAAGATACACACCAATGTCAGTACTCTCGGATGATCAGAAGCGCAATCTGCAGCTCACTATTGGACTTGTTGGAGGTTCCAGGATTGTCCTTGTGGATGAGTATACATCCAGCGTCGATCTATCATCCCGCCGGGCGTTGTGGAGGACTTTGATGTCTGTTCACCTTGACCAGATCAATTTACCACTCGTTTGTTGGACGAAGCTGATTTGTTGGTCGATAACATAGTCATTTTGGCCATGCCAGGCCGCAAGCTGGCAGCCGAGTGCAGCACTCCTGTTGTTCTCACATCAAACCTCAGGCAGAGATACATGTCCAAGTCATGTTCAAGTTCCCCGATTTGACTGAGGACCTTTCAAAAGCACCCTCCGAAACTTTGGACAGGATTCACTAAGTTTGCCATCAGCACTCTCCTCGCAGAGCCAGGCGTCATATCACCTCAAGTCGAAGGATTCCATTGTTTTGAAGGTCTTCCAGCTGTTGGATAAGGAGCACAACGCTCTCCACGTTGCGTCCTGCGATGTGTTGAGTGCTATTGCCCTCATCGGTGAGCCCTTAAACTGCAGACGCATGGGATGGCTGACATGAACACATGCAGGTAACCCCTCCATTGTTCTCATTACTGAGTTCTCTATGGGAACACATGCGAAGATGAATAGAGACATGTGAGCAAGGCTCTCTGAAATGTAGCTGATGGCAAAAGAAATTGGTATCACAACGTGTACCTTTTCTTTGAAATCTTCCTAAGCTTGCCTCTAGTAATTTCAGCACGTCAACGGTGGCTATCTAGATTCCACAGATGAACTTCAGCTCCGGAAAACAAGGTCTCTTGGGTAAGCACATCGTTCGCTATGATATCTGCGTTTTTTGAGCTATTCCGAACTCAAGGTCACTCATATTAAAATAACTTGGTTTCAGTGTGTTTCCCGAAAGGTACCTTTCAAATTGGCGGGCTCTTAAATCGGTAGTGAACCCTCCGTCTTCTGTTTTTAGTGATGGGCCTTATGAAAATGACCCATGCGTACTACATACGGAAGCCTTATGTCTGCCTTCTACATATAGAAGTTTTATATACGTACAATAAATATATAGAAGCCCCATGAATGTACGGAAGCCATGCGTGCCTTCTACATATGGAAGCCTTACGCGTACCTACTATGTATGGAGTACTAGGCACGGGTCATTTTCATAAGGCTCATCCGCCCCAAAGTTTGTTTCCGGTGACCTCAACAACTTCCGACTGAAGGCTCCCCACTGACACATGGACATGCACACCTGTCTTATACCTCTTCCGAGCTCTATGATCACAGTTTGTAACAGGCCTTTTCATATGACGAAACTCCAGCAAGACAGCGCTACTACAGCATTTAGGTATTTTTTTGCATTGGCTACTAGCAGTACTAGTGACATTATTATGCTAACTTTTTGATACGTCCCCTTATAGGTACTATGTGTTTTTAAGTAATTACTAATTACTTTTGCCGACGCTGAACCTGCCAAAGGACAGCCATCATATAAAGCAGACACTGCATGAAGTCAGTCTTATCCATATCCTGTCCTCTGGTTTATCTTCTTCTCTTACTCACTGTAAATGATCATGTCTCAGGTAGAGGGCGGCTCACAACCTTCAGCAACACCCGAAGCTTCCGAGTCGGCGGCAACGTCCTCAGCGGTGGTGACATCCGACAGTGCTCGACAGAGGCGGAAAATTGCATTATTAGAGGAGAAACTGCAAGTTCTCGAGTCCGGACGTAGGGTGAAACAAAGGTATGTGCGCCTTGAAGTCCTTTAGATTGGCTCACCATGATTGCCACCAGCAGGGAGACCAACTACTTTATGTCGCAGGGAAGAGCCATCAGATGAATAGTGTCATTGTTTGACAACATTGAAGATTTAATAACTGAGAACGACAGGAGATGCGACGATGGAGACGATGAGGTAACCATTGAGTAAGTCCTGAGTCCATCCCCACATCATGAACGCTACTTACGGGTCTGTCAATCACAGTCAGGTTCATTTGCAAATGGGGTATATCATCCTTAACAACTTCCTCCCGTGGTTTCACCCAAAGTGTTCAGCCATGGAGTACGAGGATTCCGTGCAAATGTTAAAAAAGGTATGCTTCAGTAGTATAAATAGTTGACTTTCTGTTGAGTCATTATGTAGCTTAGGCAGGGGGCCGATAGTGCTCGTGGAGACGACACTTCAAAGCTCAAGAGCCTTGTCCCAGATTGGGTCAATCGCGCATTCAAACCCAATCCGCCAGTCGACCACGAGGATAAGTACAGCCATGGATTTGTTAATGACGCGTGTGGAAAATTACTCTGTCCAACCGAGTTGGACTGGAATAACCCTACGTAAGTGTTATTGTACTCAGGACCTTATTATGCCTCACTAACTACCTGCTAGTATCAGAGCGGGAATTAGGGATCGCGCTGATGGTTATATCGTGACAGAAATGTCCTGGCCAACATTCCTGTATGAAAGATACACTGCCGATGAGAATAATCTGGAGGAGGGTCTCTTCAAAAGTGCCCTTTTGGTCCAGGTGCGTCATACTTAAGTAGCTCGACGAAAATCTGACTTTCGGCAGGCCTTCAAGTCTATATTCACTTCTCCCTCTTCTGCAAAGAGATTGACGGTGAAGGCGATGGTGCTGATATTATTGAAAACAATAGACGCGCTCAAAGGCAGTTTTCCGGCAAAAAAGTCAAGACCCATGTGGCGCAAATCATTAAGATGCATAAGGTTTCGCCGCGCTCAATCGCATATGTAGCGTGCCAAGTAAGTGATTTTGTTCTTCATTTGATTTCTGACAACGTTATATTATGCTCACAGTTACGATTTGCACTTTCGTCCATGACTTCATGGCGCTCAGTCGATGGTGACTTCGATTATGTACAATTCTGGTATCACATTGTAGACTTTTTCGAGAAAGCCCCTGGCCGAGTAGCCCAGCAAAAAGTTGACTGACTCCTTGCATGGTGGACAAGGTACACTATTTCTAGTTTCAACGCTCCCCAACTGACTCAGATTTCTGTTTACTAGGAAGGTCTTTGGAACAAGTCATCGTGCAGAACTCAGCGATGCAGCCAAGTCTAGCATGTCCATAAACGCTCTCGCAAGGCGGAGGGCGCAAGAGGATGATGCCCTCTTCGATTCCGAATAGTCGGACTCTCGTTTTTAACTATATTACATTAGTGACTTGCTGTTTTAATGTCATGGTTTAACCATCTTTTGCTTGATTACAAGCCCGGGTAGATGATCTAAACAACAATCGAGTTTTATTGGTATCCATACAATCATTTGAGATCTTGTGAACCTCATGGACAGAATTGAGGAAATGCAACGCGACTTGTATTCTTAGTCTGCATCCCAATCGCATAGAAAAAAGCATACAACTGTGAAGTAACAAAATACGGCTTCAATAGTGGTGATATCTGCATCATCTTGTTCTCATGGGCATCTCAGGCGGAAAGCACAGATGCACGAAGTAACAAAATACAGCGCAAGAATGGTGATATCTCTACCTTCAAGTTCCCAAGACCATCTTAGGGCAAAATGCACAGAAGCGCAAGGTGACAAAATTCAGCTCAATAGCGCTGATATCTGCACCTTTCAATTCTTACGAGCATCTCAGACAGAAACCACGGACGTGCGAGGTAATAAAATCGAAGCGCGAGTAGGGAAATATCTGTATCCTTCAGATCCAAAGACCATCTCGGAGCATCAAGCAGAGACGTGCGAAGTAACAAAATCCAGCTTGACAGTGGTAATGTCTGCACCGTCTAATTCTCACAACCAGTTCACAGCGAAAAGCAAGGAAGTGCGAAGTCACAAAATACAGCTCAGCAGCAGTGATATCTGCATCTTCCAGCCTTCCTGAACAGCAAGCATAGACATTTAATGTCACAAAATACAGTGATAATGGTGATATCTGTATATTCTAGTTCCCATGGCCATCTCATTGTGAAAGCTGGGGATTACCCAACAATAGCATAATTGTTAGGATTGGCAAATGGTATCGCTGGCTTGCCGGATGGCATGGAAAACAATTACTAAATTAAGGTGCTAGAACAAACAACCTTACTGACAATGTGCGGTGACAGTATTCAAGTCTGGAACTGCAAAACGACAGTAACTGTATAATATATTGAAATCATAGCTTTGCTGATGGCATGTAGAATAGTCTGGATGTTCTCACTTTCTAACCACGCAAAAAATTATTAGTGAAGTAAGGCATAAAATACACAATTTCACTGACAATGGCAAAATAGACAGGACATATACCAGATGGTAAGTAGAGCACCAATGTGAACCGTAAGCCTCTGCTTTCGAGTCTCTAGCCAAGTGACTGTGCTGTGACAAAGCAGCGGCTATGCAAAGCGCAAGCAATCTTGTGAGAATTAGCCAATGATATCCACCTCACCAAAACTGCATATTCAGAGCAGACGGGCGAAAAATCAGAAGTAGGATGCAAATGAGTTTTAAGATGATCGTTGCACAAATTGCTGCCCATGAGAAGTTAGAACAACTTTATGGAATAGCTGATAGTGCCTCACAAAGATTCATAATATACATTCAAAGCAGCCAGTCCGAAGAACTAAATCAGTATCTAATACAGATCTCTCTCGATCGGTGCACATACCAATAGTATCTGCAAGGTATGGCCATTAGCTCTTATCTTAGCCATTGCAGACCTTGTTCTGGATGCGGCAGCCACATTTCATTGAGACGGACCATCAGCTTTTGTCCCATCTAACCCTCGATCTTGAGTTTAGGTGATCCGTGAGTCTTTGGCAGGTTAAAAAACTGTCCACATCAATTGAAAACTCTGCTTTCCTGTATAAAGTCAAATATTACAATGTAACAGTTGGTAGCAGAATTATTCAGATGTTGGTGTTTGTGTACTATATATGGTGATATATGTCTTTCTCAAAATTCCTCCGGTTCACTGATGTTGCAGTGGCTCTAGGCCAGCATTCTTGGCTGCCTCCGCAAGGCGCGCTATAAACCTTGTCTTTGTGAGAGGACAGTGAGAATTTCCGAACTTGTATGAAAAAAGGGCTTGGTCCTGTGGGGGGTTATTGACACTCAAGTGGTTGGATAGCGCCATGCTTGGGTCTGTTGGGCCGTGCTGCTTGGCCCAGAAGACGTCTTCGCCGTTGAGCTGTGACGATTTCGTGCGAGGAATGTGGAAAACAGTGGCGGCGAGACCGTTGCGATTGGTCTCCGTGCGAATGTCGGAGCGCTTGACGTGAATTGCTGGGTTGAAGGCCGAAAGGTTGGGGATTGTGAACTCCCCAGCCCTGGCTATGGAGTAGAATGCCGTCGTTAGGCAACTTCCCACTGCGGCGTCAAGCGGGTCTTTGGGATCTAAGTTCTGTAAGAGACTGGTGATGAATTCAATGGTGTAAGGTTGACGCTTCTTCCGCTTTGAGGTTTGAGGAGAAAGGTTCTTGGCGGCCTTGAGCATTGTGACGATTTGGTTGTCACTTACTGAGTCCGGCCATCTCTGCCTGTGCAATATGTGCCATGTGCGGATGCTGTGGACGTAGTTGCATATGGTGCTGCCTGAGTAGAATCCCGCTAGGTCGGAAATGAATGCTGAAATTAAGTTAGGGGATGCGGGAGCTTGTGAAGCTTCATTGATTAGCTTTGAATCGCAGTACACGTGGAATGCGAGAATGCCACTACCATAGGCCTCCTGGGTGCTTCCAGCCCACGCAAAAATCATAACGTCCTGGATGCGTTGTGTGTCCGCGTGCAGGAGGGGGGAAGCCGCTGATTTTGAACTTGCTGGACGCCAGAGGCGGAGGCGCTCTTTTGCTGCACAGTGAGGGCGCAGTGAAGAGACTTGTGGTGTGAGATTAGCCGGGTAGGCCATGGCTGGGTGTGTCAAATTGAAAGGGTGAGGTTTGAAAACTATTGGTCTGGACTTACTAAGCTTGCGCCGCTTTGAAGAGTTCTTCTCCTTGGCGCCAGAACTCATCATTGACGTTGGTGCGATGATGCGGCTCGGCGCCAGTGCCTGATGTCATTTCGGTGCGTGTACTGCGAGGCCTGCGTTCAGAAGGGAGCGCGGGACTGTCAAAATCGACGATGAACTTGCAGAGTGGGGCGGGGATGGGAATGTGAGGGAGGAGGAGAGACAAAGGGGGGTAGATACCCCTGGATGGGTCGTCTGCGGGGTTGTATGCACTGGGCACGTACTGGGTGAGAAATGAGCATTGCAAAAATGCCGTGAGCTTGTGGATTCGCTTGAAGACTGTATTGGTTGCCTTGTTGCGACTCCGTCCCTTCCACCAGCCTTCGACGACTCCGCGATTGTTGCCGAAAATCTTGATGCATTTGCCTTCTGGGCAGTGAGCAGTAAGGGATAGGATGAGGAACTCCATCCCAACTGCCTCTGCCCATCCGATGTCCCGATCGTCGGCTTTCCACCCAGGGATGAGGCGCCAGGCACGCCATCTGCCACTGATCCATATCGCGACGCCAATGCCTGAACTAGCGTCTGAGTAAGCCGCGGGTTCAAGGACTTCGATGGGTCCAGGAATGGGATGGGAGACGATGGGATGAGCGAGGCAGGCTTTCCACCAGTGGAGGTCTTCGGCTGTGTGTTTGGGAGGGGTACGTGGCATGTGTGGACGGTCACGAAAGATGGAAACATGGATTCCAGGGAGACGAGGTAAGCCCGTCCTGCAGGTAGGACCAGGGAAGCGTGTAGCAGCTTTCCATATAGCTGCTGAGCTTCTTGCAGGGTGTGAGTGGGCTGGGCCTCCCATTCCTGGATGGCCGCCAGGTATTTTTCCTTCTTTTTCTGTGGGATTGACACTGTGCGCGTTGCCAAATCCCACAGAAACCCGATGAACGGCGCACAGGAGGAGAAGATGATGTCTTTCGCCAGCTCCCACGGAATTCCGAGGAGTTTGGATAAGCGGTTGATGTCGTCGAAGCAGTAGGTGAACAGGGCGTCTTCAGGGGAGCGTGGTGATGTGGAGGATAGGTCCAGGATGGGGAAGGCCAGGTCTTCGTCATATTCTTTTACCCAGCCATTCGGCATGGTGGATCCCTGATACCACTTTCGACCCCCGTCGACCAGTAAGCCACCGTTCTGCGCGATGATGGCTGCACGCGATTTCCGTAGGGCATTGTAACTATCCAGATGTTCATGAAGGATGCGCACAAAGAAGTGATCATCCACCCACTTAGATATTGGACCCATGCCCTGGGATCTGAAGATATCGGTGCCGGCATCTGCCACTTCGCCGTAGGTGCCTGCTGATGATGAGAAGCCGAAACAGAAACTCGAGTCAATTGCAAAACTGTCGGTTCTAGTTCTGACAACCATTCCTGGCCATTGAGATGGGTGAAGTGGGATGGTTTGGTATGCCTCGGCGACGTCGCGCACAGCTGCTTGTGAGCCCGGCAGGAGAGACCAGATAAGAAGGCAGATAGTTGCCGCTGTTCCCCATGTGCAAGGATATAAGTCTGAGTCGATTGATGAATTAATGGATGATATGGTGGGAGACGCGAGTAAGGGAAAGGAAAGGTTTTGTACCAGCCTGAATTTCCCTGGTTTGCCCGGCTTGGGGACCATAGAAAGAGGAGCTGTCTGGAAATGACCAATGAGTGTTTGAGTTTCAGATTCAGATAGCGGCCCAATATATCGCCCAGTAAAGTATTCACGATCAAGTATGGTAGTGAAGGCGCTGTGATGCTCAAGGAGGGATGGATTATTAGGTGGGGAATAGGTACGAGATATGAGGGGAACACTGCCCATGAAACCGATACGTAAGCTGTTAGGAATATGTGCATATTTACGAATGAGATTAGTAGATTTAAGGAACGATAACCATGTTTCGGGACAGTAGGGAGTGACAGCACTAGATCTTCCTGCTTTGAGGACATTCTTGAGCCCCATGATCCTTTGCTCCGCATCCTGAACATTCGTGTACGTGGGATCGCGAGGTGCTTGCGCATCCCTTTGGCCTTTGCCAGTTGTAACAGAGTTCGCACCCTTCTGGGTTGACGAGGTGTCCCTCTGCATTCCGACAGCAACGAGTTTTGGTTTGCTTGTCCCAGAGGAACTCGGCTTCGCACTTGTGAATGTTGTGGCGGAAGCAGCCGAGACAGAGGGCGCAGGCTGATGGCCCAGATTGACCTGCGCCCACAGGAAAAGACTGCTGCCCTTTCTGAGGTTTCTTTCCTGATTGGTTGGCCGCTGGTGCTCGATAGGGATGGTAGCGGTCACTAGCTGCTGGAGCTGCCTCGTTCTCGACTTGCTTACTACAGGTTGCTCCCCCTTCTCGGACTCTGGAGCGCGAAGGTGCGTTACATCAGTAAATTGCCAGGTTCTGTGTAGATCTGTACAGATCTGGACAGCACGCCAGGTGTACAGCTTGGTCCTTACTAACCAGCTTGCTACAGTAAAATTTTCTCTGTGAATCTCTGCCACAGATGCTCACAGGCCTGCCCAGTAGGTACCAAATACTAGTATTATTTTCTGTATGTCTGTACAGACCTCTGTCCATGTTTGCACAGGCACTCACAGATGGGCTCAGAGGTGTTCAGTATTGCCAGCTTATTTTATTCGGGTACGATAGCGCACAAAAATCATGATATAATTAGATTAGCAGAAACATAAAACTACTGTGATAAACAGTAAACGAAAGGTAGAAACTATACGTGGGAACGTGATACGGCAGTTGATTCTGAAAAAGATGATGCCAGGAGCCTCAGTCAAGCTGCACCCGTAGGCGGTGGTGCCTCAATGTGTCAACAGCGTCTAGTTTAGATGCCTCCGCCTTGTAAGAAATTCGTTAGTGCCGAATGCTGTACAAAAAAAAAAGCCCAACCATCCAGCTCGAGCCCATTCACCAAGCTGTTGCATCAGCCTGTGACCATGATAAGGGTCATTCTTGACAGCCTCGAGTAGCCCTAGCATTGCCATATAAACAGACTCATACTCCTTGGCAGTAAACTTTGGATAAAGCTTGCCATTGCCATGTTTCGCCAGTCCTTGGAGGACGCAATGGAACTGGAAAAAAAAAAGTCAGAACATTGTGGGGGCGAATCTTTATTGAGAAAGTACCGCCGTGCAAACGAGAGCCAAGCATTTCAATGGCACCTCTTTTCGAAAAATAGCTGGTCGCCTACGAGCGATGCGATAAGTTCCAGTATAGATGAATAAAATGATGGCTTCAAGAAGCGCAGGGTGAGCAAAATTCCTGGTTTTCCCTAAATTGTCCAGTCCAAAGCGCAGAAACTTGCCATCGTCCAATAATTTAGCAGCAGCATCTTCGACCCAAGCTGCACGCTCTTGAACAGGGATGTCAGCTGGTGGGACAAGGCCATATGCGGAAGGTGCGATAGCAATAATGATTTTTTTCAGATCAGAATGCCAAGTTGCCAGGTCATCGTACAACTAAAAAATAAATGAGATGCGAGGCGTACGACAATATATATGCGCACCAGCCTCGCCATGTCTGGTTTGTGTTTGGGCCACACACCTGTTGGATGCCTCGAGTCAATTGACTATCTCGACGGAAACAGGGACTTACCAGCGTCAACTTGGTGGCCGGTTTTGAGCCATTGTACAAGGGATGCTGAAAGACATTCAGTGATTGAGACCGGCATGTCAACAACCAGGCTTGGAAATGGATTTTCTAATGCCTGCTGGGTGCAACACTCCCCCTTCGCATCCTCAAGGAAACTTTTCCACCGTGAACTATACCAACCCAATTGGGACGCCTTAGGCCCTTCATCGTCGGATCTATCGTCCGCCTTCAATTTCAATTTCGATCCCTGTTTTGGCTTTGATTTTGCCTTCGATTTGGGGGCAGCCACCTCAGCAGTGTGGAGAAGATCTAGAAGGGCGGGGTCAGGAAGGCAGGGATGGCCGTTTTTCTCGTGATGAACTCTCAAAACATCAGCCGGCTTGAACGAGAAATTAGTGTACTCTAGCAAAATATTAAGTTCATACCTGGGGAGCACTCTCCTGATCTGTCGTCATACTACCCTCACTCAAATCACTGCTAACTGCCAAAGTCCTCTCAGCGACTTGGTCATCTTTGTCGCGTGAATGCTGGAATTCGAAATCCGTTGGCAACGCAGTTACCACTTGAGGCTGGGACGGTAGTTCTTCTCTTGAAAAACCTGTCGTTCATCAGCTCAACACAATTGAAAGTAAGGAAAATCTTGCCAGGATGTGTAGTATGACGCCCACGAACTTCTCCCCAACCAATCTGCTCGTCTTCACCACCTTCATCCGAGGGTGAATCTTCATCCTTCGACGAATCTGACCCTTCAGAATCTGTACTTAGTGCACTCGACCGGAGCGCAGGATCCAAATTATGGTAGAAGTTAGTGTTTGATAATGACATAGTAGATGAGGTTGTCCTGGAAGGTACTGGATCTTTGACACGAGGAGCAGCGATTGGATGGTGAGCTTCTGAAGCAGGAGCCTGAGATTGGGATGCAGATGGTGACTGCAACCTCCTAGCATTGGCCACGAAGGGGTTGTTTAGTGCTTGCAAATCTGGCTCTGTGCCAGGGGGAACAATGGGAACAATGAGGGGCGAAATCCATAACGGCCACCAGCTTCACGTTGTGGAAAAGTTGGTTGATCATCCATCAACTCAAAGGTCGGAGCAGGAGCAATGGGAGCCTGCATAAGAATCAGTACATATATATTCGCAGAATAAAAGCTGACCTTGGTCTTCTTTGAGCGTGATTTGGAAGTCATTACATTCAGCGTCTCCGAGGGGCTATATGGCGGAGGGGGCTGCTTCGTCTGAATCTCAGGTTAGTATTGTATACTACAAACAGGATAAAAATACCTTGGAACGGCTTCCGCAACCCTTGCGAGACAGTTCTGGAGCGAGAGGGTTTGCAGGGATGTTCGTATCAAGGGATGTAGCACCCTTGGCTTGATTGGTCCGCATCGGGGCATGCAAGATGGCGCCAATTTTCTCCAGCTGAGTGTTCCTACCTCCTTTCCCGGCACCTGGACGTCCTGAACGTCGAGGGTTCTGCGACTCATTCGCTTGATTGGTGGTCAACTGAGATGGTACCTCAACCTGAGCGCATGCTCTCTTCACCCCACCTTCTTGCCCTTCAGGTGCCTTGAGGTCAGAGTCTGTAGCTTTCCGCTTCGATTTCTTTTTCTTGGGGCTACCCGGCATGGCTAGAGAAGGGGGGAGATGAACCACACCGCCAACAACTTGCAGACACTCACATTTTAAATCTAACCCCCGTCGTGCCTTGAAAAGCGCGTAAAAATAACATAACTTAGTCAAAACATTATACGCGTTGAAGGTACAACAATTCAGATGGTGAGTCTGAACAATGTTGGGTCTTGCAGAACCTAGCTGCTATTCGACCCTGAAGGGTTTCTGGACCAGGCTCAAGGCTCAGAGAAGAGGAAATATGATAGAAACTTGCTGAATACTCAGACTCATAGTAGAACTGGTGAAAAGGTAACTTGATTATGTAAGCTACAAAGTGCCAACATAAGGTAAGGTAAAGACAGTCTCTACAAGCCTAGCCAGAAATGAATCCCTACAGCATGCACGCCAGATGTAATACAGCGCAGCCCAAATGATGGATGGGGTTGGTGAAGCATAGCCGAGTCCACGAGTCTGCCTTTGCAAGTGAGTCAGAACGCGGTAGGCTGAGAATAACCACGTAAAACCTCCTTTTGTCGAACTCGTGTGTATATATATAGCCGAGCATTTTGAACTTGGTGGGAATCGCAGTCAGAACAAAGTTCAATTGTACACGTAAAGGGGGTATTGACTATAGTACTGAGGGTCATACAAGAAAAATTGCGACAGATCATGTAGTTCTACTCCGCTTGCCAGTGAGCTGGGGCGTGACTTCCATCGTCCAGCCCATCCGACCTTTTGTTTTTATTACATTACGTTCATCGACTGTTAGATCCGAATTACCCCAATTATCACCCTCCAATTCACTCGCATTTCTCTTTTGCGGGAGTGCTGCAATAACTCTCCTTGCAAACAGTAGTTCAGGGGAAGGTTCGTTCTTCGGAAGCATGTCGAGATGCGTTTCCAACAGATTAATGACCTCCTGGAAAGTTACCATACTTGATGGACCTTTGTTCCTGATCAAATCATACCATTGCTTTGCAAGTGGGAGTAGACTGGCAAAGTAGGGGTGAAATTGTTGCTGAAGCTTGTGTACATTTGGGTGGAAAAAGAACGAGGTCTTCACATCGCTGGCTTCTTTGAGCGTGTTGACAGCCCATTGATGTGGTAGCCAGTCTTGACACCTATCAGCTGAAAGATCACGTTTAATACCGAGGGGTCCCCTGTATTTGATGCAGATGCACATGAAGACGTAGAAAAGGGATTCGAGATCGTCATGGTAGTGGTGTAGTACGAGAGGGGGGGGCATTGCAAGGGAATGCATTGCAAGCTTCGCCTTCCAGCTGCGAACAGATGTTGCTGGGTCACCAACAGCCTCTGAAAGCTGCCACAGAAGAGAACGAGACATGAACGGCAATGTACCCTAACAATTGCTGTGAGTACAATGATTCTTGCAGAAATAGAGTAGTACTGACCGTCCCGCCGATAGCATATTTTTGGCCTGCAACAATATGCACAGCAAATTCTCAATTGATCAAGGTTCCCCGACCCCCACTGCCATCATCCCAGATCATGGTGTTGTTGAGACTACAATCGCGGTGAAGAATTCCGCGTTCCTCAACCGCTGTCTGTTGAACTGAGAGATATGTCAGTGGAATGTAAAAGACAGACCAGACATAGTACTATGCACTTTTGGCAATGTCTTGGAGGGCACCTACTAACTCTACTTTGGTCCGCAACGCATGTAAAGGTCGTGCGCGGGGCTTCAGAACCAAACGTAGATGTGTACGAGAGGTACCTTTGATGCTTTTGAAAATCTTGTATCGATACTTCACAGTTTCATCGACTTCCCTGGGTGTGATCTCAACAAGCCAATACTCAACCAGTTCTGGCACGCCATGGACCCCTTTCATCTCCTGCAGCATGTTGACTTTGTTCAGCACGGCATCTTTACGCCCAAGAACCCAATGATCCTTGATAATGTATTCTTCTTCGTCTCTCCTGGCTAGATAACAGACAGTGCCTTGACCCACAAGTCCCTGACTAGAGAAAATAAGTTCAAGGATGTCATATACGTGATTGTTAACTGTGATCCTGCCGATCAGTTCTGAAAAGGGTTGGCGAAGAGGGTCTTTGGGTATTTCTAGCTGTGGGGGGTCCATAACAATGTTCTCTGAGTCCAACTCTGACCTTAGCGTATTCGTGTCCGGGTCCATTTCCAAGTCAGACTCAGGTGCGTCAATAACCATATTTGGTGCATTTGATGCAGTGCTTTGGTTTGCACCATCCATCTGGGGGCCGTGCACTTGATCTAATGTAACTTGTCGTCTACCAGAAGGGCGAAAAATTGGGTTTTCGAGCTGGGCAGGGCGAAGTGTCTTGGTGAAGATATTGATGGAGGGGTCGTACCCTATACATTCAATGTGACCGAAGACGACGCTTGATAAGATATGGAGGTAATGGTTGGGAGCCTCGTCGATATGGTTGGGAGACGTCATGACACCGCCTGCATGGTCATACATATGGACTTGTAGTTCACGGTACTCGTTGGTAAGGGAGAGAAGTAAAACAAACTGCCTCCAAGGCTGGCGCCTCAAGAGAAGGTAAGCCTTGCTGTCGAGTGTTTTTCCAATGGTGCCTGAAGGTGTGTAGGGTTGTGACGTCAATTCGCAAACGGCTTTGATGGTATCCCAACGAGCCTCTACATCGTCCAACAACGCAAGGTCAGGCTTCCGCGACATTTCGTCATCCTTTACAGGGCGCGTGGAGTTCTGCGAACTCCATGTACGAATCACTGCTCCACTATTTGCTGCCATGATCTGTTCTCACTTCTCCCGAACAACAGCACCACATGTAGCATTGAAGAACGATGAGAAGATATCCTCCAATGTGTGCGATTTTTGGCTGGTGTCATCAGTGGTGGCATCGACCTCCAGAGTGTGCTGTTGAACTGATGGGCTACTACTCCCACTCCCAAACTCCTTGTTCGCCCCGCTATTCTCTTCTCCATCTCCAATCTCTTCGAGTTCGGGTAACTGATCAATGCCAGATTCACGATGTGACCTAGGAAGTGCCCAGTTCCACCTGCAGCTGTCTTCGTCATACAGTGGAACCAAAGACTGTTCATCAAGGTGAGCAAATTTAACATGAAGTCTGGTATCACGATAACGAATTTTATGTAACAGAACCTGGAGCTCTGTGACATCTGGGACGTCAATAGTAAATGTCCTGAAAATCCGCGACAATAAATAACTAAGAGGCTGGGTAGAATCAGCTGGTTCTTCTTCCTCTACAATTAAATGATTGAGCTCGAGATCGGTGAGGATGTCCATTGTAGGCATGTCACTGACACGGGGAGCCGACATCAGTGACGCTAACTTGATTCCAAAGTCTACAGTTTTGCTGTGATCTGCGGGTGCCATGACTGGGTGGAATTGGAGTAGTAACAATGACACATTCATCCATACTATGATAGTTACACATGTATCTTTTAGTGTACAAAAATGATACTGATGAAGTATGAATGTGGTTTAAGTTCCCTACTCGGATAGTGCAAAAAAGGTATTTTTGTCCCAAAAATAATTTAACCAAAATTCTGTCGCATGCTCCAAGCTATTGTACATTGTGAGACGCGTGTCCGCAGTGGCACCAAAATGGGGAATGAGATGGATAGGCGCTGAAGGTACAACTATTCAGATGGTGAGTCTGAACAATGTTGGGTCTTGCAGAACCTAGCTGCTATTCGACCCTAAAGGGTTTCTGGACCAGGCTCAAGGCTCAGAGAAGAGGAAATATCATGAAAACTTGCTGAGTACTCAGACTCATACTGGTAACTGGTGAAAAGATAACTTGATTATGTAAGCTACAAAAGTGCAAACATAACACTAAGGTAAAAACAGTCTCTGCAAGCCCAGCCAGAAATGAATCCCTACAGCGCTCTAAGCTGAGAAACTGGGATGACATCACCCATGCGTGTGCCATTCGAGCGTTTTGCTCTTTTCAATGTGTGGAACTGAGTGGTCGGATCACGTTCACCAGAGATATCGAAACATAGGACGTAAGTTAGGAACTGATCGTCCCATGCCCATGGTGTTCCACTTCAACCACTGGGCTGAATGACAAGCCTAATTTGGCCAATGGAGTGCCCTGCGAGAGAGCATTCTTTAGATTAGTGAATGTCACCATGAAAGACAGGAAGAACGTACCTGAAAGGCCGCTGGCAGGCCAAGAGTGCCCTGAGTTGGTCTGGATAATGACCGTATCATAACGACCCAAAGTCCATGGGTCACTGGGTGGTACGCAGTTAAGTGTTTGGGCGGGTCGGACATTATGGGGTTCATGAAAATCAGTCTCCTGCAAACGAATTTTAAACCACACTTGAAGGTTATCAAATGGAAGTTCAGCATCATGTGCGGCCCTTCTAGGACCGCCTATTGAGTGTATGTGATTACCATAGGTCTTTTCACAGTGAAGGAAATTTGCAATAGCTGGCTGCAAGTCTGGTAGGCCGAACATGATGGCGACTTCATTGATGGTGGCATTCCTAATGGATGGATGATAAGAAAGATTAAGAGCAGTGCGCCCGACAATAAAGGAACGTAATGGAAGGGGTACCGATCCAATTTCCTTGTGCTGGAGTATTTTTGCCATCGAAAAGTAGTTTGTGATAGGACGTGGTTGTCCAGGTCTTCGAGTCTGGGATAGTAGCTCTGTGGGAAAGTCATTCATGTCATCGTCGATCTCGTTGTCCTCTTCAATAAACTCATCTCCAAAAACACCCAGGTCTTCACTCCGCGAATGATCCAAAAGACTAGTGGCAAGGTCGAACCGATTGCATTTATCAGCGCGGTCGAGATAACGACAGATTTGCGAGTCGTAATTATTATTATTGCTGGATCTTGCAGGGTCTTTGACCTCGGTGATGTGCGCATGTTCAGTAACATCTGCAGACCACTGTGCTATAATGCCAGAGTTCTGGATGCTAGGAACAATGTTCTGCATGAGCTCGAGTTTCGGGATCTGCCAATTGTCGATGACTTTACTGCCTTTTCCCTGATGAAGACCGGCGGCGATGACTGCATGCTTGTTCGCATGGAACTCGTCCAGTGTGGCTGTAATGCGAGCAAGATGGTGCTGTTTCGGGCAGCCAACTTCAGAGGTTCTAGTACGATGTCCAGGCAATGATGAATGAGCCGATCTTGCAACACACCTCTCATTCGTTTATTTTTGTGAATGAATTTCACGACCGGTAGAAGGGCAGTGAGAAGGAAGGCATTTGAAGATGATTTTAGCCGCGTGTCCATGTGAATGTTGGCGAGGCTGATAAGGAGAGGATGTGCAACATGATCACCTGACAATGAAGTTATGCATGTTTTGTCCAAGGACAAAATGGTACCGAGGAGAGTTGCGCCATGGGGAAGCGCCGACTGCAAGAACGCATGAGATAATGATTCTAAGAGGGACTGTATTACATACCTGCATCTGCCAGGTGTGTTCGCCTGTCACCCATTCGGTGTATATCCGAGAGAGCCTCTCCACTGTACTATACACCTTGCGAGCCGTGTAGTCGATACGATTGTGAAATAAAGGATGGTTGAATATAGTAGCGATGCATTCAAGAGGATCTCACCAGTAGAGAACTGCCGGAGACTTTGTGGGATGTAAGGTAGGAATAACTCGAGACTTCCAACGAGGTCTGCTAGGTAGCGATTCAGCTTGACCTCGTAACTCTTTTGCCGAATGGAAGGATAAAGGTAGGTCGTTGATCTAAGTGCTCCTTGAGCTAAGCTGTCGCAGTGATGATCAAATTTAACACTTACCATCTCTAGTGCTAGGAAATCATTGATTTTCCCCATGCTTAAGCCTGAATGAAGCAGCCATTCTCTTCAACCACTGAATGGATAGTATAAATTTTTTTTATGATAGATGCTATTTTCGTCAGCATCGAATAGGCTTAGAAACATGTAGCCCTCCTCAAAAGCCAGTGGGGGTTGCGGAAAGTAGTCAGTAACTACCTCACTGTCCTTGTCCCGAGTTCCGCCTCCAGATTCTTGCTCAAAGTCTAAATCCTCTCCAAAACTTGTATATTCTTCTTGTTCGTAGGAAGGGACTTCGCCAATATTATCTACCGCCATGGGATCTTCAGTGAGTAGTAAAGTGGAGTTGAGTTGAATGAGATCTTCTAGCCAGTTATTGCATCCAGACCGTGGTTGACTCATATGACGAGCGACAGATGTGTGGTCTCGAAATTCTTTCCCACATGACGGACAATGAGCTACGACCATGACGCGCTGGTATTGATATGTGAGTCGCGGACTTACGAAAAGCAAAAAGTTGATTTTCAATATGAATTCGGCATTTTCCAGATGCCCCGCCTTACATTGAGTCCCCATAATGCTGTCCTCATCACTGAAGTTTGACATTGCTACTCTGCGATCACTATCAGCGTGTGCTTCTTGCTCTGATAATTCTACTTACTCTCACACCAACTGTGACAATGAATCTAATGGGGAATCACCTGGTGGTACATATGACTTATACAGTGTTCTTGAAGCTGTCAATTCGCTGGTGGGTCATTTTCGTTTCTCGTTTCGCATCATCCTTATCGTACCTTACATTTCAATAGTCTAGGACCTATGATCTAACTGACTCGGAGGCAAGTCTTGTGCTTGACCTTGTGAGAGCAAAACGAGAAGTTTTCCAAGCACAGAAGACACTTGCAGACTGTGTGCTATGGGAGAACGAGATGTTCGCATGTCTACTCAAATTTCAAGCAGCAGCTGCTGAGAAGAAACTCAATGAGACAGACATAGGGTTGGGATGTATGAGGATTATTTTTAAAGATTGCGGTTGGTCCCACATCTCTCACAGTTGTGGATCACACGGACGAGGTCAGTCAAATACGCATGGTGAGTCCGTGCAATATCTTGCAATATTATTGGTCTTAAAATTTAGGAATGGAAGAATCACAGGGCTGGCGCCCGACAATTGTTCTCGATTGATTAATATTCGTATTTGTGACGTATTTGTATTATCATGTTGGGTTATGCTGTCCTCATCCATAATTTTGATGTACTATGTAGTATGCGAAGCTTATGTTTATATCGCCTTCAATAAAGATATTCCATGCAACCAGTTTTTGTATGATACAGTATGCTTGTTCGAAGTTGGACCACTTTAGCATAAGTGTTAAGGTTCTAGCGAGCATTGGTACTAAATTTATATTGCTACTAGTAGTATGGTACTTCTACTTAAGCTGTTGGATGTAGGCCTCATTCCTTGGGAATCTGTTTGAACTGTGAGTGCGTTATTGCTGTCATTTGTGAGCCTGCATGAACTGTAGAGTTCTGTGGCTTCCTGTCACTAGAACCCAAATTTGTGACCTCTGTGAGAAAGTTACGATTTACTGATGTAGGTAGAGCATTCTGTAGCTATTTTTGGCGAGAGCGTAGGGAGTGGTATTGCAAGATGATGGGCATGGTTGGTAGCAGGAACGGTAGAAAGCGGGTTGATAGCATGAGATGGTAGGCCCGATGGCATACACAATAGAAATAGTGTGAGCGAGCAGGGTGTAAGAGATGTCGCCAGCGTGAGAGAAGCACTGAGTGCGTGATGCGCCGTACAGGAGGCAAAGTGAGCAAGGTGCGGAGAGCAAGTTAGCAAGTGGTTAAGCCAGCGAGGGAAGCGAGATCAAGTAAGCGGGTAAGGTTTTTAGATCAAATTGTGCGTGATGGGAAATATTTCATTAGTGATGGCTCAAAAGATTAGGAATGACGGGCCTACCAGCTTCATTCCTTCGTCACATTCTGTTTCCCAAACATCATCTGACAGGGTGTTGTACAGCGCGTTGTTGAAAATGCCAATGTTGAAGCCCTGATTTTGTGTGAGACGGTCATGCCATTCTCGATGCACGAACCCTGCGTAACGGAGTAGCATCTTCTCCCCACGGGAGCGCATTCGATGCTCGTGGTTGGTGATGAGCATGAAGAACATGGCTAGGGCCTGCTGGTGTTTCTCCAGCCAGCCGCACTTCTCGAGGTGCACAAGGTAGCTGGTTTTGGCTAGGTCAAATTGCCACCAGGAGAGATCGTGATCTTGTAGGGCCTTTTGCGAAGCTCTGAATGATGCAACTGGTTTGAGGGCAACCATGCCCTCGACTTTGGCGAAACCGTATGCATCTTTGGATGAAGATCTGGAGTTGTCAGAAGCGTTGTGGCAGCCCTCTGGACTAAAATACCACAATTCCACGTATTCCATGTTCTTGATTTTGTGAAGGGCAAACTGGGAGGGACGGGGAATGAGTACGTTGGCGACAGTCGCATTGACGTCGAAGTCGTTGATCTTGGGCTTCTTCTTTTCGGCTTCCCGTCGTTCCTCCTGCTCTTTGGCTTCCTTCTCAGCGCGGACAATCTCTTCTTGATCTTGTTGCACACGGGTGTCTGCTTCGCTCTGCTGCTGCCAGAGGTCAATGCGCTCTTGGCGCTCGACCCTCCAACCCTCTGCCATTTGCACAAGGGCATCTTCTCTGGTGGTTCCTCCTGCTGTGAAAGTGTTGAGCCGTGCCGCGTATACGGCTGACTCGAAGTTGGGCTGCGCCTCAAGCGCTGGGTTGGTGAGGATGCGATTCATGCGAGGTCGGGAGAAAACGGGGGTTGTCTAGAGAGGCCGTGTTTGAAAGATAACAGTGAGAAGTGGAAAGGTGCGATCCTATGGCGCTATATCTGCACATATATTATTTGCGCGTTCCGCGGCTTGCGCACTGCGCGTTTTCGTCAATCCAGAGTGGGCGCGTTTTAATCAAGAGGTTCTGCATTCCCGCACTGCGCGTTTTTGCCAATCCAGAGCTGGCGTGTTTGCTTGTTCAAGTCTCTACTAACCGAGTCATTCAAGTTGTGCAGAGCTAACTTAGCGGCTCACGCAGTATCATAGTTTTTTTTCTTCAAATACATACTGTTTTGATACACCCACAAAATGAGTGAGACAACACGTCCTTCGTACTTAGTCGTCAGTGTTTGCATTCAAAGAGTGTGAAGTAAATCATGTACGTGACTCCTGCAAGACATCATTAGGTGAGGCATCGCGAGGATGCAAGGTATAAGGTACGGAATGAGATGAGGATGAGGATGAGATAGTGGTATGTACTGCAATGCACAAGAAATGACAAAAACTAGTACCAAATTAGCATGCCTGTCATCAACAAATACTAGACCTGGTCACTTGTCAAACATTGTTTGGGAAATGGTAACCGACCCTCCTCACATGAGCTGGAGGTTAGCGGGCTTCATGGAATAGCGAGAATCCCAGGGATTGATCTGCTCCGGTGCAAAAGGGTCGTCAACTTGTGATCGACTGCGCCACAAGACATCCGCCTCGCTGACTGACACAAATTTGGGTGGGGATGATAATGCACTCTTCGACTTTAGGAATTGAATGGCAGTACCAGCTGGCACTCCGAGTGGACTGCTACGAAACGACACCATTTCTGGCAACAACAGCACAGGTCAAATTTTAAACAAGTAGCACGAATGGAAAACTTACTGAAGCTATTGGATTGAGCAGGTTGAGTCAACGGAAATGGCTGAGAGCCTGTCAATGGCCCAGATTCCGTCAAAAACAAGGGAATGGCAGCTTGAACATCATTAGCTGATTCTGTTGAGTATGTAGTAAAGGATTGAATAATAATAATAATAAACATAACGGAAGGAAAAACTCTACCCTGTTTAACTTTACTGTTCTTTCGAATTGCTCTCTGAACCTCCGATGGTGATTGCTCAGGGGAAAGAACTGTGTGAGTTCGTTTCACTGTTGGAACGGATGAGTACACGCATCAAGGCCAACACCAAAAACTCACTGTTAGTTCTCTTTGGCGATACAACCTTCATTTTTCCTTTGCCTTTGGGATCCTCGACTTCAGCATCAGTCAACTCCAGTTCCATCAAAGAACTCGCAAGCTCATTGTCCGACTTGGAGATAAACAAATCATTGAGACTGTCCACGTCAGACAAAAGCACATCACTGCAATCATCATGTTCGGAATCTGAACCAGCAATGACAGGTTGAGTGTTCCAAGATTCGTAAACGTCGTCAGGAATCCGGTTACATGTGACTGATGGAATTGTTAGGGCAACATGCAGCGAGTAGTATGAGAAAGAAACAGGAACACACCAAACCACAGGTGACACTCGCTGACACTTGCTTTATCTCGGCCCTTGTGTTTCACTAGGTCAGTCCCGGTCGGAAATGCAACGTCGACAACCGTTAATGTCTGTCCACTCTTGTTAAGGAGTCGCCAAACAGGCTTGTCTTCTTGTGTTGGCCGTGCTAATGATCGTGATGGCGCTGATGGTCGCTTCTCAACTGGGATATCCAGATAATCGAATACCTTAGGAAACCAGCTTCGCAACTGGCTGGTGATCTTGTGATAGGACCATCCACTATCGATGATAAATTGCTCAGGCCGGTCAAGGTAACAACCCCGGTTCTTCATAGCCTGTATTTCATTTCAGCCATTCTTGCTTGGGGCCTTAGGCGCTCTGATGAGACTGTTTCTCTGGAAAATGCTATGAATCAGTGGGTTTAGTAGACTATTGATTGTCTTTGACTAACATCGACACCGCAAGTCAATAGAGCAATTGATGCGACACGAAAAGTGTTAGCTCTGGTCGTGGAAAGGTTAGACATAGTGCTCCTGCGTGCTTGGCTTCCAATTTTACTAGGTTGCAGTGAGCTACTCATAGTATCCTTGCGATCCTAGAAGCAACTTTAGTATTCGTGTAAACTAATCTTCATGCACTAGCCAATGATCCCATACCTTTCGCAACCCAGCCAACGACACTGGGCCCTTAGCCAGTTTACTGTAACCAGCAAGTCGGGTGGAAGAAAGAGTTGATAAGGCTTCCTCTCGGGCATTGGCGAGTGGTACGCCGGCTTCAGTGAGTTGCTTGGCGGTGGATGACTTTTCATTGGCATTTTTGCCACCACTAGCGATTCGGTCAAAAATATCCTTGACGACAGCTGAGGTATTTCCAAGTTGGTGAGGCTGTTCATCTTGAACTTCCAGTGGTTTGCCACTCCGAGTCGATGCCTTGCGAGGGTGTTTGCTGCGACCGTGACCACACTCCACACAGTGGCCTTCATCCTGCGACCGAGCAAAGAATTCCTCGCAGTCGCACACTTGACTGTCAGATTTGGAACCTCTACAGTGTTACGAACTAGGATAGTTCTAACAACGACAACTCGACAGAGTTTCCGGTCGTTGAGATTCTCAGTCTCTCAGACAAGAGAGAGTTCAGTGGACTTAGTTAAAGGAGTGCTTCAACTAAGAATCGAGGTTCAAGACGACTTAAGATTGGAGATCTTAAGCGAAGGATATTCCAGGTAAAACCTAGTAAGATTCAAGTAAGGAATACAAGCGTAATACATGTGCTTAAATAGGTCAATATGTGCGCACAGACCAAGTCATCGTGAGATAGTAAGTACAAGACCAAAAAGGGAAGGCATGTTGTACGAAACGCGAAAGTATACAACAGTAAGAAACAGTGGTTGTAACATTACCCCCTTACTAAGCGTAAAGTCACCGACTTTTACTCGTAATCCTGGTATTCGCAATGGTTAGAATCGTCCTGGTTTGCATAATAGATAGGGTCGTCGGAGTAATCAAACTGATCACCTGCTCCAGTAAGGTACTCTGCCTGTCGGAGGGCTTCTTCTTCCTGGCACTGGCTGACGTATGCGTCGTCCAAACTCTTTTCCCAATAAGAGAGTTCCTGGTAGAAGCCTTCGTCCTTCCAGGTAAGCGTGGTGGGGGAACTTCCAGTAAATTTGTGGCAATACAACGATAAATGCCCTGGGGAGAGTTCTCTGCATATCCTGCAATAGTAGTCAGGACAGTTGGTTTGACGATGGCCAAGGGTCTTGCAATATCTGCAAACCCGGTTTTCGTCTGGGTTCGAGGATGAGGGGCGTAAAACGGGAGGAGCGGGGTGACGACTGAATGCTTCATCATCGCTAGAGGCTCTCTTCTTTCCCTTGCCTCGGTACCCATGCTTAGGGGATCTTCTCCTTCTTCGGGAAGATTCTTTAATCTGAGCTACGTCTTCCTTAGCGAGTACGTAGATAGAGGATAACGGCATAGGGATTCGTTCTGCTTCCGCGATTAGCTCAGCGTACTCTGCAGGAGCGGTGGGTCCGAGGGCTTGTACTGGGACAAGACAATCCACGAATGTCGGTGGAGTAAGCGTGGATGGAATAATCATTGGTGGATGGATGTGAAGCGCTTTGAGCGCTTCAGCAAGCGCAATAGTTTCGTCAAGGGGAGGAGTCGACTGCTCCAGGGTTATCTCTTCGTGCGTAGAAGAGAAAGCGGTATAAAGGTTTTCCGGGTGCTCTACAGTTTCTTCTGGAGCAACAACCGTATCAGACGTGGTTGCGGATGCCGCGGAGGCTATCTGTAATGCAAGTTGGGTCTCTTCTTGCAGATTGACGATCATGGCGTTGGTAATCTCCGTGAGGCTGTTAACAGCAGCCAATAACTCGTCAGACACACTGAGGAGGAGGAACGGGAATTCCACCATCATAGGAAGGCGGTGGAGTTGCAGTCGTTCGTACAGCTGGTTGTGGAGATGGTGGGCGAGCGACTCCGGTGACTCGTTCAGCAACGATGTGAATAGCTTCCTGGATATCTGCCCTAACCTCCGGAGGGATAAGACGCAAAGCATAAGCGCGAATGCGTTTCTGTAAATGCATGATGCCATGCTGGACACGTGGTTCTTCCACATGTCGTACGAGTCTTTCAATGAGTTCGGCGGATCTGATGATGTTAACGAGGAGGTTGATTGAGAATGCGTTTCGGTCGATAAGGATTTTATTGATTTCAATGGCATGTTGGGGGCAAAGGATTGCGGCCTTCGATGAGGGTAAGGTCTTCGATTTCTGAGATGAAGGATTCGAATCTTCCTTCGTTAGAGGATAAGTCGGTTGGGGCGAACGTGGATTCATAGGGGAGAGTGTAAGAAACTGGGAAGGACATAATGTTTATGTTGATGGGAGGATATCACAGCGAGTGTTTTCTTTTATAGGTCGAAAGGGTTTCTCCGGCATTTTCCAGGTTTTCTTCCGGGATCCATTCGTTGCTGGCGGAGGAATATCCTTTCCATGATACAAGATAACGGCGGCGTTTGCTGGTTCCTTTGTGAGCCAGTATAGCTTCGATTTCGTATTCTTCTTCTTCTTCTAGAATGTCAGGTGGTGGTTCCAAGAAGTTCGGACCGTGAACATCATTTTCGCTATAGGAAGATAATAAGGAAGCGTGGAACGTGGGATGTATTTTCCATTGCGGAGGCAATTGGAGTGTGAACGTGATAGGTGATAGTACGGCGGAAATGGGGAAGGGGCCATATCTTTTCGGGGCGAGCTTCCGGGATGGGAGTTTTAGACGGAGATTGGTTGCAGATAACCATACCTTATCGCCTACTTTCCATGGTTGGTACTTCTGGCCGAAGGATCTTTCCGCCATTCGTTGCATGGCGATATTATGACAGGCTATCGCTTCTTCTCTGATCTTCTGAAGAAGTCGGACCCGTTCTTCCACGGCTGGTACTGTTGAATCTGCCAATACATGGGGAATCCCTTTAGGCTCATATCCCATCATGATGTAGAAAGGAGAAGCGTTTCGGGCGTCATGCTTTCTATGGTTGTGAACAAATTCTGCCATGGGAAGGTGTTCTACCCAATTAGTTGGGTCGTTGCCGCAGTAGATCCGTAGGTATGTTTCTAATTCTTGATTGAGTCGTTCAGTCTGTCCATCGGTCTGTGGGTGATAGGCGGTGGAAGGGAGCGATAGAATAATCTAGGAGTCTTGCCAATTCTATGGAGAACTTCGAGAGAAATTGGGGTCCTCGGTCGGAGATTACTTTGTCATGTAATCCGAAGCGTTTGAATACGTGTTTCAGGAATAGTTTTGCTACTCCTTCAGAGGTGATGTTTTTGTGGCAAGGAGTAATTATCACCCCCTTACTAAGCCCATGGTCTACCACGACCATGACGGAATCAAAACCAGAGGAAAGAGGGAGATCCGTGATAAGATCGACGGAGATCTGGGAGAAGGGGCGAGTGGCAAGGGACGAGATTGGGACGAGAGGTGGTGTTACTGGATGGGTATCGGCCTTCATTTGCTGGCAGGTGGCGCATCCTTCAACGTACTTTCGGATGAAGGCTCCCATGCCTGGCCACCATGCTTCGCGTTTGACCAATTCTTCAGTTTTGAAACGTCCGGGATGACCCGCGGTTGGGTGGTCATGGTAACGAGCCAGTATAGTTTTGCGATGATCAGGAGCGATATACGCTCGGTTTTTATAAGATAATATCCCTGAATCTACTTTCCAATCGCTCAGAGCTGATTTCATGGGGGGAAGACAGACACCATTGAGGGCGTCTACAGCAGTGGCGAATAGTGGGTCGCTAAGCGCATCCGAGCTGGCAAGGGTAGTACGAAGGTCGTCATCGATGAGTCGAACAAACATGGAATCAGGAAGTAGGATAGAGTTATCATTATCGGAAGATCCGGTATCATGATCTGATCGCCGGGAGAGGGCGTCAGGTGCAGCTAATTTAGAACCAGGGACGTGGTGTAGTTCCAGATCGAAATTAGTGAGGAGCATTTGCCATCGTGCCTGTCGACGGGTTAAGTGTTCAGCTTTCTTAAAATAGAGCAAGTTCATGTGGTCGGTGAAGACTATAATCGGAGAGGGGTGTCCTTCAAGATAATGTCGCCATTCGGTAAGTGCACGAATTATAGCGAGGAGTTCGCGGTCGAAAATTGGATAGTTTCGTTCGGCTGGATTGAATGATTGCGATAGATAGGCACAAGGATGGTAAACGCCATTTCCGTCAGTCTGTAACAGGACCCCCCCTGTTGCTACTAAGGAAGCATCTGTGGCAATGGCGAATTGTTTTAAGGGGTCAGGGTTGCGGAGTACGGGGTGCGTAGTAAAACAGGTTTTCAATTGGTCGAACGTTTCCTGATGTTGAGCGTTCCAAGAGAAAATGGTATCCTTTTTTGTCAGGTCGATCAGGGGACGGGCGATGTCCGAATAATGAGCGACAAATGAGCGATAGAAATTGCAAAATCCTAAAAATGACCGGACTTCTTTAACGGAAGTAGGGACGGGCCATTCCCTGATACCATTGGTTTTTGCTTTGTCCATTTCCACGGATCCTGGTTTAATGATCATGCCAAGAAATTCGACTTCTTGAGAGTCGAACGTGCACTTTTCTGGTTTGAGGAATAGTTTTTCCGCTCTGATCTTTGCTAAGATTCGTCTTGTTCGTTCGTGATGTTCTTCAAGCGTCTTTGAAAAGATAAGGATGTCATCCATGTATATCACCAACCATCCTTCGTTGATTTCTTGACGGAATTCATTGTCCATAAATGCTTGAAAGGTGGCGGGTGAATTGCACAGCCCGAAGAACATTACGCTTGGTTCGAACAATCCGTACTCCGTGGTAAATGCAGCTTTCCATCGATCATCCGGATGAATTCGGATATTGTTATATCCTGATCTAATATCCATTTTTGTGAAGAAGTTTGCCCCGTGTAGTCGTTCGATGAGAGTTGCCGGAAGTGGAAGGGGATAAGAGTTCTTTATCGTTTGATCATTAATGCCGCGATAATCTTGACAAGGGCGAAGCTCTCCGCTTTTCTTTCCTACAAAAAAGAATCCACTGGCTTGTGGGGATTTTGACGGAGTGATGAAGCCTTTTTCCACGTTTTCGTCAATAAATTTCTTCACCGCAAGCCTTTCTTTTGGTGAGAGAGGGTATACTTTAGACGTTCTTGGAAGGAATCCGGGTTTTGTTTCTATGCGATGGTCTATTCCTGGTCGTTCCGGGGGAAGTTGTTTCAGTCCGTCTTTGGCGAATACATCTGCATAATCATGCAGATAAGCGGGTACGAGTTCTTCGAAAGGTTTCTTTTGTTTTTCTTTTTCTTCCGTGGCAAATTCCTGCGCTTTGTTGCTGACTTTTGAGAGGGGTGATGATCGGGACTTGTTCCGAAAAGGATGTTCCATCCTTTGTGAGAGGGGTATCGAGCGAGATTTCTTGTATAATTCGAACGAATTCTCCATCGGTACCGTATTCAACCAAAAATTCTCCGTCATCCAATTTGTAGGTGGAGACGTCTTGTACTGGTGGAGCGCACCAGACGTCTTCCTGAGTATCAAAAGGATCATCATCCTCCGTTGGTAGCAACAGTGGTACTTCCTCGGGGATTTCCTCGATGGAAGCCGAGAACTTGGATGGTTGTTTCTTTAGTTTGGAGTTCGTCCATTTTCTTTGTTCTGGAGGGGTGCTAAGTTTTCGAATTCTTTCCGAGATTTCGATGGACTTTGGGGTACAGGGAGTGAGAGAGTTCGTTCCGCCCAGTTGATAGAAGGATTCATCTTTTGGAGCCACGGGATTCCCAAGAGAATCTGGTCACGTTTTCCTAGATTGGTAATGTTGAATTTTCCTATCATGGTTCTTTCATCAATTTTGACGATGAGGGTGCAGTACGGTCTACGGGTCCACTGCTGAAATAGCTTCCGTCTGCGGTTCGGATATTGAATGGTTTCTTTAGTTTTCGGGTTTTTATCCCGAGCTTTTTCACAAAGCTTTCGGAGATATAGGTTCCAGAAGCGCCTGAATCGATTATTGCGTTTGTTTCGACATTTTCCTGTTTCCGAGATATGAGAGTAATGGGAATGCGAAATTCTTTTTTATCATTCACAACTCGTATCAAACGTACAGGTTCTATTGGAGATTCCATCGTCGATATGTTTCTCCGTTTCAAAAATCCTCTTGAATGCGCCTAGTTTCTTCTTCGTCTTCTTCTACCTTGCGGACAAAGGGAGGCCCTTTCTTCTTCTGCGGGCATTCCCGAGCACGGTGTCCGATCTGGTGGCACGTGAAGCATTTTCCAACACGCATGTGTTCTTGGCGACTTTCATCCGTGAGTCGATCAATTACCATAGCATCGCGATCCCTCGTGGGTACAAATCTTTGGTCCCCAAATCTCTTCTTCTTCTGTTGGACAGGGAAGCGGGACCTAATGGACTGTAATTGCGTGTGGCAATTGTCAATGTCGACTACTGCGGCGATGTAGTCGTCAAAGTTCTTTGGGACGTTTCCTGCGTTAAACATTTTGATAAGGATTCCTATATTGAGTCCTTGCTGGAAGTGAAAGATTTTGGCGGTTTCTTCTTTGACTTTTGCTTGAGCGATCAGCCTTTGATAGTCGGCGATATAAGTCTGGAGATCTCCGGTTTGTTTGAGAGCTCCTAGCTTGGTCATTGCTGTTCCGGAAGGATCGATTGCGGAGAATGCTTTGTTAAAAGCTTCTAGGAAATCTTTCATGTTACCATATCCTTTTTTCTGTCCGGAAGTGTCAATGAATTGAGCATCTTCCAGAAATTCTTCTTTCCATAGTCTAGCGTTTCCTTCGTTCATAAACGATGTGATGAAAATGATGCGATGTTTGTCTTCTTTGTAGAGTTTGTCATTGATATCCATGTAGGCGTTACAGGATAGGAGGAATGATCTAGACAGGTCCCTATCTCCATTGAATATGGGAGGGTGGTTTATTTTGTATTCGAATTCTTTGCCGCTGGTGGTTGATGTTGACATATTGAGCGGCGGTACTGGAGTACCAAGGTTCAGGGCCTGTAGTTTCGGGGTGAGTGATGTCAGGTCTGCTGTTCGTGCTGGCTGTCTTGCTCAGCAGTTCTTTGGTTCGTCTGTTGGTATCGGACACACACAGATGTGTGGTGTCTTTCGACTTGAATCTTTTGTTACGAACTAGGATAGTTCTAACAACGACAACTCGACAGAGTTTCGGTCGTTGAGATTCTCAGTCTCTCAGACAAGAGAGAGTTCAGTGGACTTAGTTAAAGGAGTGCTTCAACTAAGAATCAAGGTTCAAGACGACTTAAGATTGGAGATCTTAAGCGAAGGATATTCCAGGTAAAACCTAGTAAGATTCAAGTAAGAATACAAGCGTAATACATGTGCTTAAATAGGTCAATATGTGCACACAGACCAAGTCATCGTGAGATAGTAAGTACAAGACCAAAAAGGGAAGGCATGTTGTACGAAACGCGAAAGTATACAACAGTAAGAAACAGTGGTTGTAACATACAGAAGTGCTCCCGATTCATAGCATTGCTCTCAGAATCCATGCAGAGCAATAGCACTAGTGGGAGAAGGTGGAGAAAGACTTCACACGGAAGAGGAGACAAGAGACGGAAACGACTCGGACCTGAAGAGGATGGTCAACAGGTACTAGATAGTGCGGTTTATATTTACAGTTTGAAAATTATGACATTCTGCCTGCCTTCTGGTTGACGTATTGTCCAAGTAAGTATTTCAAGAGTAATAACTACTACAACTCTCGTAAGTTTAAGTTACTCTTGCCCAGCCACTAAAAAGTATGACAACACTAGCAACGCCTGACACCATAGCCTCGCCCGGTTGAACCAGCTCGGTTCGGCGAGAGACACATGTAGTTCCTTCGACCCTCGTTGGCCAACAGGGATAGCCTCGAAGATCGGATACTCATCACCTTCCCACTCATTTGCTGCTAGCCTGCAGTCGCACGGTGTTATATCCTCGGCTATGACTTTGATAAGGGTGGCAGAGAATTGTCGGCATGTTTCGTCATTGATGAAAGGATTGATTTGCGATGGAACACTGATAGCTTCGTGGTGGATATGGTGTCATTGTTGATTATTGATAGCCTGTACCATATCTAGAGGCTCCTCTTCATTATCACTTTCTTCTTCATCAATTGGATGCCCCGCTCCACTCTGATGTTGTCGTCGAGTCATAGTAGGGCCATGTACCCCATAGTGTTCTTCGATCACGTCAGGGTGGACCCCTTCACAGTCGTCTCGATACATGTCAAACTGCATTTGACCTAAAAAACGTAAATCCTGGGTCACAATGAGATAATTTGTCAGGGTCCCATAAATGTAAAACGACGCATTTACCTTAGGGCTCTTGTCATTGGTATCAGGACCACGTATCGGATGACAGTTCCATTCCGCCCGGAAATCTGAACAATCTTGATTGATCTCATTGAGGAACAGAGTCTGGAGCAACCAGATATGACTAGGGCTGTGAGGGTTGAGCCCGTGATGGTTTTCAAGTCGAGTGAAAAACGCTCTCCACCTCCTAGCAAACTGCGTGCCAACTTCAACCCATAGACGCTCAATCTGCGAATTCCGTGTAGAACTTGTCCAGAATTAGTACCTAACATAAAGCTGCAGAACAAACACATTACGACTCACGATCCCCACATGAAGGATGCACGATGTGGTCCATTTCGCATTATCATATACGTTGCAACATCGAGATTCTCTCCTCCACAATCTCCTCGCACACGAGAAGGTGTTCCGAAGTTTTGCATTGCGTGAATGAACAGTTCCAAAACTGTGCTGGAGCGATTGTTGTTACTTGCGCTCAGTCCCGTTATCTAATAGACATATAAATTAGAGTCAGTAATCAATGCAAATGCGTTAAAAAACACATCGCACCGTTCTACAAAACCCGTCGATGAATCCGTGAATCACAATCCCCCATCAAATTAACTTATGGTGGCCATCTACATGCCATAATGCATTGGGGCGCTTCACATGATATTTCTGTCGATGTTTGACCTGTCGATCTCGCAGGACTTGGCCTAAGCCATCAACCCTGCGAAGCGACTCTACTACTCATCGATGTTGCACCCGGACACCATGTCTGTGAAGATACCCAACAATGTACCAGATTCCTGAATTGGGTCGCTTTTTCTTGAACTCCTTGATGAGGAGATCAAGATCAGTATTGGTAAGATCGAAGTATTTTCTTTCAACTCCATTGTGCTTCATATACAGTCGCAGCGTGTTTCTGTGGACTCCTAGCGTTTTGGGAAGTTCCGTAAGTCTAATTTGACGTGAATTCAAGACCACTTCGGAAAGGAACGCAATGTCGATGAGTTTTTTCGGACGACCTGGACGACCTGTATGCAGCAATGACACTGGTTCTGGAAATGCAATGTTGGTGTCCATTCTGGGATTCGTGCATAGTCAACAATCATTCAAAATGAGATAATACGACTCACAAATTTCGAGTATTGTGTCGAAACGACGACAATTGAACAGAGAGATCTCCTAGCGAGGTTGCTGCACAAGTCAGCCAATCATGCATCTCATGTCCCTGCGGGTCATGTGCAAGGGCTTGAAGCAGGGGTATAGCGTCTCCAGATACAGCCTCTAAGTGAAATGTAAGTTGAAGGGGGTCGGCATCTTCTTGATGCAGAATATGATAGGCACGTCGGTATATATCTGACAATGTATTGTGAGCAGTAAGAAAATTAGCTGACCATGGAGCTTGAGTTGGCATGCGAGATGGAAATGGCGGAAACGCCTGTGGTGATATAGGCATCACGATCACTGCGGAAACAAGATTTAGAATGAATCGGCATTCAATAGAATCATAGAGTAGCGTACAATGACAATGTATCAAACCCGTGAGAAAAATGGTCAGCAGTCACAAACATAGGCAGTCAAACTATAGTTTGACTGCCTTCGTCTAATTTCAACTTCCTGCTAATATGTCGACAGAGTTTGTTGTACCAACCCGACACCTGATTTATTACTTTAATGCGTCCAGCCACATCTTCCAGGTGATTTTTATTCATCTATCAAATTATCGTACTAGTTTGAAAACTTTCCATTGACAGGTAGAGAATACACTATACAAACTCTGCAGTTCAATCTTATCCGCGTCTTCCAATGTCTTTCGTGATATGTTTTCTACCATGGAGAATTCTAGGCAACCAGAAGTAGATGGCATGTGTGATGATAAACCCATTCACCTTAACGGAATATCTCAGGAGACGTTTGAGTTGTTTCTTGAATTCACGTTTGGAAGGTATGTTGATATTTTATGTTTTTAGTCAGTAACTGAACCATTTGTCACGGTAGAATGTGTACTGGATCTCATAGCATCGATGAACTCTCGAAATTTCTCCGTTTCTGCGACATGTATCAATGCTCCCATGCACGTGAATTCATTATTTCCCGCATATCTACCGCACGCTACCGTTTCCACCCAGCTAAGTTAATCAACCTCGCCATCAAATACCACGTCCGCTCCATCTTTCCATATGCTTTCCAGCAACTGGCAGAAACCCCAATTACCGAGCTCACTCATGCCCACCGGGAGTTGATGGGCAACGAAGTTTTTTTGAATGTAATTTATGTTCAGGCTGCGCTTGATAGTCACCGCCGGATCATAGCTGCGGAGGAACCGAAGATCTTGATGCACTCGAATGAGTGTCAAGACCCAACTGGTTGCAACAAGGACTGGCACGCAATTTGGTGGAATGGTATGGGCCATTTTCTTCTTGATGGTAGGAATCCACAGCCGTACGACGACGCTGTCAAACGCTTCAAGGAACTGCAGTTTGGACGTGTCAGTGAAGGATGCAAAGACCTCATGTTTAAGATTCTCGATCAGGGAGCGGCATTCAAGCACGCCAAACAATTTCTTTCTGAGACTTGCAGCTTCCTAGTAGAGAAACTGGTTTTCGAGCCTGAGCCTCCTTCGCCATAGTCTTACTAGTACTCATGTTAGTTTTACTCATGTTCAACCATGAGGACTTCATCCATCGTAGACTCGTCATGTTCAATTGTATAGAGTGATGTTTGTACCAGTACAAATACTATACTGCAGTGGTCCGAGTCTCAAATTGCTTGAAGGAAAGTAGAGATCATAATTATCATGGCAGCAACTTCAAGTTGAGTTTTGAGTCCAATCAAAATGCACCAGCTCTGGATTGGCGAAAACGCGCAGTGCGGGAATGCAGAACCTCTTGATTAAAACGCGCCCACTCTGGATTGACGAAAACGCGCAGCACGCAAGCCACAGAACGCGCAAATAATATATGTGCAGATATAACGCCATACGATCCAGGGAGAGTGCTTGTGAAAAATGAAAAGAAAAGAGACGAAGTCATTGAGGACGACTGAGCTGAGAGGAGGGACCGTTGCAGTATGAAGACAGAAGGTTTGTACTGCACCCGTTGCTTCGCGCGAAGACTAAACTCTAGTTCTCCGCTCGTGCCTCGTTACGTAATAGAGTCACAACTACTAACATGTCATGAATCTATCCTTTCAAATCATTTATGATCTCCACCTTTCCCTCATGCTGAAGGCCGCCGTCATACACGCTTGTAATGATCAGGACGGCAGACACTGTCCTGCTAGCTTTTGCTTATGGGGCATCAGCTGCAGTCCCTCGTAGACTACAGGATCGCTCAATGCACAGATGCGGCCTGGGGTCAGGCACGATTTGCCGAATACACGAGAAGCGAGACGGTGTTTCAACCGAATGATGCTGTGCGGCATTTTAAGCTGGTTCTTGACCAGTGCCCGGTCAGCCATCTTGAACATGCAGGGGCTGTCACCAACCCCGTGTATGCCCGCTTTGAAGGCTATATTCAAAACCTTTTTCAAGACATTGATACCACTACTTCCATCTTCTGCGAAGACCTTGCATTGCGTCTGCACCATCCTGATCACGCACTATCCCTCTATGATCTCATTAGAGCGGTGTCACAGTGAGGAGTCTACCGCTATCTATATTCACGAAGCCGCACAGCTGTGCTGCAAGTTATCGCCCCTCAATGCAATAATCTCCCAATAGACGCATTTGGTCAAGGCACCTGCCTTCAAGGAAACGCGCTCGAGCTCTTTCCTCTGGGTGATCAACTCCATCCTGGAGCGGTCCATCAGTGCGGTAGCATTGATGATCTAGACGAGGACATACAACTCTTTTGTGAGGCCATGTCTCTGCCCAGGGGGACATGCTGTCAGTGATGACTACCTGAACAACTTGGTTGTCTCACTCAAGCTCTGCTTCGATCACCAAAGCAAACCTTATGACTTCAAAGAGGCTATCTCTCCGCATGAACATACCCTGTGCCCAGGAATACTAGATGAATCTAGACAAAGGTAGTTCTACGAACTCAACTTGCGCTGAAGCTTTTTCATCTTCCCAAGGACGTCGTGTCTGGAGACTAGCATCTGTATATGAGATAATATATGACACTATCCAGACCGATACGATGCAAAATTTTAGAAATACTATTCATGTGAAGGTGTTGTAAATGTCCCGTTCATCGCAGCTACAATATCTCCAGCATCCTGACGTCCATCATGTCATCGACAGATACCATGTCCCTAACTTGCGCGACGACTTTGTTATCCGAAGCAATTCTCTTATATTCCCCACCCCACTGCTGCGCTAGCAAAAGTCTGCCAAAAGGCTGTCTGAGCCGAACGATCAACCTCAACTCTGGCGTAGTTGGTTCGTTGTATCCAGGAGACCCAGGCTCAGGCCAATCTTCTACACTCTGCGTCTTGTCTGCAAAGTTAATCAGCCCGAGATCATACCGATTCCACGGACGGATGAGCAGGAATGACTGCCGAGTACGCCTTGCAGGCGAAAATTGAGCAAGCCTGTCTTCTGTTGTGACCTGCAGGTCTTGTAGCCCGTGTGCCTTGACTTCATATGTGAAACATTTGTCACCGTCTTCACCGGCACTCCGCCTGACTTCGGTGAGAGGAAATGCGATGCAAGGCAATTGCAGTCTGGTGTTTGTGAAATGAGGAGCATTAAGATTCTTCAGGAGAGTATACAGTCTCGAAGCCGACTGCACAGCCATAATGCTGTTTCGCAGCGCGGAGACCGACATCTGCATCTCATTTTCAGATACAGATGGCAGTGTACAGGATGGAGCCTTGTATGAGGAAATGTCGGCTGGCAGGCAACTGTTGAAGTCGGACGATTGTCCCACCCAGTCCAAGGCTGTGATGTCGCCCGAATGGGCTATGATCTCCTGCAAGAGTCGTCCGAGCGCCTTTTGTCTTTTCTCTCCATAGATAACAGGAAGGTTGATATCAAAGATGCCAAACAAAGAGTAGGCGATGTCTTCCTCCCTCGTAGTATACCGGTTTGATGCCCATCGGAGTTTCTCTCGAGCATCTTTTGTCCCTGGACGGAAATCGACGAGCGCCCGCGCATTTATGCCAGTTGAACGCTCCAGCTCCCACATGATAGCGACAGACCGCTTGTGATTGCATGAGCGGTTGTCGAGATATGGGGTCCAATCTGTTTGGTAGAAGAGAACAATTTTTGGAGCGAGGAACTCCTGGACGGTCCATCCTCGCATGTTCCAAGTGCTGTTTGCGAGCGCGCCAGACTCTGACGAAGAAGGGACATCCGATAGGTAGATGATGGTGAGCGCTGAGTGGTGATACCAGATGAACATGGAGTTGACTGATTGCTGGACCTCAACGTTATTGTTCTGGTCAATGCAACAAGTGTCGCTCCACGCCCAACGATGCCCCGCATCGCGAGCGACTTTGCAGAACTTCTGCAACTTCACCATAGTTCCGACCGGACCCAAGTCATATATGACCTTGTCCTAAATGTCATGCAGTAGCGGCTCCTTCCTTTCCCACCTATGAGACAACATAACCCAATTGAAGTACTTTGCAACCGCTTCTTTGATGGGCTCCATTTGGAGGGGTGCATGCATCACCAATGAATGCAAAAGCTCTTTGTACTCTGTACTCTCCGCGAATGCGTTGATCTGTGCATCTCGATCGCACAAATGTCCAGTATAGGTGTTGATTAGACGAAGGGGGGCGTTTTCCAGTTGAGCTTGAATGGCTCGTCTAATAGCATCTTCTATTTCAAATGCATTGACGTATTGATGGCGTAGCTCTGCGAAAATATATCATTCCAGTTGGTGCTCAAGTTGTGTCGTATCCATGGGTCGGGCGCATCATCCAACTTGGAGAGCATGATTATGAAGGCTTCCAATGCATCATCATAGTGTTGTGCTCCACGAAGCGCTGTATACTTCAATTCATACCCGAGATAAGATGAAGGGTTGAGCTCGATGACCTACAAACATTATCACAAATGTTCAAACAGTGACAGATGTCGTCCGCACCTTTTCCGCATCCGAAAGGGCCTGTGCATGGAGCTTTTGGCCCAACTTCACCTTACTGCGGTGCGTAATGTATGCGTAATCCATTCCGAATGCTGCGGAGAGTGTGTTCTCGATGGACCAAAGTTGAAGATTTCCATCAAAGTCTGCGCTCGCGACCACTTCTCCACTGGAGGAAATTGCGATGCAGGAAACCCATGTGGTATGTTCAAGTGCTTGTCCTATCTGCTGGTGTGACTGTGTGCTCCACAGGCGCACAGTCTTATCAAACGAGGTAGTGGCAATGAAGAGGCCATCAGTAGAAATAGCAAGTGACGTAACGCAGGAAGTGTGACCGGTGCAAGGTTGACCGATCCGGCACCCATTTGATGAGTCCCAAAACTTGATCATTTTGTCCGCTGATGCGGAGACAAGTTGCTGGCCATCAGGCAACCATAAAACATTTTCAACCCAATCGTCGTGAGCGTTGATCTTGAGAAGAAGCTTGGTGTTGCCGGTGCGCCAAACCCGAATGGTACCCTGGGAACCGCCGGCTGCTATTTTGAGCCCGTCCGGACTGAAGGCGACACACAACACCTGCACCATACCCACATTGTGTCGGAGTGTTGAGAGGACAGCGCCGGTCTCTGCATCCCATATAATAACTGTGTCATCCCATGACCCGCTTGCGAGTCTCTTTCCATCGGGGGAGAAGCACACAGAGGACACCCGGCGTGTATGCTTCAGCAGTGGTTTGAATAGCATCTGCTTGCTCTCGACGTCCCAGATGATGATGGCTCCATCTCCTCCAGCACTCACAATTCGCCCATCATCTGGTGATACAGTAACGGACATCACGATGTCACTATGTCCCTGGAATGGCTCTCCGATGAATGCTCTTTTCTCCATGTCCCAGATTCGTAGGGTTTTATTCTTTGAAGCAGTGACGATCTGTCGACCATCTTTGAAGAATGCGATTGCCGTCACTGCCTTCGTGTGCACTCGCATTGTGTATGATGGCGCTAGCTCTGTTGTCTGCGCCGGCGTCCTGCGCATTCTCGCAGTAAGATATGCTTTTTTTGCTCTATCAAGTAATGATCCCTCCATATCGCTAAACAGGGAGATAGACTTTCAGTGGCGGTTAAACTTTAAAGTTGACGAGGAGCATACTCTGCTTTAGTTTTCGATCTTCTGTGTCGTGAGGAGAGTTGGATTTCTACTCATTTATAAGCCAATTCATGCAGGCGCTTGTCCGTTCTACTAGCTCTGTACTTACCACACTGCCACTGTGTGTCGTACTGCCCCTCTTCAATAGACCCTTGTATATTGAGTCCTTCATGGATGATTTTTTTAGGCTTGTAAGATGCCAAGCAGAATATCATGTCATGCATATGACCTTCTTAGGCAGGTGAGCGCTTGAACAATAATTCAATGCCGCTGCTCATTTCTGTTATCCCTTGATCTATTTGTGAGGGGGGCATTAGACCCTGCAAACGAAACTTTCTTTCGTTTGAAACCACCAGCACTGGTGATAAATGCTCAATCGGTCTGGCGATCGTATATAATACCTAGTGTTGATGCGAAGATTTAGAAGCAGCTAGAATCGGCAAAGATATAAACAAAGAAGGTCTCGAGTGTCAAAAGCCCCTTCATCGTTGTTATTGAAAATGTGTGGCTCATCGGCGTCGAGAAACTCATACTGGAATACAAGGTTGTCTATTGATGAGAAGGACCAGATTTAATGAGTTAGTGTGCGGCTGTAGGTCAGACTAAAGTTGCACTCAGAGTATGCTATGCTGGAATATTTTGCCTGTCGAAAGCTCGAGTCATTGGATCATTGATATTTTCTATCATCGCGATAAGTCCCTGCAATGAATTTAATTCTATGACAGATCCTGCCTGACAGGGGTGGTACCACTTTCTTTCACTGGTTCTGATGCCGTCATGCTGCAGCCCTGATATAAAACTTTTTATATAGGCGATCTGAATGCTGTGTCCCTTGATGCCGCCCATCTGGCACAACGGTCCAGGCCAGGGCTTGTTTACGTTACTTTGATGTGGATGGTTTGTTGCTACAGTCAGTCTGGACTCTGATGCACGGCCACCAGGTCGCTATTGAATCATTCTGTGATTGTTCGTTACGTTGACAATGATAGCTTGATACCAAAGTCATTCTAATACATGGCCACCAGAACACTTCGTTGTTGAGCTTTAGACTGGCACTAGAGTGACTGACTTACTCACAAGGCAATGTGAAGCTGCAGTGGCTGAGCGCTGAGGTACGTGATCTTCAAGTGTTCTTGCAGTTCTCCTCATTACTCGTGCAGCATCATCATTGTCCCAATGTCAGGAGCTCCATTTTGTTCCCTTGCCGTATAATGCGCCAGGCGGGCCACAGCTAATGTTTAATAGTGCATCCAGGGGCCGATGCAAGGTGCGCCCATGAATAACTTCCCGCCACACGGTGATCATGTTCTAAGTAATCCTGGTATGGGACTGCCGATGGGTGCCTGAGTAATGTCACGAGCCAGGGAATGGTTCCAGGACAAGGTCACGACATGATGATAGCCAATGCCAATGCAGTAAGTCATCGATTCTTGCTGCAGCTCTTGGTCATTCCTCAACTGTTCTGAAGCACTCACAGGATCGACAAAGTATGAGTAATTATACAATTTTAAAATCAAGGACGGACGGCTTGCAGGGAAGGCAGAGGCTTCAGTGCTACAGCAGGAAGGAGACCTGCACCATTTTCGCACACCTCTAAGACCCCAAACAGACGACAACCTCGTGTACTCGCGCACACACCCTCACCCCCGTTAGCCTTAGGTTGGCTTCCGATGCTCTAACGCCCCAAACTTCAGTACGGGGCGCGAGCCAATGGTCTATAATTATACCAATGTTAGTACGCAAACCAGAACATAGTAGCACATAGTATGTACTGTCTACATCAGGTGTTGCCCTCCGCAGACAATAAAATGGATTTTATAAAAAAGGATGCCAGAGTTTTACGGAGATCAGGCAGGACCTTCGAACACGGTGAATGATGTTATAAAGGGAGGAGGCAATTAGATGCATACCTTGAGCAAAGTATCCAGAATTACTTCTGCAACACTACTTTCGTCGACGTCACCTCCTTCAAATAGCACCTCAACAACACGTTCGCGGATCTAGCTTGGGTTCCACGCCTGGTAGAGAGGATGTGCGGACATCACTCAGAGAAGATTCTGAAGCATCTGTTAGTATCTAACACACATGACGTTGCCAGCCATAGTTGGTGGAGGGAGGTGAGAGCCAAATAAGAGGAGTGCACAGATGTGTGACTACTCGGAAAAGCGAGAGCTTGCAAGTGGTGTTGTTCGGGGCTGGGGAAAGAGAGGATGTGCTGCAAATATCTGATAGGGTGTGTTAACAACAGGTCAATCTATCTCACAGGTGATGTGGTGGATTCTAGATGGCCCATAGGACGACTCGTTATTCTTCCAACAGATAACAGACATCAGACACTTGATGCGAACGATATTGAGGGAAGTGTCACTGTAAATCCATAGCACCGTAGCCTACATAAGCTGGACACATAGCTGAGGGTCTTCGAACAGGATGGAACCTATCACATTCTTGATGTATAGCGATGTTGATGAATGCTCAACTAGAATCACCCTGGGTTCTGCAGGAGGGAGTGACGATCGTACAAACCCACCGCACAATAACTCGTGGAATATGTGAGCTCTGAATTCGCACACCCGAAGAATTCATTCAAGTTCATGCATATAAATACGCGATGAGTCTGAGTCTGAAAGGTAGCTCCTCATCGCTCCTTCAATTACTCTAAGTGAGTCCAAGGCCTAGTTTTCGAGTCATTCGTCCGGTTTTCATTTAATGAGAGATGTTTGAAGAACGTGGGGTCCGGGCCCGCCACTTGAGTTGTTGGCATCGCAAATGTGATGCCCGTTGGTGTACCTGTATGGGACTGTTGACATTAATATTACTGAGAACGAACAATTGCTTTTTGTGCATGTGACTAATCGTGTCGCGTTTGTTTGGTGTATTTTTGGGTTTTATACTAGTTTTACTATCTTTGAGATTCACGTTAGAAGCTTAGTGTTTGGGTCGCAAAATTTTGAATTTCTACTACGACGGACAAAGACCTAAGCTGTAAGAATACAATAGAGCTATCTGGGCGAAAGCGCGCAGCGCTTCCCGGTCCCGATCTGCATGCCTGTAAGAGACGAGTGAGCTGCGAATCCCACACTAGTAGGAGTCCAGCGACGCATAGAGTGAAACTCGTATTCCCAAGGTAGTAGGAGCGGATGAACTAGGTGCTTACTTTGACAAAAGCCTTAGCAGACGTGTGGCATTGTGTATCGCAGATACTCATCATGAAGTGCAGGGGTGGCTTGCAGGTATGGTGCGAGGATCTGTGCGTGTTTTCGAAGGTAGAGTTGAAAGGCGTCGCTAGCCCAGCATCCCATGGTTTTGACTACGTCGAATGGGATGTTGCGAAGAAGATATTCCAATGTAGTGCCTATTCTGATTCCATGACCCTGCAGAGGGACAAGGCCTGCATCTGTCGTGGCTTGTGCGAGGCATGCGATGAATTTTGACTTTGTGAGGACGCGATGGCCTTTCCCATGCTTGTAGGAAAAGAGGGCTATATTTCCGGGAGGGTCGTTAATGCGGTAATGATTCTCTAGAGCTGCTACAGGGTCGTAGACACCATGCTGGTGCGCGCATGAAACATCTTCACCTGTGGGGGAAGATTTTGTGCACGGTAAGTGGAACATGGTCGTTTGCAAACCGTTTCGGTCTGTTTCGTGTTGGACATCTGAGCGGGTGATGTGCAAGGATGGGTCAAACCTGTTAATGCTGGGCACTGTAAATTCACCTGCTCGAGCCATGGTGTAGAAGGTGACGGCGAGGCATGCACGTACTGCAGCGGTGAGTGGATTGTTGGCATCAAGTTTTCCCAGGAGCGCTTCGACGAAGCTGATTGTGTTACGCACTCAAATAGATCTGTTAGGCGGAGCCCTAAGAGGGGCGTCGTCCGCTAATGTTCGTGACGTAACCGGAAGGATCCAGTATAGCAAGTGAGACTGGCGACGATGAGTCGGCAGTGATCACAGTACGCGCGTGTCACGTGACTTCGTAGACAGATGTCTGTGAAGTCACTCAAGGTCAGGACTGTCTTGTCCAGACGATGAGGTCGATCGAGGTAGACTTAGTCGTGAGGAGCGACTAAGAAAAGATACTAAAGACTGAAGCTGAGGGGGCTTCAGAGGAAGTATGTTTCAGGGAAGATTGAGTAGATTCAAGTTAGAGAATCTAGTACAAGGTGACCGACTACTTATACTAAGTGGAGAGGGTTAAGGGCAAGGCTACCGCACAGTAGGTAAGGGTAAAGGGGATACGAAAGTGGTATAGGTGCGTTGGCAACATAGCCGGATTAGTGATGGGTGGTCGAAATGTGGAATGAGACCGAGAAACGTTGGAACGGACCAACAGTACGAATACAACGTGCGGGAATCCGCAGTCAGAGGAAACAGAAAGAGGAAAGCCACATTGGTGGCACGAGTCAGACCGAGTCATAGGTGCGGGACCACATTGGTGGTCGAATCAGAGGATGAACGTGCGTGCACGTGCATAGAGGCGGGCGATGCGAGGGACGGGAATGGTCCCGAGGATCCGGTCAACGGAAAGGCGGTAGAGGAGGACGAGCCGGTAGATGGTGAGGGCGAGGATGAAGGGAAAATGATAGGGGGGCCATGTGACCGATGTTACTTGTAACAGATTGTGTATGGTTGTTGTTTCTTCTTCTTGGAAGTGGCAGGGGTAAGGTTGTTCGCCGCTTTGAGCAGCGTGACAATTTGGTCATCGTTGATGGTCCAGGGTTGACTGTGCAAGATATGCCATGCGCGCACACCATGTACATAGTTGGATACCGTTTTTCCAGAATATAGACCCACCATGGTGGCAATGAATGAGGCGATGAGGTCGGAAGATGCTGGGGACCGTTGTGCTTCTGCAATCGACTTCGTGTCGCAGAATACGTGAAAGGCGAGGATTCCGCTGCCATACAGTTCTTGAGTGCTGCGGGCCCAAGTGTGTATCATTACGTTTTGTATGCGCTGGATGTCGAGATTCGGGTGCGTCAGCAGTGAGTTAGAGCTCGTCGGGGACCAGAGACGTAGACGGTCTCTGGCTGCGCAATGTGGGCGTAATGGGGATGGGAGCAGAGCGGGGTTAGCAGGATAGGCTGTAGGGGAAGAAGCCTTCAACGGCTGTTTGATAGTTTTCGTGGGTGGCAAAGACTTGCTATGTTTGTGACGCTTCGAAGAGAGCCTCCCCCTCGCGTCTGAGGACGTTGTTGAGGTTGTGGGAATGATGGTTGATGTCGCGGCGAGGCTGAGCGGGTGTGGCAGTTCGGCGCCGCGTCGTTTCAGTGAGACGTTCAGCAGGGAGAGTGGGAGCGTCAAAGTCAACGAGGAACTCTTGGATTTCTGCGGGAATGTGCACTGGAGGGAGAAGGAGGTTGGCTGGTGGGTATTTCCCCCTTGAAGGCTCGTCTGCGGGGTTGTGCGCGCTGGGAATGTAACGAGTGAGGAAGGTGCAGTTGGTTGTGGCTGACAGCTTATGGATGCATTTGAATACTTCATTAGTGGCGCAAATCCGGCTGCGGCCCTTCCACCATCCTTCGACGACGCCATGGTTATCCCCGTAAATCTTGAGGCATGAGTTTTCTGGGCAGTTAGCAGCGAGCGTGCGAGCAAGGAGTTCCATTCCAACTGCTTCGGCCCAGCCAATGCCCCGATTGTCTCTGTCCCACCCTGGAATAAGGCGCCAAGCTCACCACCAGCCCTTGATCCAGATCGCAACGCCAACGCCCGAGCTAGCATCTGAGTAAGCTTCAGGTTCGATGACGTCGACGGGTCCTGGGATGGTGCGGGAGACGTTGGGTTGTGCGAGAGTGCTTTTCCACCAGCGGAGGTCGTTTGGAGTGTCTTTTGGGGGGGTGCGAGGCATGTGAGGACGGTTACTACAGATGGATAGCATGGCTTCGAGGGAAACCAGGTATGCTCTCCCGGCAGGGAGAACGAAAGACGCATGAAGGAGTTTTCCGTGGAGCTGTTGCATTTCATGCAGGGTGTGTGCGGGTTGCTTCTCCCACTCATGGATGGCCTCCAGGTATTTCTCCTTCTTCTGTTCTGGGATGGAGACCCTGCGGGTCTCCAGATCCCATAGGAACCCGATGAACGGGGCGCATGTGGAGAAGAGTATGTCCTTGGCGAGTTCCCACGGGATGCCCAGAAAGCGAGAGAGTCTGTTGATATTGTTGAAGCAGTAGGTGAAGCGTGCGTCTTCTGGGGAGCAGGGAGAAGCAGAAGAAAGGTCAATGATTGGAAAGGTGAAGTCTTCGTCGAACTCCTCAATTCGGTCGTCGGGCATTGAGGATCCTCGATACCAGTGACGACCTCCCTCCACAAGACAACCGCCGTTCTTGGCGACGATGAGTGCTCTTGCTGCCCGCAGCCGGTTGTATTCGTTGAGGTATTTGCGCAGGATGCGGATGAAGAAGTGGTCGTCGACCCATTTGGACATGGGGCTGATGCCTTGTGAGCGCATGACGTCGGTGCCCGCATCCGCCATTTCTCCGTATGATCCTGCAGCTGATGAACAACCGAAGCAGAAGCTCGTGTCGATGGCGAAGCTATTGGTGTCTGTGCGAACCACCAATCCCGGCCATTGGGAAGGGTGTAAAGGTATGGTTCGGTAAGCTTCGGCCACGTCTCGGACGGCTGCTTGGGATCCTGGTGGAAGGTGCCAGATGAGGGTGCAAATGGTAGCGGCGGTGCCCCACGTGCAAGGGTAGAGGTTGGAATCGATGGATGAGTTGATGGATGAGATTGGGGGGGAAGGTGATGAAGGAAAGGATAGGTTTTGGACAATGCGGAATCTCCCTGGTTTACCCGGCTTGGGTATGATGGACAAGGGAGCCGTTTGGAAAGGACCAATGAGGGTTTCCGTCTCAGTTCTGGTGAGCGGGCCCATATATCTGCCGGTAGCATATTCACGTTCAATAATTGCAGTAAAAGCGTCACAATGTTCAAGAATGGATGGATTATTAGCTGGGGTGTAAGTAGAGGTGATGGGGCGTATACTACCGGTGAAACCCATGCGCAGACTATTAGGTATATGTTTGTATCTATGTATAAGTTTGGAACTCATGAGAATGTGGTGCCAGGCTTCTGCGTGGTATGGGGTGAGGGCGTTAGAGTGTCTTGCTGAGAGAACATCTTTGAGCGCCGTGTTCTTTGCTTCCACACCCTGAGCACTCGTGTACATGGGAACGGGAGGTGTTGATGCAGCCATTGGGTCTTTGCCAGTCGTAGCATAGCTCGCGTCCTTCGGGGTTGACCAGGTGCCCCGCTGAATTGTGGGTGCAGCGGGTTTTGGTGTGTCCATCCCACAAGAGCTCGGTGATGCACTTGTGGATGTTGTGACGGAAACGGCCCAAGCAAAGGGCGCAGGCGGAGGAACCAGTTTTGCCTGCGCCCGCTGGAAAAAGCTGGTTGGCATTGGGTTGTTTCCCTTGCTGGTTTCCCGAGGGACGGCGGTATGGGTGGAAGTGTTCTTCAGACTGAGTGACCCCCGCAGGTTCTTGTTTCCCACGAGATGGGGCATTTTCCCGAGTTCGTCCTTTCGACTGTGAAGATGAGAGGGCAACGGAGTTCTGGAGCTGGGTTGAGAAGGTAGGGTAACGCGGCGAGTAGTTTGGTAGCGTGGGTGCAGGAAGTGGTTGAGCGGAGTTCATCCAAGTGTTGGTAGCGGGTGAGGGAAGCGAATTGTGGGTGGAGTTAGAACATTGTGTGGGAAGCAGGTGGTGGGAGGTGGGAAGCGGGAAGCATGGGTGCAGCTGTGGTCGAGGCAGGTTTGGTAGCATGGGTTGGTAGCAGGTTGGAGGCGAAGAGGGGAGCGTGTAGTGGGAAGCGGACAGCAAAGGGAGCATGAGCGAGTTGGGGAAAGCATATTCGAATGTTGTGTGAGTAGGTAGTGAGTTCGCGAGAGGGTGAAGTGAATCAAGTGTGTGTTAGGGTTGGTCAATGTTTGTATGGGGGAAGATGCATACCATTTTCATCCCTTCATCTCATTCTTCTTCCCAGACGTCATCTGACAGGCTGTTATATAGCGCATTGTTGAATAATCTGATGTTGAAACCTTGATTTAGGGTAAGACGGTTGTGCCAATCTCTGTGAACCATGCTTGTGTAGTGGAGAAGAGTCTTTTCCCCCTGCGGGCGCATTCTGTGTTCGTGGTTTGTGATGAGCGTGAAGAAAAGTGCAAGCACCATCTGGTGCTTGTCGGGCCAACCGGCCTTCTCGATATGGACGAGGAAGCTGGTTTTGGCCATGTCAAACTGCCTCCAGGAAAGATCGTGATCCTGTAAGGCTTTGTTAGAGGCTTTGAAGGAAGAAAAGGATTTCAAGGCAACGATGCCATCGATCTTTTCAAGACCTAGAGCGTCGTCCGCGGAGGACTTGTTCCAGTCTCGAGCCTCACGACAGCCATCAGGGCTGAAGTACCAGAGTTCAATGAACTCCATGTTCTTGACCTTTTGGAGCGCGAATTGCAAGGGACGTGGGATGATGACATCTGATACCGGTAGGTCGACGTTAAAGTTGTTGATCTTCGGTTTCTTTTTCTTGGTTTCGCGACGTTCTTCTGCTTCTGCGGCTTCTCTTTCTTCGCGCTCGTGATCTGCGGCTTCTTGGATGGCATGTGCATCTTCGTCGAGCTGTTGCTGCCAGAGGACGATGCGTTCTTGGCGTTCTTGGGTCCAACCATTGACGAGCTGGGCAAGGGCAGCTTCTGTGGTCAGTCCTGAGCCTACGAGGGCAGCAGTACATGCTGCAAAAGCAGGTGATTCGAAGTTCGGCTGAACTTCGAGCGACGGATCAGAGTTTATGCGAGGTACGATTACTTCCACCATGGTAGAACGACGGTGCCGGGCATGGGTTTCGATATTAAATGAGAAAGGATGAAAGAATTGTGGGTGTTGGTTTACTTGTAGGTACTTGTGTGAAAGAAAGAAAACAAAGGAGGATGGAGAGAACATTGACAACAACTACTAGGGAATGACAGTCGCGGTACGAGAAGAAGAGTTTGTGCTGCTTCTGTTGTTCTCACAAAGACTAAACTCTGTTCCTTCGCTCATGCCTCATTACGTAACAGAGCCGCAAAATTTGAGGGACATGCGCTGATGTGGAAGAAATACAGTTGCTGGTATATTCAGCGATAGCCTGAGATACATCGATTTCTATCTACTCAATCTGCAACAAACGAAAGCAAAAGGAAAGGAAATATACAAATGATAGCAACTCGACTTGTCACGTACTACTACAACGAAGCACTTAGCTATGACTAAGTACGAAAAGCATCACGAAGATCAACCAACAGCCCATCAAAATAGATCATTGCAAGAGGGCTCATCTGATACATCTGACGTGAGACAGCTTGATAGAAAGCTGCGTTTTCTGCAGTCACGAACTCGGCAGCTGGCAATCTGCCCATTGAGTACCGTCTCAGTGCCCATTTAAAAGTGGTGCTGATAAAGGAGATTAAGTTCATAAGGCAATTTTTCCACCTTTCGGAGCCATCGTAGAAAACGAAACAATGGTACTGCTTCTCCGACAGGATGATTTCTAACATATTGATGATCGCATTACTTCCAAATGGGATGTTGAATGGCCTGAGCTGGCCATCACTCTCGATCAGCTGAAGTTAAACGTCAAATGTAATAGAAACTCGTGCAATGGATGTACTTACCATCATGAAGCCATGAAGGAACGAATTGTTCGCGAGCAGCGAATGGATCCGTTCAATCCTTAGTGCTGCGCGCGCTGAACCGCGCTTGTTGATTGCAAGATCCAGGAAATAGGCATTGATTACTGAGGTGAGCGCGAGGTCCTTAAACTCATTTCGGATTCTTGTCAGAATCCCCTTGAGCCTCCTTATTTCGTGTTGACCCTCCAATTGCATCTTCCATTTCTTGAGGTCTACTGCTTTTTTATCCGTGAGTTGAGGAAAAAGTATATATCAAAGGGATAGTACCATTTGAACTTTGAGTGATCGCCTCGTCGAGTGCTTTTTCGGCCATTGTGTTGAGAGTTGCTTCATTGGCAGGGAAGAACGTTTCGTTGAGGATGATCCTAACCATTCGTACACAGGCTTCATTCTTTACGAGCTCTACCACCTCTGCTGATAAAAAGACTGCTGTAGGACGGGGAACTGGTATTGTTGGCAGTGTAGAAAGTGTAATGAGAGTGTGAGATGGCGCTATCCCGGTTGCAGGCTGGAGGTTGCTTTCATTGCCGGTCGGCTCCTGTAGAGGGACAAGTTTAGTCTCAGGGCTGCTGACTTGCAGCGGCCAATCCTGCATGTGAGCCATGATAATGGACAAGGACACGTCTATGCAGCCACGCGATTAATGAAAGGTAGTAGCAGTCGCGATCATAGCACACCTTTTGAGAGCTGGTATTGGTATCTCTTTAGCTCTGGGAGGCGATGGTAATGAGAATGAATGCGAAAAATTGCTGCCTTAAGAATGCTGCAAGTTAGTCGCCGAATCGGATAGCATATACAGTACATATCCCAATAATGCATATCCCAGTAATGCATATCCTAGATAATGCATCGACTTTGGCAGGGTCCCATCATGGGCGCAGCCATTATGCACTAAAAACTTTATACTGAATAATGCATGAACTTTTGAGGGTAATATGCATTGTCTGGGTACTATTAATGGGGGCTGCATTGTTCTATGTGTGAATATAAGCAGCAAAATATGCTAGATAAGATATCACAAAAGTCTTTACAATGTCTCAATCCAAGCAAAGTTGTCAATAAACCTACTCAGGAAACTGCTAAGCCTATTGAGATTGAATCTGATGACAACGACGACGGCAACAACATAGAATTGAGTGCATTATGTCAGCGCATTGAGACCGCATGCTGTAATCCTCGCTTAGCCTTAGAGCAACTCTGTAGTTATTGTGGTCAGTTGTGATGGGAGGAGCTACAGAATGCAAAGCAGGCGTCGTTAGATCAATATTTTACCAAGTAATTGATGTACTATCTACTGTGGTTATAACAAGGTCACACGGTGTCACAGTGTGTGACATCCAGCATTGTGCATATCCATGGTAATGCATGGCATTTTCAGGCTCCCGACCGTATGCATTATTGGGATATGTACTGTAGTACTTGCGTCGTGACATCCTAACCAGGATATGTACTATAATAATTAGTCAGTGATTGGGTGTACGAGTCAACGTCACTTGATCATAGCTTGATTAAGGCCTGCTGAGGTTCCCTGAAAAGGGAACAAATTTTCAATTGATCACCTCATGAAGAGATGACTTACCTTTTGAATGATGGCTGGATACGGTATTCATTCATTTAAAATAAAGTTTTTCCATATTTGGCGACCAAGAAACGACGACCCTGAGCGTCTTCGGTCTACTCGATGGCTCGAACAGGCTCGTCTTCTTCGCTTGTGTTCGGACACGCATTATGACTGAAGCGGTATTAATGTTGATGCCTTTCTAGGTATCTGTAGCGGATATATCACAACCGAGTCATTTAAATGGGGACTAGGAGGTACGTTGCCTCATAATACTTTTGGGCGACGATCAATTTGGAAAGAAGTGAGGCATTAGGATATCATGAGCCTGCCTCAATAAGCATATGCATGCATGGCTCAAATAGGCTCGTCTTCTTTTTCACAAGCCCGTGTTCGGACACGCACACTACTGAGTAATATTACTGTTGCCCTCAATCATATCTTCTAGATATAACATCACAGCCGAGTCGTTTCGAATCGGGACTAAGGTGAAGTGCGTTGCCCCGTAATATGGTTATCATCTTAATGGCAGAGATTCTACATAGAAAAGGTCTTATCAATGAAGAAATTTCTCAAACTTAGAGGTACAGCCTTTTCTGCCCACATAGCGAGTTTGGTAGAAGATCAACTAGTTCATTACTTTAGCCGTCGGAAAGGAGTTCGCCGTAGATTCACGCACACACTCCGAGCTGTCCTCATCCAAACTCGTGGCACTAGTGCTGGAGTCTGTGGGAAGCGCTCGATTGCTACCTTCAGCACGGACTCAGCTGCGAATAAATAATGCCGCTGGTGAACATAACTTTCGGATTCATGTCATGAAGCCGTTTACCTGCAACAACTTTAAAGACATCACGTCATAATATATCGGCAACACCGAAGTCCATGCGATCTTGAAGTTCCGCCTTGCTGCAGTCAACAAGAGCTTCAAGCGGAGTTTCAAGTTTCGAGACGAAGCCACATTCAAGAATGCATCCGAAGGAACTTGGGGTTTTCCACGGGTGCGGAAAACCCGTAGTGAAGTTATGGTTGAGGGTTGTGCATGGTTTAGGCCATTAAAACTATACGGATCAAAGTTTTACAGGTGTTTCTGCATGCAGGTGCTGTCAAGATGTAAACGTAAACGAAAATTGGTCACAATATCTCTAACATCCTGACGTCCATCACGTCATCAACAGAAGTCATGTCCTTCACTTGCGCGATGATTTTGTTGTCCGAAGCGATTCTCTTATACTCCCCACCCCACTGCTGCGCTAGCAAAAGTCCGCCAAAAGGCTGTCCGAGCCGAACGATCAGCCTCAACTCTCGCGTAGTCGGCTCGTTGTATCCAGGAGACTCGGGCTCGGGCCAATCTTGTACGCTCTGCGTCTTGTCTGCAAAGTTAATCAGCCCGAGATCATACCGATTCCACGGACGGACGAGCAGGAATGACTGCCGAGTACGCCTTGCAGGCGAGAATTGAACAAGCCTGTCTTCCGTTGTGACCTGCAGGTCTTGTAGCCCGTGTGCCTTGACTTCATATGTGAAACATTTGTCACCGTCTTCACCGGCACTCCGCCTGACTTCGGTGAGAGGAAATGCGATGCAAGGCAATTGAAGTCTGCCATGAGCAAAACGAGGAATGCTAAGATTCTCCAGGAGAGTATACAGTCTCGAAGCTGACTCCACAGCCACAATGTTGTTTCGCAGCGTGGAGACTGACATCTGCATCCTGTCTTCGGATAGAAATGGCAGTGTACAGGACGGAGCCCTGTATGAGGAAATATCGGCTGGCAGGCAACTGTTGAAGTCGGACGATTGTCCCACCCAGTCCAAGGCTGCGATGTCGCACGAATGGGCTATAATCTCCTGTAAGAGACGTCCGAGCGCGTTCTGTCTTTTCTCTCCGTAGATTACAGGAAGGTGGACGCCAAATATCCCAAACAGCGAATACGCGATATCTTCCTGCAATGTAGTGACACGCGTCGACGCCCATCGGAGTTTCTCTCGGGCATCTCTCGTCCCCGGACGAAAGTCGACGAGCGCCCGTGCATTTATGCCGGTCGAACGCTCCAACTCCCTCATGATAGCGGCAGACTGCTTGTGGTTGCGTGAGCGGTCGTCGAGATATGGGGTCCAATCTGCTTGGTAGAAGAGAACAATTTTTGGAGCAAGGAACTCCTGAACGGTCCATCCTCGCGTGTTCCAAGTGCTGTTTGCTAGCGCGCCCGACTGTGACGAAGGAGGCACATCCGACAGGTAGACGATAGTGAGCGCTGAGTGGTGATACCAGATGAACATGGAGTTCACTGATTGCTGGACCTCAATATTATTATTCTGATCGATGCAGCATGTATCGCTCCATGCCCAACGATGCCCTGCATCGCGAGCGACTTTGCAGAACTTCTGCAACTTCACCACGGTCCCGACAGGATCCAAGTCATATATGTTCTTGTCCTGAATGTCGTGCAGTAGTGGCTCCTTCCTTTCCCACCTATGAGACAACATGACCCAGCTGAAGTACTTTGCGACCGCTTCTTTAATGGGTTTCCTTTGGAGGGGCGAATGCATCACCAAAGAATGAAAAAGCTCTTTGTACTCTGTACTCTCCATGAATACTTTGATCTGCGCATCTCGATTGCACAAACGCCCAGTCGAGGTGTTGATTTGACGAAGTGGGGCATTGTCCAGCTGGGCGTGAATGGTTCGTCGAATAGCATCTTCTACTTCAGACGGACTGACGTATTTCTGGCGTAGCTCTGCAAAAAAAAACACGAGTCATCTTCAAGTTGGCGCTTGAGTTGTTTGAGGCTTACGTCGTATCCGTGGGTCAGATGCATTATCCAACTTGGAGAGCATGATTGTGAAGGCTTCAAATGCATCATCATAGCGCTGGGCTCCGTGAAGTGCTGCGTGCTTCAATTCGTATCCGAGATAAGACGAAGGGTTAAATTCGATGACCTTCGAACATCATCGTAAATGTTAAAACAACGACAGATGTCATCCGCACCTTTTCCGCATCCGAAAGGGCCTCCACGTAGAGCTTTTGGCCCAACCTCGCCTTACTGCGGTGCGCAAAATATAAATCGTACGATGAATCCAGTCCAAATGTTGCGGAAAGCGTGTTCTCGATGGACCAAAGTTGAAGATTCCCATCAAAGTCTCCACTCGCGAGCAGTTCTCCACTGGGAGAAATTGCAACGCAGGACACCCAAGTGGTGTGTTCGAGTGCCTTTCCTATCTGCTGGTGTGACTTTGTGCTCCATATGCGCACAGTCTTATCATGCGAGGCAGTGGTAATGAAGGAGCCATCTAACGAAATGGCAAGCGATGTGATGCGGGAAGTGTGACCAGTGCAAGGTTGACCGATCTGGGTCCCATTCGACGAGTCCCAAAACTTGATGGTTTTGTTATATGATGCAGAGATGAGTTGCTGGCCGTCAGGCGACCACACAACGCTTTCAACAGAGAAGCTGTGAGCGTTCAAGTTGATCTGGAATAGAAGCTCGGTGTTGCCGGTGTGCCAAACCCGAATGGTACCTTGCGCTCCGCCGGATGCTAATTTTAGCCCATCCGGACTGAAGGCGACACACCACACCCAATCCCAACTCTTGAGTGTTGAGAGGGCAGCGCCGGTCTCTGCATCCCATATGATAACTGTGCTATCCCATGACCCGCTTGCAAGTCTCTTTCCATCGGGGGAGAAGCACACCGAGGACACCCGGCGTGTATGCTTCACGAGCGGTTTGAATAGCATCTCCTTGCTCTCGACGTCCCAGATGATGATGGCTCCATCTCCTCCGGAACTCGCAATTCGCCTATCGTCTGGCGATACAGTAACTGATGTCACTATGTCACTATGTCCCTGGAATGGCCCTCCGATGAATCCTCTTTTCTCCATGTCCCAGATTCGTAGGGTTTTATCCATTGAAGCAGTGACGATCCATCGACCATTTTTGAAGAACGCGAGCGCCTTCACTGAGCTTGTGTGCATTCGCGTCGTTTGTGTTGGCACCAGCTCTCTTGTCTGCGCCAGCGTCCTTCGTCTTCTCACAGAAAGATTTCCTACATGGAACAATCCTGACATGTCGCTAGATAGGAAGATGGACGGTCAGTAGCGTTTGAAATTGACGAGGAACGTACTCTGTACTGCTGTCGTCAATCTTGTGCGTCGCAAATGGAGCTGCAGCTGCAGGACTTCTGCCCATAACCCAATCCATGTCGGCTCTTTATATATCCTTGGCCCATACACGTTGCTACAACATGTATTTCATTTAGCTCCTTCCGTAGCGCCTGTAACGGACCAAGTACTTTCGTTGACATCCCAAATCATGATGTCATCAGCCGCCCTGCTCGCAACTCGCCTGTCGTCTGGTGATACAGCGACTGGAGTCATGACCCCGAATGGCCTTCCTACCAATGGCTCCTTTCTCTAAGTGCCAGATGTATGCAATGCGGTCCCAACCAGCTACAATCAATCGACTGTCTTTGAAGAACGCGACCGTCGACATCATTCTCGAGTGCCCTGGAATCGTCCGCATCAGTTGTGTTGTCTGCCCCAGTATTGCAAATCCTCTCACAGCAAGTTACGGTGTTTTTGTTGCATCAGGTACACTCGCCAACGTGTTATGCTGGCCTACTAGACAGGGAGATGGATGGTCAGTAGCATTTGAAGTTGACGAGGAGTGTGCTTTACGGTTATGTTGTCAATCTTATGCATTCTAGACAAATGAAGGACCGTGTCACTCCGCTCTTCGTGGCGATTGGGCAAGGTCGAGTGGGTACGGGAAATGCAAGGCACTCTTGGCACTGATCAGGTCGACAGCGAACTCGAACTTGTACATAAGCTCATCCTTGCGATGGCCAACTGTACAACTATTTCTGGCGATGAAGCCACATGAGTACGTGCATTTGAAGCTTTGGAAGAGAATACCTTACTTGTCATGGCAAGCAGGACCGTAGACAGCCTTACAACTCCCAACTGAAGTAATATTAATGTTGCACATACCCTCATTAATCAAACCTTCCAGATACTATTTTCAGTGCATATATATCACAGCTAAGTCGCTTCAAATGGGGCCTAAGAGGTGAAGGTCCTATCAATTTCTCGAACTCAGAAGTACAGCATATCCTGCTCATATAGCCTAGTAGCGAGTTTGGTAGGTAGGTAGTTATTTTAGCTGTCAGACCCAAAGGAATTCTCCGTGGTTTCACGGACGGACACCAAGCTATACTCATCCAAACTCGTGGCACTAGTGCTTCAACAAGAGCTTCAGGCGAGGTTTCGAGACGTTATGAAGCAGCGCTGCGGCACCACATTCAATAACCATCCGAAGGAACTTCAGATTTTCCGCAGTGCGGAAAATCCGCCCTGTTATGGTTGGGGGTTGCGCCCTAGGTGAGGCCAAATACTAAACGATTCAAAGTTCTACAGGTATTTTTGCATGCAGGTGCTGTTAAGATGTGAGCGAAAATGCGTCACATATTCATATTCTCAGTAGCTATAATATCTCTAGCATCCTGATGTCCTTGATGTTATCAACACAAGTCATGTCCCTCACTTGCGCGATAATATTGTTATCCGAAGCAATTCTCTTATACTCCCCACCCCACTGCTGCGCAAGCAAAAGTCCGCCAAAAGGCTGTCCGAGCCGAACGATCAGCCTCAACTCTCGCGTAGTTTGCTCGTTGTGTCCAGGAGACTCGGGCTCGGGCCAATCTTGTACGCTCTGCGTCTCGTCTGCAAAATTAATCAGCCCGAGATCATATCGATTCCACGGACGGACGAGCAGGAATGTCTGGCGAGTACGCCTTGCAGGCGAGAATTGAACAAGCCTGTCTTCCGTTCTGACCTGCAGGTCTTGTAGCCCATCTGCCTTGACTTCATATGTGAAACATTTGTCCCCGTCTCCACCGGCACTCTGCCTGACTTCGGTGAGAGGAAATGCGATGCAAGGCAATTGCAATCTGCCATGAGCAAAACGAGGAACGCTAAGATTCTCCAGGAGGGTATACAGTTTCGAAGCAGACTTCACAGCGACAATATTGTTCCGCAGCCTGGAGACCAATACCTGCATGTCGTGTTCAGATACAGATGGCAGCATGCATGGCAGAGCCTTGTATGATGAAATCTCAGCTGGGAGACAGCTGTTGAAGTTCGACGATTGTCCCACCCAGTCAAGGGCCGAAATGTCGCCCGAATGGGCTATAATCTCCTGCAAGAGTCGTCCGAGCGCCTTTTGTCTTCTCTCTCCGTAGATAACAGGGAGGTGGACATCAAAGATGCCAAACAAAGAGTAGGCGATGTCTTCCTCCCTCGTGGTGTCACGGTTTGACGCCCATCGAAGTTTCTCTCGTGCATCTCTTGTCCCGGGATGGAAGTCGACGAGCGCCCGCGCATTTATGCCCGTTGAACGCTCCAACTCCCTCATGATAACGACAGACTGCTTGTGGTTGCGTGAGCGGTCGTCGAGATATGGGGTCCAATCTGCTTGGTAGAAGAGAACAATCTTTGGAGCAAGGAACTCTTGAACGGTCCATCCTCGCGTGTTCCAGATGCTGTTTGCGAGCGCGCCAGACTTTGACGAAGGAGGCACGTCCGATAGGTAGATGATGGTGAGCACTGAATGGTGATACCAGACGAACATGGTGTTGACTGATTGCTGGACCTCAACATTGTTGTTCTGGTCGATGCAGCATGTATCGCTCCACGCCCAATGATGCCCCATATCACGTGCGACTTTGCAGAACTTCTGCAACTTCACCACAGTCCCAACGGCATCCAAGTCATATATGTCCCTGCCCTGAATATCTTGCAGCAGCAGCTCGTTCCTTTCCCACCTATGAGATAACATGACCCAACTGAAGTACTTCGCGACTGCTTCTTTGATGGGTTCCCTTTGGAGGGGAGCATGCATCACCAACGAATGTAGAAGCTCTTTGTACTCTGTGCTCTCCGTGAATGCATTGATCTGCGCATCTCGATTGCACAAACGTCCAGTAGAGGTGTTGATCAGACGAAGTGGGGCATTTTCCAGTTGGGTGTGAATGGCTCGTCGAATAGCATCTTCTACTTCAGATGGACCAATGAATTGTTGGCGTAGTTCTGTAGAAAATGTAAGTCATCTTCAGGTCGGCACTCGAGTTCTGCGGAGCTTACGTCGTATTTGTGGGTCGGGTGCATCATCCAACTTGGAGAGCATGATTTTGAAGGCCTCGAATGCATCATCATAACGCTGTGATCCACGAAGCGCTGTGTGCTTCAATTCGTACCCGAGATAAGATGAAGAGTTAAGCTCAACAACCTACGAACATGATCACAAATGTGAGAACAACAACGGATATCGTCCGCACCTTTTCTGCGTCCGAAAGGGCCTCCGCATAGAGCTTTTGGTCTAACTTGACCTTACTTCGATGCGCCAAGTATGAGGAATCCGTCCCTAATGCTGCGGAAAGTGTGTTCTCGATGGACCAGAGTTGAAGATTTCCATACTTGTCTCCACTCGCAAGCAGTTCTCCACTGGGAGAAATTGCAACGCAGAAAACCAATGCGGTGTGTTCGAGTGCTTGTCCTATCTGTTGGTATGACTTTGTGCTCCACAGACGCACAGTCTTATCTCCTGATGCAGTGGCAATGAAGGAGCCATCGGAAGAATTGGCAAGTGACCGAATGTAGGAAGTGCAAGGTTGACCGATTTGTGCCCCATTCGACGAGTCCCAAAACTTGATTGTTTTGTCCGCTGATGCAGAGATAAGTTGCTGGCCGTCAGGCGACCATACAACACTAAGAACGAATTCTTCATGAGCGTCGATCCCGAGAAGGAGCTCGGCGTTATCGGTGCTCCAAACCCGAATGTTGCGCCATGTTCCGCATGCTAATTTGAGCCCATCTGGGCTGAAGGCGACACAATCCACCGAGCTCGGACACTTTAGTGTTGAGAGGACGGCGCCACTCTCCACATCCCATATAATTACTGCACTATCCCATGACCCGCTTGCAAGTCTCTTTCCATCGGGGGAGAAGCACACCGAGGACACTCGGCTTGCATGTTTCACCCGCGGTTTGTTGAATAGCATTTTCTTACTCTCGACACCCCAGATGATGATGGCCCCATCTCCTCCACCGCTCGCAATTCTTCTCTCGTCTGGCGATACAGCGACTGACAACACGAAGTCAATGTGTCCCTCAAATGGTCCTCCTACAAATGCTCTTTTCTCCACGTCCCAGATCCGCAGGGTTTTATCCGCTGAAGATGTGACGATCCGTCGACTGTCTTTGAAGAACGCGACTGCCGTCACTGCCATGGTGTGGACTCGCATCGTTTGTGTCAGCGCCGGCTGGGTTATTTGTGCCGGCATCGAGCGCCTTTTCACAGTAAGATATGCTTGTTTTCCTACATTGAGCAATCCTGACATGTGGCTAGACAGGAAGATGGACGTCAGTAACGTTTGAAGTTGACGAGTGTGCCCTGTGCTGCCGTCATCAATCTGGTGTGTCGTCAGTAGAGCTTGGTTTTGTCCATAACCCAATTTATGTAGGCTCTTTATATATCCTTGGCTCATCTCGCGTTGCTACAGCACGGATCTGATTTCGTTCGCTGCATCCAGTGCTTGTACTGGATCAAGTATCTTCTGCGTGTCGACGTTCCAGATACTGATGCCATCAGCTGCACTGCCTGCAACTCCCCTGTCATGTGGTGACACAGCAACTGGAGCCACGATCCCGAATGGCCTTCCTACTAATGGTCCTTTCTCTACGTCCCGAATACGCGCATTGTAGTCTGGACAAGTGACAACACATCGACATTGACTACTGGCATCATCCTCGTGTGCCCTGGCATCGTCGGTGTTTGTGTTGTCTGGTCCGGTGTCTTGAATTCTGTCACAGCAATATATGCTGTTCTTGCTCCATTAAGTACACTCATCAACATATCATGCTGGCCTACTAGACAGGGTGTGGTCAATAGGATTTGAAGTTGACGAGGAGAGTACTCTATAGTTATGTCGTCAATCTTATGTGTCCTGAGTTATATTCTTCTTATAATCCAATTGTTACCCGACTGGTGCAGCTTATCTGGGGTTCTTGATGGCTCTCACCCTCTCTTGTCACACTGCCACAGGCTGGCGTGGCGTTGCTTCTTGGCATCAACCCAACGCCCGTTATACATAACTTATGTGCACAGAAAACCCGCTCCAATGAATATCCGTCTGGTACTCTCGCGGTTAATTCTCTAGATAAGTCTATTTTACTGTACTTTCATTATCCCGCGTGTATAGCACACATCGCGAGATCTACAGGGCCCAGAACGATCTCTAGGGGCCTTTTGTATTAAAATATTGATGGGACACCACACCCAGGGCACACGGCAACTAATGCATTTTACTCTATGGCATGTTACTGGTTCACGCTCTGGACCTCATGTGCAATTTTTAGTTTTCTTTCGTTGGTGATTGTGTTCCCCCAGATTGTCGTCAACACTGGTTTCCTTTCCCCGCTCGTGAGGACGAGAGCCGTGTTAGTCTCCCAGCAACGCATTCGATGCAAACGCGCCTTCAACAGTCAAATATTCGAGAATATCTAAGAATGAAACTCTGTGGTGACCGCCATATACAGGCCTCGTTTTCAGATTGGCACTGGCACTGGTATCGAGGAATATAAAAGGAACGACTGACTTCCCTGTACATGGTTTGACTGCGGGCGACGAGTGTTAAAGTGGATGCAAGCACAGAGTCACCTCTCACCCACCTAGGCTTGACGAATCTACCGGCTACGATTCGTGACGTACATGTCTGCACGGGTGAGTTAGATGACCTGTGCTTTCAGCTTGACATTGGTTAAATTGACGTTGCATTCACTGTAAACTGCAAAAGGACTTGAACTTGAGTGCTCTTACTCTTGCCAAGGATGGGGAGTTGCCGTATCACCCGCAGGACTTCTACGACCTCCTAGTACTTGAGCACGGACAGTCGAACACCAGGTATTAGTACTTGAAAACCCCTGTGATAAATGAAACCTTGCGGTGTCCGCCATATATATGCCTCATTTACATATTAGCACTCATACTGGTATTGACTCGGAAGCGGATGTATGTAAGCACTGGTAGACATACCTGTGAGACATTCATTCGGAATCGACAAGTGAACATGCTTGCACAAGTGACTCAGTGGATGAGCCGCTGTACCGTACTCCATCTTGCCGATGTTGCACTGAGGTTTAGTTGATAATGCGTTGAGGTGCAGAAGGATTTGAAAAATGTTAGAAGGTACCGCAAGTCGACTCGCACTCAAACAGACACCAAACTCGTGTAGATGACTTTGCTCGAGTAGACAACGAGTGACATGCGAGTACTACACCACGAAAGTATCCCAACTGAAAGGATCAGGTCGCACGTTCGTGATTATTTAGTACTCAGTGTCCAGCGAACGTTAACGCTTTGAGATGAGTAGACAAAACTATAACGAATCGGATGGTCGAGGTATACGCCTTACACAACGTTCATGCAGTATTTTGTAGGACAATTTAGATATTCACGATAGTTCAATGGGCGCAGATTCTCACGCCTCTAGTTGTCATGAACGGCGAGGAGATGGTCATGGTCATGACTGATCCGCAACCTGCGGCCCCGCCATCGGATTCGATACGAATAACAAGGCAGGGCAAAATCAGATGCTGGGTCAAGCACGGATTGGACTTTTTCCAGGTTGGTTCTGTGGCTCTTCCGTTGACTGTTCATCTAACAGAACATGGGTTCAGGAAAATCCTGACAAGCCATTGACGCTGCACACTTCCCCGGCCGATGTTGCACAATCTACCATCCCTCGGTTGATTTCAGTCGTGGAGATCCTGAAGCGTGAATATTTGAAAACCTTGGATGTGTCGGCAGGACAGCTGACAGGGCTGCATCAGTACAATGCACTACAATGGGAGCAACGTGGCGAGATCGCTGCAGAAGGGGAAGATCGAACGAGTACCATAGCAAGAGCTTTGGAAGGTAAAAAACAGTGCGTATTTTGCGTATGGATGATGGCACTCAGGCTGATAAAAAGATAGCCCTACGCTCACGCTTGCGCCCTATATGAAAGTCACGCTGTGCAGGAAGGCTCTTGCAGGAATGCATGACATGACGTGAGTAACGGTTATGCGCAGATTTTTGTTCGACCTGACAAGCTTGCAGATACCAGACACCACAAATACGACGACTGTCCAAGACTACAAAGGCAAGGATAAAGAAAAAAGCAAAGCAGCATGTGCCTTAGTTATTATTATTATTTTCCTATAAATCTGTGTCCAAATATTATTATCAGAAGTAAAATTCCCAGGGGGTTTCCGATTCGTTGATTCGTCCAAGTTGAGAACTCAAGTTTACTATTATTCGTCCAACTTGGACTCCTCAGGCTGCGTTGTTCTGCTAAACGTCGTGCTCATCGTCAGTAACGGCGACGGAAATCACCAACAACTAATTTCAGCCTGAACTTGGTTCTAAGCATCCTTCCAATAATCGCCGGACAGGTTGTGCATTGAACATCGCCTGAACTGCCGAAGGATCTCCGACCTTTTTATAAAGCCCTAACTCAGCTGCGCGCATGCCTCGCCGCACTTCTGCTCGCCTTACATCCTCTGTCACTCCACAAGCACCTTCAGTCTCTTTTCAACTTCCTGCCTCCGATGCAGATCCCAATATCCTTCAACTCAGGCGACACTGGAAATGGGCTGCTTTCAGCCAGTTCTTCTTCACATTTAATACTCTCTTTGCCATGAGTGACGTGACCTTGATCGTGAGTACCGATTCTCTCTGCCTCTGGAACACCATCTTATCTTTCAAACTATCACAGGACATCGAAAATGACCTCGCATACTCTACCAACCGCGTTTTGTCTCGCATCATGACAAGATTGCTCGTCACGTTAACGCAGGACAGAAAAATATCGTAAGCTTCCCTCCATCGTATGCTGTGGTCTAAATCCTTTTATCTGACGAATGTCGATTCATCAGCGCTGATAACTGGCAAACTGCTTTACGAAAGCAATATATGAGACGGGACCCAGATGTAAATCCCATAGGACCAATTCAGCAAATATACACCAATGTCGCAGAGTCCTCGCGCGCATCCACAGTTCCCCCATACCCATCTGAAACCGGAGAACAGTTGGCCCAAGAGCAAGCAAATAAAAGCATGGTGCACGAAGACGGAGCGTCTGCTGACGGCGATGCTGTCCCAGACGATTCAGCGGATGCGGTCGAGGTCAAGTCAGAGGAAACTAAGATCGATGAATCGAAGGATGAAGTCGCTGGGTCTTCCTCAGAGGCCTTACAGGACTCCGAGCAGCTACACCAGCAGATTGATTGGCTCGACCTTCCTACAGTGAAGAAACTGGAGTCCTTACACACTCTTATGGAATGGCAATTCCATAACCCTAATCGTCTACGTACTCAGATGAAAGACGACGACGAGAATGCCGAATGGGTAATACCATGCCCGCTTCATTCTCCAACTTACTGACCAGTCTTTATAGCATATAGAGCCAATAGGATATGACGCCAAGAGTAATGCTTACTGGCTCATAGGTGGTGTGTGCCATTTTTTCATCTCGTTGCCCAGCCTTAACCTAGGTTTAGCCGACCGTTTGTGGATTCAACGTGAACCTCCACGTCAGACACTCAAACGCAAGCGGCACACAAACCCCAACGCATCGAAATCCAGTGGCAAAAAGTCTTTCAACAAACGCCAGCGAGTCGACCCAGAACCAGAGCCCACACCTCCACCCACAACACCTGCCAGAGCATCCCGTCGGCGCAATCAAGCACAAGCCCAAAACTCGAGCCCACCCGGTTCGCGCGGTACTCGCGCCGCTAAATCACGTGCGAATCAGAAGCTTGATGCTCAGGCCAAGGACCTCGCTGAATTCCAGCGCCAGATGGCTCGGAGCAAGTCTACTAGTGCCAGACCTCTGACTCCACGCCGGCCTTCCGGGATCCGCGTGAGTGCGCGGCTGCGCGGAAACTTGGCAGACGACGAGTGGCAAGAGGTGCCAGACGAATGGCTTTCTCCTAGCGTGCATGATGGAACGGAGGGAGAGGAGAAGACGCCACCCAAAGCTAAGGCGAGGCTGAAAACGGGGCTTGAGAGTGATGATGACTCGGTCAGCGATCTCACGGAGCTTAGCGAAGACGATGACACAAATGAGGGGGACGCCCAAGAAGAAGCCGATGCAGAAGAGGATGAAGAACCAGACGTTAAAGATGAAGAATCTGAAGCGGAATCCGTACCGGTTCCCGATAAACCAAATGGCAAGATTGATGTTGATGAAGAAGACAACGAGCTTCCATCTCTTCCCGAAGGTTTTATCGAATGGGAGACGGTGAGTTATTTATGAGCAATTAGTTAAATCAATTCATATCCCCTCCTTCATCGTGAACAGATCTGTATCACTCTCGAAGAGTGGGAGCACTTCCCCGAGCAATTTGAGAAAGCCACACACTATGCTGAGAAGTCGCTGTATAAGGTATTGACACAAACCATCGTCCCGGTAATAACCGCCGAGCTGAGGGTATGCATCCCGCTCCATTTGACCTTGGGAAGCATCGATGCTAATGTAATTTTAGGAGGTGGAGAAGAAGAAGCGCAAAGAAGAAGCGGTCGTACATCGCAAGCGCTCATCTCGTATTGCTATCAAGGAAAGTGAGAAGGAGCAAGAATTACTTGCTGCTAAGAAGCGCGCAGAGGAAGATGAGAAGATGAGTCGAGCTCGGAGGGCTGAAACGCGTCGACAGAAAGAGGAAGCGGACAGAATTAAGAGGGAGAATGCTAGAGAACAACGCAGAAAGGAGCGAGAAGCCAAACAAGCTGGAGAGCTTGAAGCTGACACCAGGTATGAATACTTTGTGCATACCCTGTATATTCTAAACGCCTCGCTAGCGCCAACGCGCCTATCAATGTCGTGAGCCAAGAACCTTCCTCGTCTGCCATACCGCATGGTCAGATGGGCAAGTTTCCAATATTGTCTGTTCCTGTTCCCGTGAATGGATCAGGCGCTGCTAGCAGTGGATCGCGGACACCAGCCGAAGACTGGGAGCTGGATTGCGAAGTCTGCGGTAGACAAGGGATCAACCGGGTTTGTCTCTTTTTCATCTCGCATTCTGGCCGCTTCACATTTTGTGATAATTGTAGGATGACGGCGTTCCCATCATGTGCTGTGGTCGATGTTTGAAGTGGCAGCATATTGGGTGCCATGATCAACGAGACGTCACTGCAGGTCGCCCGAAACGTAACTGGGATGCCGAGGACTTCATCTGCAGAAAATGTCGCTTGTCGGGTTCTAGGGCTTCTTCGTTTAGCAGTAGCCAATTGCCAACACCAACCGATCTGAAAGCGGTGTACGGTTCAGTCGGAACGCAGCCCTACTATAGCAACCAGCAGAATTACTCCCATGACCGCTATCCCAACGGAAGCTACTACACTGCCGGCGCGACAAGTGGGAGATACAGCTACGAACACCAATCTGACATAAGGTCATCTGGCATGGCTTCTCAGTCTTATACTCAAGCTCCCCGTACTCCTGGCGTCACTTTTGCTCACTATCAGCCGCAGCAAGGAGGATTTTCGACATCACGTCCATCTTACTCCATTCAAGAGCCTGTTCCCATAACCCAGCAGACTCGTTATCCGCAGCCTACATCTCCAGTCACTGGAGTGAGTCAATACCCCGGGTCCTTCCAGGTGACTTGAATATCTTCAGTCCCAAAAACCATATTCTAACTCATTTTAAGACCCATCCATCCCCCCACATCCAGGTGCAGCCCCAACACCGGTGGCAACCCTCTAGCTATTCACGGAGTGATGCGTCTTACAGCATGAACGCGGTTGTCCCGCCTTCTTCATACACCTCACAACAGCAACCCTACTATCCTGGATCCTCTTCAAGCCCCTCGGTTCCCTTCTCTCAGATGCATGGTACGAACCATCAATCCGTGCCCCAATATTCCGGATACCAACACACCGCTCCTTACCAACAAAGTAGATAAGTTCACATACGTACGCTAGTTTTTCGCAGGGAACACTTTGATTTATCAAGATATTCGTAAGTGAGGTCCATAGTTAGTGGAGGAGGAGAATGTAGAGTACTGAAACGTGTTGTAATGAATGTGCTTGGTTGGGCTGGAATGTATCATGATAAATCTCACTGTCCATGAGTGCGTTCACTCCGCAAGGTCAGGTTATCATAAGATTTACGATTTCTCCCCTTGAGTCATCCCAAACTAGGCTGTCAAATGTGTTAGCGCCTACCGTCGTTCATTTTCTCAGCCTCAAGTCATCAAATCACGCTATAAGCTAGGCTCGTGACCAGCCTGGCGTATACTACCACAGATAGGCTCGAGTGGTGTAGCCAGGCTGGTCGATCTCGGAGTGGTGTGGCAGGGCCGGGCGAGGAGTTTGAAATTTGATAGGTGCCGGTCGTGCCGGAGGTAGTTACTACGATCATATAGCATAAATTATGCGTCTGCTCTCGCTCAGATCTCAGACTGTACGCTATGTTAAGTTTCAACCATGAGTTCTGTACGACCTTTATCGCTTGTGCCTTTGACCTGTGTTGCACTTATCAACACAACTGACTCGATACAAGTTTAGGCTGCACCAAGAGACCCGCTCGACGAATGTGAAACGGTAGGTTTGCTTTAGTTGCTCTATCTGTGATCTTATTTTTCCTGCAGAGGAAGACGATCGCGACCATCATCCTCAGAGAACTCTTTAGAAGATCAGTCCATTACCACAACCACTGCTTGAAGCTATGGTTCCACCTCATCGCGTGCATCCAGGCTTACTGAGAGTTATGATATGAGCTGGATGTCCCAGCCCATATCCAAACTTGCAGTGTATGGACCCTAGTACTTCTTAGCTGACTACCGCGACAGGAATAGCAGTCCCAACCATCAGCTCAGTATGGTCTGTCACCAAGGCTGTTGGCCGAATACAAGAAGAGGGACCATTTCACCATCTCAACATCGAGCCGTCCTCCATGAACCAGACTAACACTTACCTGGTTTCGGCGGTTACCTTCCTTCAAGTCCGAGCTCGGCATCACAGACCAGCCTGTCTTTGGACTTGTCGTTGATGGCGCACTTGGCGCAATTACTATGGCGTGGAAGACAAATAATGTACGTGCTGCCTCTGCTCACTACTTCCGAAAAAGCTCACGAGCGATGTAGCTGTGGCCCAAGTTGCCCCAACGGCAGGAAGATAAAAGATTGGCGGCAGCTGAGTCCCATCAATAATTCAACCGCAACGTCGCATGCTTGTTCCTCCGACAACGAATTTGCCGTACAAAGAATGAACGACACTCAATACTTTCTAAGTGGCCTAAACAAACTATCTCATACATACACAGGGGAGTTGCTGTAAGTATGTGCGCGATTTGTACGAGCTCGATGATTCCAAAGTACTATCTCGCCGCGACTATAAGATACTTACGAACTGATGAGCACGGATTTCAGAGACAACTTTGATTCAATCTAGTCGAGAATCCGTTTGCGAGTGCAGCATGCAGCCTCCGTCAACTCAGGACCAGAAACGTCCACCACGAAACCCACTCCATGTTCCCGAACATTTGGAAGGGATCACGACAAGCCAATATCTTAAAATTCATGGGCACTACCTCAAAGTACTTCAGTACATGTGCTTAGAAGCTCTGTGAATAGTATTGACATCATCTCTCACTATGAATAACGAGACGCTGGCGTCCGTTGACTATTTGATTCTGCTGAGACATGAGAGGTTCATCTCTAGTAGGGGTGACTGCCAGACCTTCATGACCACCTCTTCGCTCGTACATAAGACATCGTCTACTATCTCCTCGAGTCCTTCTTGAAATAATCACTATTAACAGACGTAGCTGTGGCCATGTCGAATATAGTTTCGCCAACGCCGAGGAAACGATCAGCAACTGAGCGCATGGTTGGGTCTGATATCAGACTAGTGTCAACGCTGAAGAGCGCATGAGCCGGGCGAAACCGATGTCGTTCACATTAATGTTGAATGTGGGACATGAGGCTTAAGCACTCACGCGAATCCACTCGACCGCCGGATGCCGGCGACGACAGTTGAAACTAGCACTGCGTCTACAGCATAATGCACGATTCTGCCTAGGGCCATGAAGTGATAATAATTGTGTCAAGTAAGAGGTGTGCTAGCTTGGGTAATGGTGGTTAGCGATTAAGAATTGTGTTCGCAAAAAGGAAACTCTTCGGTACAGCGCTCTCATGGTCCCGCCCAAGTCGGACAAAAATAGAACTAGAAGACAGTCTCCTTCCATATTAGTGGCCGCCTGTCGATGGGGCCAACAGGTTCATGATCCTTTCATTTGGAAGTCCTACACTCATCGTTTGGGCGCCTGAGGCTTGGCGCAGCGCAACTACAAGCATCAGATAGGCCCCACAACTCCGAGTTTAACCGGATGCTCGGGCAGCCCTACAGGGAAGCGGTTGTAATATGTCTATTTGCCCGAAATCATTGCTTGCCAATGACAAGGACTGCATGAATGCCAATTTCAGTTTGTGACGACTCGCTTGAGTGTGTGCTTGTTCGAACTCATTGAATATTTCGTTCATTAGGCTACACCTAGGACATCCGCATCAGATTTCAACTTGGAAATACTGCACATTCTGTAGCAGGAAGGTGTGCAGTGACAAAGACTAAAACATTGACACAGTTCTCGACAGTATCAGTAATTTCAACGGAATGTCGATATAAGAGAAGCAACACAACTTGGTGAGCACTGAGTATCAATTTATATCCTTCTAGGCTATAATAGCAGGGTGTAGTCATACTCTTGCTAGGGAACTTTGACAAAATAACGGTTTTGCGCCCAGACGCCATGGGGGTTACTTACTGTTTCATCGTCGACCTAGTACTCTGTCCGTGTCTGTTCGATGTGACAGACATTTATCAAAACGTTGACCGTTGCACTCTACCGGGAAAGAGCACATTTTTCATGACGCTAAACTGCGCTTGACTGGTATGCCGGGCCACTGTCAGCACTTTGTGCGATCGACCAACTATTAGTTGTTGGAACATCGATGTCGATGAGCCTGGCTTCGGTAGACTGTAATTCCGCGTGGCTCAAACTACCATGATTTATATTCACGATATGTTGCAGTCGGATTTCTTCAATAGTTATATTGATGTTTTGCTCCGCGGGAGAAATGGACAAACAGATCTATACATGTGGAATGACCTTAAGTTGCGTACCAAATTCTAAGAAATCTGTATCGTTGTCTCGACGTCTCGCACTTCAAGTCTGCACCTGAGACACGACCCATAACTAAGTACTCAGGAGTAGTTCACCTCATGCCAATCAATGCATCCAGACCGATGCGAAAATTGCTGTCCAAATCTGCAGACTGCATCCCCAACAATCCAAAGGACGTGAATTTGGTACATAAACAACCGAGGTACATTATCACTAGCCATTACCGGAGAAACACTACCTTCTTTTCCGGCCTTGATGCAACCCAGGCGGCTTCATGAATGACGCCCAACCCGACACGTTCCATCAAGCCCTCATCCTGACTTACCGCCATCACATTCAACAAGCATCCATCATAACCCATAAGGTTTTCTTCGTCGTATACGCCGCGTGAACTAGTGCGAGAAAGGACGATGAAGTCGAGAGAAGATGGCAGAGTAGGTTCTAATGGCAGGACGGCAGTGCCAACCCAAATGGGAGAAAAAGATGCAATAGAGAGAATATCGAAGAGACCGTGAGCATATGCACTTGGTTCTTCACCACCTCGCCGTGAAATGCGAAAGTGGCTGCAAGTCGTGCGGAAAACGAGAGTGCCTGGTTCTAGCGGTCGATGAATGTCTAGCGTCAGTTCCGTTGGGTCTAAGATCCCTCGCGGAGCAGAATATGCATGTTCTTCTTCATTTGCTCTCAAAACGACCCAGGAGACCTGGTGAACAGCAAGCTGCACTGTATCTCCATTGTGGTCCACAATGTACCAAGGATCAACAAGTGTCTCCTCCACTGATGGTGCACTGCCCAAATTGCCCATTCGAGTTCTCAAATACACATCCACCCCCCTGTAGATGACACCGCCACGCCACGCAGCCCATGCCCAGGAAGGCCAAGGTGGGTTGCCTCCGTCAGGAAGCAAACGACGAGTGCGAGGTGTTTGTGGATCGTGCTGCCAGAGAAGTGCGAGATGCATGTCTGGCAACATCATTGCATATTGAAAAGTTTTGTCAGGGTCACCGAGCTCAAATGCCATCGCTAAAGCGTTTGTTACTCCAGTAAAAGCATCAACAACATCCGATTCCACGGTGAGATTGCGCGGTGTATACCTATCAACAGTCACCGTGTAACTCGAAACTAAATCAAGGTATGGGAAAGGTTCTCCAAATGACGACTGGAGGAAGCTGTGGGAGAGTGGGAGACACTTGCTTTCGGCGACGATGTCTTCGCAGAAAATGTCACATTTGCACTCAAAATAGACTTGTGGCCCAGTGAAGTATATCCTTCGGCAGGAGAGCGCGCTCTCTTGATATGTCCAACAACGCGTATTCCACGTGGATTGAGCGAGAGCCTCCCCAAGCCTTGGAGGAGCGACGTAGAGATGAAGTCCTTGAACGACCTCGATGTGCTGTTGCAGTGTTCTAGTTCGTGGGCGGCATCCTGGTAGAGGGTCTCGAGCCGTCATGGCGCTAGCAGCGACTATCGTGAGGTGAGATAGGCCGTAGACCAAATCCATAGCACGTAGCTGAATGGACTTGTCAAGTAAATCGTCTTGAATGATACATAGAGCATCGATCCATAAGTAACGTTCACCGAGTTGTCGAACGAATAGAATCGAATCAGCGATGGTCTCGGGTAGGTTCAACGCGTTCAGTCCGCCAGGCGTGGAGCGTTCCGCTATGTTACCCTTCGTCGTCCAATATTCTGCACCGATGCTTCCCCAAACATAACTGAGGGTGAGATAACGACAGCCAGAAGGCGCAAGAACCACGGCCATCGAAACTACATCCACCACTCTCACAAACCCTGGCAGCTTCCTGTGCATTTTCCAAACGTTTCCGCATTTATCTCCATGGTTCTCCTGGCACAGGCTAATCCACTTCCGCATCAGATCAATATCCACGGTGTTCTTCACCCTACGGCCATGAAGGTCGGCTGGTCTTCCGAATTTGAAAGCATCTTCTTGCAAGAGGTGAATGATTAACGGACTTCCTTCTCCTAAAGCTAAATATTTCTTCCAAAGGCCTCCTGTGTCCTTCGTCTTGACGACATGCAAGCGGTGGCAACGGAATTCAGGCTGATAAAAGGGCTTCCGAATACACCCACAATTCTTCGAGTACACCCCAAGCCCAAGCCCCGAGAGATCGACGTGAGGAACCTCATCCAACTTCCATGTTCGACGGACATGAAAGGATATGAGGCGGCAGAAACTGCATTGGTAAGATTTCTCCAAGATGGACGATAGCGAACCAAGCGGGATCTCCTCCTTTGGTAGGATACCATCGAGGAAGATCTTGTGAAAATCTAGATTTGTACAGACGTGACATAGGAGCGTGGACGTGACGGTGAGATCCCTCTATTCGTGCTCTTCAATCACGTTGCGCCGGGTAAGTGGGCATGCTCACCTGACCATGGGTTGGTGGTTGATCTGGATTTAGGAGAGGGGCGGATTCAGAGGATGCGATGTTTGTTTTGAGTTTGCATATGCGGATGACCGATAGCCAAAACACCCAAACCACAAGAGCGGCTCCTCCAATAATTCCAACAAAGGCCCAACTATGATCTGAGACCTGACGGAGAGTCTCAGGAGCATCAGTGAGTTGTGCTGTAAGCTCCTCATGGATGACTTGAATACGTGGTAAAAATGGCGGAAAACATCATAGAGGCATGATACCCACCTGGAGGAATCATAATGATGAGTCGCGAGGTTCACCGAGAGGACTTTGGTTTGACTCTAGGTAGGCAAGAGATGCGCGACGGAAATTGGTATGACAGGCTGTGTTTTATTGGCAGTGGGAAACGTACCTTTATGTACATCGCCGCCGTAGATAAACCTGTCCAAAGATAAAGTGATACAGCTAGCGCACCTCTGCCTTGAATCATAGAATCACAAATGGAGCAGTGGGTGATGGTGTTCTTATAATACACAGGCCGTTCAAAAATAGCAGAAAGGTCTTTCTCCATACGTAGCGCTCGATGGAGGCGGTCAGATGAGGGTTGCATATTACAAGCGTTGATTAGCTTTTTTTTACTGCGTTTTCGGTGCTGTGATGCTGGAGAATGCCACTAGAATTTGGGATGAGACATTAGAAGCTGGAATATACTGCCCTGCGGCCCCTGCCTAAGGCTCAGACTGCAAATATTGGACTGAGATCGAAATTAGTTCCAGATTGGAAATATGGTAGCTGTAGGCTTTGGACACGACCTTACACACCGTCCATGTCTCCTGCGAAGTGCCCGGTTATACTTGGGCTTGAGGAACAGGTAAAGTCAAGTCTATGCATTCCCTAGAACAACAATAGCTCATGGATTTAAGGTAGTCTATGAATCATGTAGCCATAATGATATGCGAAAACAACACCCGAAACAAGCAAGAATCCATCAGTGCTTGTCCTTGAACATTTTCTGGATAGCTTCACTCGAGTACGATTTCGGACGTTCCAAAGCTATAACATACATTCAGTATCCCATCAGTCCAGATTAGATGAATCGACACTCACGAGCACCAAGGGCACGATCCCAGATCAACTGAGCAGCCACCCCAAACGCACGGGAAACACCAAACAGCACGGTATAGAACTGCATTTGATGGAGCCCATAATGGGTCAGCAGCACACCGGAATGGGCGTCCACATTCGGCCACGGGTTCTTTGCCTTACCCGCCTCCAACAAAATACTAGGGACGATATCGTAAATCTGACCAACGAGTTTGAAGAGAGGGTCATTGGGAAGGTTCTTGAGGGCGAACTCGCGCTGGGCGGTGTAGCGGGGATCAGTCTTGCGGAGGACAGCGTGACCGTAGCCGGGGACGACTTGGCCACCTTTGAGGGTGGACCAGACGTAAGATTTGACGGCGTCGTCTGTGGCATTTTCGCCGATTTGAGATTGCATTTTGCGGAGCCAGAGGAGGACTTCTTGGTTGGCAAGGCCGTGGAGGGGGCCTGCGAGACCGTTGAGGGAGGCGCCGAATGCGAGGAAGGGGTCGGAGAGGGCGGAGCCGACGAGTTTACCGGTGTGAGCGGAAACATTGCCGCCTTCGTGGTCGCTTGGGTGGTGTTAGTTTGTGTTGATTAGTATAAACGAATGAAGACATACGTGTGGATGGTGATGTAGAGACGAAGGAGCTCGACGAAAGCCTCGTTGTCACCGAAACCGAGAAGGGTTGCGAGGTTAGCGGAGTAATCTTTGCTGTTGTCGATGGCAGGGAGTTTTCCATCACCAAATACGTTGCGGTATATGCGACCTGCAATGTTGGGGAGTTTGGCAATGCTAAGGGGGAGGTGAGGATTGGCTGACTGAACGGAGGATGGATACTGACAGATCCATGGAGTCCTCAAATGTGTAACCCCAGTATTCCTTCTTAGAGACACCGTCTTGGTATGCCTTGGCAAAGGCAGAGTCATGGTTGAGTGCGGTGACTGCCATGGAGAACTGGCTCATGGGATGGAGGGTGGGAGGGCAACGGTCGATAATCTCCTTGACGAAATCAGGTATCTCAGCGCGAGCAGCCCAGTCACGGCTAAGCTCTGCAACCTGTTCCTTGGATGGAATTTCACCGGTGAGGAGAAGCCAGAAGAGACCTTCTGGAAGGGGTTCCGAGCCACCTGGTGCTGCAGGTAGAAGGCTCTTGCACTCGTCGATGGACTTTCCACGGAAACGGATACCATCCTCTAGACAGGCGTGAGATGGGAAATGATGAGAAAGACAAGATGACGAACCTGGGTCGAGTACGGAGCCATCCCAGATGAGGGCCGGGAGACCACGCATACCACCATAGAGTTGGTCGACTGTCACGGGACCGAAAGCCTTTTTACCATGTTCTGCTCGTATTGCTTTTACCTGGGAAGGAATAAGCGTGACAAGGGTGAAATAATAGAACACAAACCTTTTCTATTTCTGTAGGGATGAGCTCGGCAAGACGTTCTTTGAGAGTAAGGTGTCTTGAAGCTGTTGTTGAAGAGAGTCGAATTGAGGTACGTGCAAGTAGTGGAGAGCGTGACTAGAAAGAAGGATTAGTGTTAGCTTTTACAGGGTGAAAGTTGACCTACGACATTGAAGACATTACGGAGAGCAGCGACCATGATGGAGAGTGGAGAGAAGAAATTGAAAGCCGGGGTGAAATTGAAATTGAAATTTAAGAGGGAGAATATCGGAAAACATCGGACCACGGGAAAAATGTCAACAGTGGGTCGACGCGGGAGCAACGCGGGCGAGAACCGAACCGTGACCGAGGAAAATGCCAAAGCGAAAGAGAACGGCGTCGACGGCGGCAGCGGCGGCAACGATGAGCAACGCAACTTCAGTGCTCCCACAAGTCAGTCCAGTCAGATCTAATAAATAAAAGACTAATCTTTGAACAGAAAAAACATTACAGACAACGAGCGCATGCGAATCCATTCTCTGACCATTCACTCGTGTATCCATCATCACCTGATTCAATCGATTGGTCAATTCATTATCCAGCCTTTGGAAACCAGAGACCATCCTTTGCAGATATTGGATGTGGATTTGGTGGTCTGTTAATCACACTAGCACCTCAATTCCCTGACACTCTCATCGTCGGTCAGTCAATCAGTCTTATGTAAACCCCTTTCTTATATCCGCAGGTCTTGAAATTCGTGTTCAAGTAACACAGTATGTCCAAGATCGTATCACCGCACTCCGCGCAACCTCAGACAATTATCAAAATGTATCAGTCATCCGCGCCAACGCCATGAAATTCCTTCCAAACTTCTTTCAAAAAGCTTCCCTCACCGCTCTCTTCTTCCTCTTCCCCGATCCCCACTTCAAAATACGCAAACACAAGGCACGCATCATATCACCCACCCTTCTTGCAGAATACGCGTACGTCCTCGCACCAGGTGGAATCGTCTACACCATCACCGATGTCGAGGATCTTGCACAGTGGATGCGCGCTCATCTAGATGCTCATCCACTCTTTCAGTTTGTTGAGGAACAAGAACTAAGGAATGAGGGAAAAGGTCCCATCTTGGATGCAGTGTATAGTTCAACGGAAGAAGGGAAAAAGGTAGAACGCAATGCTGGCCAGAAGTGGCTCGCATGCTTCAGACGCATTGAGGTCAAAAGAATAAATACGTAGTATATAAGATAAGATAACAAATGTACAATTTTTGCACGAGACTTGAAAACAGGCTCTTCGAGCTTGACTGTCGTGATTCTCAGTTTTGTATTGTCTTTCTGTCTTTCTTGCAGAACACGCGCCTTGTCACGCCAGGTCGTTCAAAGCTCAACGACAAAGCATCCTGGCAGTCGTGCATGAGAATTACTCCAGCATTAAATCATATGCGTCAAAGAAGCGCACCAAGGATTGTTCCTATGTCTCTTGTAAATCTACTCCAGAACTGATAGGTGAGATTTTGACAGTTAGCAGCTGGCAGCCCTGATCTCTTAGGTCAGATGGGTGGTATGAGAGTGATACCCGCAGAAAGCTTTAGCATCCAGATCGCGACTATTGTAGGAAAAAACTGATACCCGATTTTTCAGCACTGTCAGCGCCGGAGCCAGTGAAAGAAAGAACATTGTGAAATGAGTTCCCCGCGCCGGTGATGGATCATGACTATAAAGACGGCTTTTGATATTTTGCGATGTCAAATGTCCATTGTGAGACTCTTGTACCTGGAATGAAGTCATGATAGGGATTGCGTCTGGCAGGAGTGATCTACCTGAAGGACGAAGTGGTATCACTTAATAGAAAGTGAAATTTCGGGGCATCCGTCAAGCGTAATTCTTCCATTATAATTCTTAGGAATAATATAGGGGAATAATCAATGCTGTGCTGAAGCCCGGACAGAATGAAGGAATTAAATATGACAGGCGTTTATAGACAGATGCTGATTCGGATAAGGAGGAGCACGATTAGATGCACGCTGGAGCAACGTGGTGTGGAGCAAACGATATATAAAGAGCCTATATCAACTGGGTTGTGGGCAGAACTTCAGATCTACTCACGACACATAAGATCGACGACTTAACCACAAAGTACGCTCCTCATCAACTTCAAACGCTACTGACCGTCCATTTCCCTGTTCAGGGATATGTCAAGATTTCGCCGCGGCGATGGATCAAAAGAAGCGTCTCTTATTGTGAGAAGGCGCTCGACGCCGGCGCAGACAACCCAACTGGTGCCAACACACACGATACGGGTGCACACAAAGACAGTGCGGGCAGTCGCATTCTTCAAAGATGGTCGATGGATCGTCACTGCTTCGAAGGATAGAACCCTGCGAATCTGGAACGTGGAGAAAAGAGCATGTGTGGGAGGGCCATTCGAGGGCCATAGTGACGTCGTGACGTCAGTTACCGTATCTCCAGACGATAGACGAATTGCGAGTGGTGGAGATGATGGAGCCATCATCATCTGGAATGTCCAGAGCAACCAGATGCTTTTCAAACCGCTGGAGAAGCATATGCGCCGGGTGTCCTCGGTGTGTTTCTCCCCCGATGGCAAGAGACTTGCGAGCGGGTCATGGGATGAAACAGTTATCATATGGGATACGGAGACCGGCGCGGTCCTCTCAACCCTCGAGTGTTGGAGTTCGGTGTCGTGTGTCGCCTTCAGCCCGGACGGGCTAAGATTAGCATACGGATTATATCGCAATATTCGGATTTGGAGCCCCGCCGATAACGCAGAGGTTCAGTTCGACATCAAAGCTCATGACAACGATTGGGTTTATAACAGCATTCAAGTTGTGTGGTCGCCTGACGGCCAGCAGCTTGTCTCTGCATCAAATGACGAAACAATCAAGTTTTGGGACTCCTCAAATGGGTCACAGATCGGTCAACCTTGCACTGGTCACACTTCCTCCATTAGGTCACTTGCCATTTCTTCTGATGGTGTCTTCAATGCAACTGCCTCGGACGACTATACTGTGCGCCTGTGGGACATAAAGTCACACAAACAGATAGCACAACCACTCAAACACACTGCACGTGTTTTCTGCGTTGCAATTTCTCCCAGTGGAGAACTGCTCGTGAGTGGAGACGATGATGGGAATGTTCATCTATGGTCGATCGGGAACATACTTTCTGCAGCATTCGGGACGGGCTCCTCATACCTTGCGCATCGCAGTAAGGTGAAGTTGGGCCAAAAGCTTTATGCAGAGGCTCTTTCGGATGCGGAAAAGGTGCGGACGATATTCGTCGTTGTTTTCACATTTGTGATGATGTTCGTAGATCATCGAGCTCGACCCTTCGTCTTACCTCGGGTACGAGTTGAAGCATGCAGCACTTCATGGATTACAACGCTATGATGATGCATTCAAGGCCTTCACAATCATGCTCTCCAAGTTGGATGATACACTCGACCCACAAATACGACGTAAGCCTCAGACAACTCAAACGCTGACCTAAAGACGACTTACAATTTTTGCAGAGCTACGCCAGCAATATGTCAATCCATCTGAAGTAAAAGATGCTATCCGACGAGCCATTCATGCTCAACTGGAAAATGCCCCCCTTCGTCTAATCAACACCTCTACTGGACGTTTGTGCGATCGAGATGCACAGATAAACGCATTCACGGAGAGTACAGAGCACAAAGAGCTTTTGCATTCATTGATGATGCATGCGCCCGACCAAACGGAGTCTATCAAAGAAGCGGTCGCGAAGTACTTCAGCTGGGTCATGTTGTCCCATAGGTGGGAAAGGAATGAGCCGCTACTGCACGACATTCAGGGCAGGGACATATATGACTTGGATCCGGTTGGAACCGTGGTGAAGTTACAGAAGTTCTGCGAAGTCGCTCGTGATGCGGGGCATCGTTGGGCGTGGAGTGATACGTGCTGCATCAACCAGAACAACAATGTGGAGGTCCAGCAATCAGTGAACTCCATGTTCGTCTGGTATCACTACTCAGCGCTCACCATCGTCTACCTATCGGACGTGCCTCCTTCGTCAGAGTCTGGGGCGCTCGCAAGCAGCATTTGGAACACGCGAGGATGGACCGTTCAGGAGTTCCTCGCTCCTAAAGTTGTTCTCTTCTACCAAGCAGATTGGACCCCATATCTCGACGACCGCTCACGCAACCACAAGGAGTCTGTCGGCATCATGCAGGAGTTGGAAGATGCAACAGGCATAAATTCGTCGGCGCTTGTTGACTTTCATCCGGGTACAAGAGATGCCCGAGAGAAACTCCGATGGGCATCAACGCGTGTAACTACTTTGCAGGAAGATATCGCGTATTCACTGTTTTGGATCTTCGGCGTCCACCTCCCTGTAATCTACGGAGAAAAAAGACAGAACGCGCTCGGACGACTTTTACAGGAGATCATAGCCCATTCGGGCGACATCACGGCCCTGGACTGGGTGGGACAATCGTCCAACTTCAACAGTTGCCTGCCAGCCGATATTTCCTCATACAAGACTCCGTCGTGTGCACTGCCATCTCTATCTGAACGCGACATGCAGAATTCGGTCTCCTCATTACGAAATAATATTTTCGCTGTGGAATCGGCTTCGAAACTGTATACCCTCCTTGAGAACCTCAGCGTTCCTCGTTTCGCAAACGCCAGACTGCAATTGCCTTGCATCGCATTTCCTCTCACAGAAGTCAGGCGGAGGCCTGGTCGAGACGGGGATACATGTTTCATTTATGACGTCAAGGCAGACGGGCTACAAGACCTGCTGGTCATAACGGAAGACAAGCTTGTTCAATTCTCGCCTGCAAGGCGTACTCGGCGGACATTCCTGCTCGTCCGTCCGTGGAATCGGCATGATCTCGGGCTGATTAACTTCGCAGACGAGACGCAGAGCGTAGAAGATTGGCCTGAGCCTGGGTCCCCTGGATACAACGAGTCCACTATGCGAGAGTTGAGGTTGATCGTTCGGCTCGGACAGCCTTTTGGCGGACTTTTGCTAGCGCAGCAGTGGGGTGGGGAGTATAAGAGAATTGCTTCGGATAACAATATCATCGCGCAAGTTAAGGACACGGCATCTGTTGACGACATGATGGATATCAGAATGATGGAGATATTATAGCTGCGAAGAACGGGACATTTTCTTTCATACTTTGACAGCACACCTGTATCGTATCATGCATTGTCTCGTATTACAGACAACATAATCCTCAAATCAGATGTCCTACGAAGAGGACAGCTCCGGCGCAAGCGCTCACAGGTTGGTGTCCTTCTCGTGCATTGATTGCTGTAACTGAAGCGCACCTGCGATGCATCGCCTCTTGTAGTACTGCGTACTAATGCATACGCTATGCGGATCATCACTTCCACGCGAAAAGCATCACTGCGGACAGTAGTACTTACGGTGTAATGCAACAGATACAATTAGCTACTATCGGTCTGCCGTGACATCCATGACATACCCAGAATGATCCTGAATAATGTGCCTGGAATGAGGCTGCTACTAGTTTTCCACATAAGTGTGCCTGACGCTTTGCGTTTGCCCCTGATGTTCCACGGTGGTTGGTATAGCGTCATCTCGCCGTTCATCTCAGCACGCTGCTTGCTTCCCACCTGAGAACTTGACGAATCTTGTGTCCTCCAATTCACCCCAGAGTAGGTCGGTCATTGAGCAAATATCTTTGGGTGGTGTGTCACAATATGAGGCTGTAGCGCACAACAAGACATAACTCTTCTCCGCAGACAGGTTGTCATTCTCATTGACAGCAAGACATCGCTGCCATTGACTGGTACAGCTCTTAGTGCTGGGCTTGCGAGGGATTATGACATTGGTCCTTGAGGGTGCAGTGAATCATATGTATTGTTTTTAGGGATGGTCGTGGACGGTGGCATATGTGCAGACACTGGCATGACAAAACATCGACAAGATTCAGGTTTTTTCGAATACAGATATCATATATATGCGCGAAAGACACATACCGGCGCCCTACACATAACAAAAGATGTGTGATCCTTACCGCTGAAGTATCTTGTGCCCACGAAATCCGCAGGGTGAGTTTTAGGCAGACTCAGATAGTATGGTGTGATGACGGAGAGTACTAGTAGGCGTGTAGTAAGATGAGTTCAAGAGCGAGGCTGACCTAGGCCTAGCAAGAAAACGAAGTAAATTCAGTCTAACGGAGCTCGGGAGTTTTATCACATAGTCATCCGCGATGACTAATATTCCTCGCTTCCTTACCGATCGATCCCCGCTTCAAAACAGGCAAAAACACAAGGCACGCTTGCACAGTGGATGCGCACTCATCTAGATGCTCATCCACTCTTTCAGTTTGTTGAGGAACGAGAACTAAGGAAAGAGGGAAAAGGTCTCATCTTGGATGCAGTGTATAGCTCAACGGAAGAAGGAAAAAAGGTCGAACACAATGCTGGTCAGAAATGGCTCGTGTGCTTCAGATGCGTCGAGATCAAAAGAATCCTGTATAAGATAAGATAACCAATGTACAACTTTTTGCGTGAGACTTTTGAAGCAGGTTCTTTCTTGACATTAATATTGACCAACCATGGTGCGCCCACTTTACTCAATATTCCCAACATAACTCTTCCACATATTCACATCCAGTCATCCCGCATCGAACTACTCAATGCTGGTCTTCTTCGCAGCGACGGTCGCAGACCTTATGAACTACGAACACTAGCTATCAACTTCGCGCCACAAGGAACAGCAGACGGCAGCGTCACCTACTCACACGGCCTCACTCAAGTACGCGTCTCAGTACTTGGTCCACACGAACCAAAACAAGGAACAAGACGCGAAACATTCCACGATCGCGCAACACTAAACGTCGAAGTACAACTCGCCCCTTTTGGCGTCGGTGAACGAAGAAGAAGAGGCAGATCCGACAAGTAAATCTCATTAATACCCACTTTATTATGTGCACCGTTAATACCACTCAGGCGTCTCCTTGAACTCGCAGCATCAATCAAAAGCACATTCGAACCAGTCGTCCAAACCCATCTCTATCCACGCAGCACAATCGACATCTTCGTACACGTCCTCCAGCTCGATGGCGGCCTCCTCCCCGCTTGCATAAATGCCTCCACCCTCGCTCTAGCAACAGCAGGTATCCCCCTCTTCGACTTTGTCTGCGCTATCAGCGGTGGCGTGTACGGCACCCAACCCTTGCTCGATCTAACCACAGTCGAAGAAAACGACGTCCCCAGCGTCGTGGTGGGCGTGATGCCTCGTACCGGACGCGTCACGCTTGTCCAGATGGAGACCAGGTTGCATATGGATCGCTTTGAGGAGGTATTTAGAGTTGCTTGTGATGCGGGCAAGGTGTTGTGGAGTGAGATGAGGGATGCGCTCAGGGAACGGACAGGTGATTTGGTGGATAAACTTGAGGCCGGGCCCGGAATGGTTGTAGCGAAGGAGACTGAGGAGACATATGATTGATGCCTGCCAACTGTAGCTAGCGGCTTCGGTTAAACCGTTTTGTACCAAGACTCTTGATCGGTAATCGGTGCCGGTAATTTGAAGTGACACCAAGCTCTTTTACACCACCTATCATCATCATCATGAGCGCTAGCGTCCAGTCTGAATTCAAGGTCGTATCGATCCTTGATACTGACTTGTACAAGGCATGTATCGCAGTAGCGCCATCATGGTCACCTCTTCTGACGCAGTTGTGCAGTTCACGATGCAACAGGCTATCTTCGAATACTATCCCACTACGCAAGTCGTCTATCGATTCACGCACCGCGACAAGCACCGCCAGTTCTCCAGAGCATGCATACAGAAATTTCGTGAAGCGCTGAACGGTTTGTTTCTCTGACTATTCAATTTTGTGTACTGAATTAATACATGCAGGTTTCGCCGATGTACAACTAACACAAGACGAACGCGCCTGGCTCCAAGATAAATGCAAGTTTTTCAAGCCTGCGTACCTCGATTATCTCCAGTCTTACAGGTTCAAACCTGAACAAGTGATTACATGCCCGTCAAGCTCCTTCCTTGCATTCCATTGACGCGCACCGGTAGATCTCGGCCACTTTCCTCCCGTCTTCCGATGACCCCGATATGGGCAGCGTCAAGATCGAAGCGAGGGGCCTGTGGCTGGAGACCGTTTTATGGGAGGTCCCGCTCATGGCGTGTCTGTGCGAGATGTATTTCCGGTATGCAGAACAAGATTGGGATTATACCGGCCAGGAAGGTGAGTCAATCCCCTTGTTCATTTTTCATTCTTTCGTGCTACTGAGTACGTGCACGGGCCAGAACAAGCCACGCATAAAGCTACATCCCTTTTAGACGCACGATGTACGTTCAGCGAATTCGGGACGCGGCGCAGGCGGTCGTTCGTCACGCATGATTTAGTGGTGAGAGGCCTTATCAAGGCGAGGGATGCGCATGAGTGGAAGCAGGGATTTTTTGGAACTAGTAATGTATGCTATTCTTCATATCGGTGGTCTCCTTTTGGGGTTTTTTTTTGACGCAGATGCGTAGGTCTACTTCGCTATGCGATACAACCTCAATGCGATAGGCACGATCGCTCAGTATGTAGCTGTTCTTTTTTTGTTCATTCTCTGACTTTTGACTTGTGAATTTCAGCGAGTGGTTCATGGGTGCAAGTTCCACTCTCTTGATGATAAAATCTCCTCTGATCAAAAATATACTTAGGTTGCGGCGCTGGGAGATTACAAAGACGCTGCTGGGACAGCTCTAGACCTCTGGTCCAACCTCTACGGAGACAGTCTTTCAGTCACGCTCACAGATACATTCTCCACCGAAGTGTTTTATCGGGTACGCATGTCCATTTTGTCACTGCGCAGCGCCTCTGATTTTATTTTATTTATAGGAATTTGATCATAGGCGCGCTAGCCAATGGAAAGCCCTGCGTCAAGACTCGGGAGACCCAAAAGTATTCGCACCGAGGGCTAAGCGGATGTACGAAGAGCTCGGGATGGACCACACACAAAAAGCCATCATCTTCAGCGACGGGTTGGATTTCAAGAAGGCGAAGGAGTTGAATGAGCAGTGTCAGCTGCTGGGATTCAAGTGTGCGTCGTCGCCTTATCTATGGCTGCTCATGGTCTAACCGCACGTGCAGGTTCGTTTGGTATTGGAACTTGGCTGACCAACGACTTCAAGACGAAGAGCAGTGGGTACGAGGAACGGAGCAAGGCGCTGAATATCGTGATTAAGCTTGGGTCGATTGATGGGAAGGAATGTGTGAAGATTAGTGATGAGCTTACAAAGGTGGGATATGTCGTGATTCTCGGTTTTGTCTCGTCATTGATTGACTTTTTTCTTTCAGAATACGGGAGTTCCGGAAGTTGTGGCAAAGGTTAAAGAGATGTACCAGATATCGGTCTCGTAGACCCAGTGTATACCAGTAGCTGTGTGAGTGATGGCACTTTTGTGAATGAGAATTTGGATTGACGATGGGATGGCGTTGTCTTGTCACTCCAGGGCGTTCAAAGGCCAGCAACGAATTGTCCAGGTGGTCGTGTATTAGACTAGAATGACTGTAGCGTTAAATTATACGTGCCAAAGCCACGTAACGAGCCCTGATCATCAGTTCAGATAGGTAGCATCAGAGAGGTGCTTTCGGACAGCCACAGCATTCAGATCGCTGCCGTCATAAAAAAGCTCATACCCGATTATCGGCGCGGCGCGGCTGCGGCGCCAGAACCGGTGAAAGAACGACCATTGCGAGGCGAGGTTCTCACACCAGTGCTAGAAAATTATGCGATTATATTTATAAAGACAGCTTTTGAGAAGTTACGATGCTTGATATATGATACATAGCCTGACGCATCGCTCTCGTCTATAGCATCTTCGACTACCTGTGTAGTTCCAGATGTCCATGGTGTGATGTGCCCGGAAAGTAGAACAACGTTCTAACTTCTGAATGCTGCAGGAAGTCATCCACTAATGGAAGGAGCGGAATGAGATCCGCGTTGAAGCAACGTGGTATAGAGCAAACGATATATAAAGCCTTCAAGAGCCTAAATGAATTGGGTTATAGAAATCCAGCTCTACTCGCGACACATCAGATAGACGACTTAACCACAGAGTACACTCCTCGTCTTCAAACGCTACTGGCTGTCTATCTCCCTGTATAGCGATATGGAGTGGTTGCGCGATGTAGCAGAAAAAGCGTATCCTGCTGTGAGAAGGCGAGGGACGCCGGCGCAGACAACCCAGTTACCAACACACACGATGCGCGTGCACACAAAGGCAGTGACGGCAGTCGCATTCTTCAAAGACGGTCGACGGATCGTCACTGCTTCAAAGGATAAAACCCTGCGAATCTGGGACGTGGAGAAAGGAGCATTCGTGGGAGAGCCATTCGAGGGACACAGCCGCGAGGTGGTTTCAGTTGCTGTATCGCCAGACGATAGGCGAACTGCGAGTGGCGGATGGGATAGAGCTATCATCATCTGGGACGTTGAGAGCAAGCAAATGCTATTCAAACCGCTGGTGCAGCATAGAGGTCGAGTGTTCTCGGTGTGCTTTTCCCCCGATGGAAAGAGAGTTGCAAGCGGTTCATGGGATAGCACAGTTATTATATGGGATGCAGAGACTGGCGCTATCCTCTCAACACTCAAGGGTGACCTGGATTGGGTGTCCTCTGTCGCCTTCAGCCCAGATGGGCTAAAATTAGCACACGGAACATGGCGCAACATTCGGGTTTGGAGCACGAATAATGGCAAGCTTCTTCTCAGGATCAACGCCCACCAAGATTTTGTTCAGTGCGTTGTGTGGTCGCCTGATGGCCAGCAACTTGTCTCTGCATCATATGACAAAACACTCAAGTTTTGGGACTCCTCAAATGGGTCACAGATTGGTCAACCTTGCATTCAAAGTCACGCTTCCTACATTAACTCGCTCGTCATCTCCTCTGATGGCTCCTTCATTGCAAGCGCCTCGCGCGATAAGATCGTGCGCCTGTGGAACACAAACTCACACCAGCAGATAGGACAGGCGCTCGAACACACCGCACATATTTCCTGCGTTGCAATTTCTCTCAGAGGAGAACTGCTCGTGAGCGGAGATGATGATGGGAATGTTCATCTCTGGCCGATCGAGAACACACTTTCTGCAGTATTCGGCATGGATTCCTCATACTTTACGCATCGCAGGAAGCTGGAGTTGGACGAAAAACATCATGAAGCCCTTTTGGACGCGGACAAGGTGCGGACAGTATCCGTCGGCTTAACATTTGTGATAATGTTCGTAGGTCATCGAGCTCGACCCTTCGTCTTATCAGGGGTACGAATTGAAGCATGCAGCGCTTCGTGGAGCACAACGTTATGATGATGCTCTCGAGGCCTTCACAATCATGCTCTCCAAGTTGGATGATGCACCCGACCCACAAATACGACGTAAGCCTCAGACAACTCAAGCGCCGAACTTGAAGACGACTTACAATCTTTGCAGAGCTACGCCAGCAATATGTTAGTCCATCTGAAGTAAAAGATGCTATCCGACGAGCCATTCATGCTCAACTGGAAAACGCCCCCCTTCGTCTAATCAACACCTCTACTGGACGTTTGTGCGATCGAGATGCGCAGATCAATGCATTCACGGAGAGTACAGAGTACAAAGAGCTTTTACATTCATTCGGCATGCTTGCGCCCCTCCAGACGGAGCCCATCAAAGAAGTGGTTGCAAAGTACTTCAGTTGGGTCATGTTGTCCCATAGGTGGGAAAGGAATGAGCCGCTACTACACGACATTCAGGACAAGGTCATATACAACTTGGATCCGGTTGGAACCATGGTGAAGTTGCAGAAGTTCTGCAAAGTCGCTCGCCATAAGGGGCATCTTTGGGCGTGGAGCGACACGTGCTGCATCGACCAGAACAACAATGTGGAGGTCCAGCAATCAGTGAATTCCATGTTCGTCTGGTATCACTACTCAGCGCTCACCATCGTCTACCTATCGGACGTGCCTTCTTCATCAAAGTCTGGGGCGCTCGCAAGCAGCACTTGGAACACGCGAGGATGGACCGTTCAGGAGTTCCTCGCTCCTAAAGTTGTTCTCTTCTACCAAGCAGATTGGACCCTATATCTACATAACCGCTCACGCAACCACAAGGAGTCTGTCAGCATCATGAGGGAGTTAGAGCGTTCAACTGGTATAAATGCGCGGGCGCTCATTGATTTCCATCCGGGTACAAGTGATGCCCGAGAGAAACTCCGATGGGCGTCAAACCGTGACACTACGAGGGAGGAAGACATCGCCTACTCTTTGTTCGGCATTTTTGATGTCAATCTTCCTGTCATCTATGGAGAGAGAAGACAAAAGGCGCTCGGGCGGCTATTACAGGAAATCATAGCCCATTCGGGTGACATCACAGCCCTGGACTGGGTGGGACAATCGTCTCAGTTCAACAGTTGTCTCCCAGCCAAGATTTCCTCATACCAGACTCCGTCATGTACACTGCCATCTCTATCCGAAGACGAGATGCGGAATTTGATCTTCAAGTTACGAAACAATAGTATGGCTGTGCAGTCGGCTCCGAAGCTGTATGCCACTCTTCAGGAGCTCAGCGTTCCTCGTTTCGCAAACGCCAGACTGCAATTGCCTTGCATCGCATATCCTACCACAGAAGTCAGGCGGAGGCCTGGTCAAGACGGGGATACATGTTTCACTTATGACATCAAGGCAGACGGGCTACAAGACCTGCTGGTCACAACGGAAGACAGGCTAGTTGAATTCTGGCCTGCAAGGCGTACTCAGCAGACATTCCTGCTCGTCCGTCCGTGGAATCGGCATGATCTCGGGCTGATTAACTTTGCAAACGAGACGCAGAGCACAGAAGATTGGCCCGAGCCTGGGTCTTCCGGATACAATGAGCAAACTACGCGAGAGTTGAGGCTGATCGTTCGGCTCGGACAGCCTTTTGGCGGACTTTTGCTAGCGCAGCAGTGGGGTGGGGAGTATAAGAGAATTGCTTCGGATAACAATATCATCGCGCAAGTTAAGGACATGGCATCTGTTGACGACATGATGGACGTCAGGATGCTGGAGATATTGTAGCTGCGATGAACGGGACGTTTTCATTCCATACCTCGACAACCCCTCTACATACATCCCTTAGAATTTTGCATCGTATCGATATCGTGTTGTGTATTGTTCCAAGTGAATCCCCAAATTAGACGACGATCCTACATAGGGAAGAGGACAACTTAGAAAGCTCCGGTGCTGGCATTTCCTCTCATTCAGATTGGTCCAGTCATGGCGACGCAGCTGTGCACGATTCAAGGCTATCTTCGAATACCATCTTACCGCAGAAGTGGTATATTATTCTCGATTCACGCACTCTCGTAGACCTCGTGTGAGGGACAGTACTTTCATAAATGAGACTCTCAGTTGCCTGGACGATGGTCTTACGCTGCCCTGTCACTCTAGTTCAAAGACGAAATATTCTGGTGGCCGTGTATTAGAATGACTTGAGCATTGAACTATCCTACAACCCTGAGGCCTGACCACCAATCGCATTGGAGTGTCCTGGTATCCACGTCAATGCAACGTAATATTATAGCCCATCATGATGACCTGGACCAAGGCAACATCAACGGAATACTTCTGGGCAGACATCAGATCGCGGCCCCTATAAAGAAGTCGGAACCAGGCGTGTTCCTCTTTGAAATGTATGCGATTGCCATCCACAGGATTAACTTTTGGCTTAGTATCCTGACAGGTGCCTGGAATGAATTAGCGTCTCGCAGATCCTTGGTGCCAAGCATAGCATATAGCATATAGGGGTATAATCACCTAAGAAGGTCATATTGGCACAAGCCTATGGACTCAGTATAGGCAGTGTAATTAGTGGCAATGTGATAAGTACGCCGTGAGCCAGAACGGACAAGTGCCTACATGAGTTATAAACGAGTAGAAATCCAACTCTACTCACAACACCACATAAGATCGACCACTTAACCAGGGTGTGCTCCTCGTCAACTTCAAAATTTAACCGCTACTGACAGTCTGTTTAGCGATATGGAGGGATTACTCGATGTAACAAAAAAAGCATATCTTACAGTGAGAAGGCACAGGACGCCGCCGCAGACAACAGAGCTAGCGTCAGCATACACAATGCAAGTGCACACAAAGGCAGTGACGGCAGTCGCATTCTTCAAAGACGGTCGATGGATCGTCACTGCTTCAAAGGATAAAACCCTACGAATCTGGGACATGGAGAAAAGAGCATTCATCGGAGGGCCATTCCAGGGACATAGTGACATAGTGACATCAGTTACTGTATCGCCAGACGATAGGCGAATTGCGAGTGCTGGAGGAGATGGAGCTATCATCATTTGGGACGTCGAGAGCAAGCGGATGCTATTCAAACCGCTGCTGAAGCATACACGCCAGGTGTCCTCAGTGTGCTTCTCCCCCGATGGAAAGAGGCTTGCAAGCGGGTCATGGGATGACACAGTTATTATATGGGATGCAGAGACAGGCGCTGTCCTCTCAGCACTCCGATGTAATGTGGGTATGGTGTTGTGTGTCGCTTTCAGCCCGGATGGGCTAAAATTAGCCTCCGCCGGATCTCAGGGCACCATTCGGGTTTGGCGCACCAGCAAAGATTGAGGCTCACGACGATTGGGTCGAAAGCGTTGTGTGGTCGCCTGACGACCAGCAACTTGTCTCCGCATCGGCGGACAAAACAATCAAGTTTTGGGACTCGTCAAACGGAACTCAGATCGGTCAACGCGGCCTTGCACCGGTCACACTTCTCGCATTGGGTCACTTGCCGTTTCTTTTAATGGCTCATTCATTGTCACTGCCTCGCACGATAAGAGTGTGCGCCTGTGGAGTAAAAAATCACACCAGCAGATAGGACAGGCACTCGAACATACCACATGGGTTTTCTGCGTCGCAATTTCTTCCAGCGGAGAACTACTCGCGAGTGGAGACGATGATGGGAATGTTCATCTCTGGTCTATCGAGAACACACTTTCCGCAGCATTCGAGACGGATTACTCATACCTTGCGCATCGCAGTAAGGTGAAGTTAGGCCAAAAGCTCTATGCGGAGGCCCTCTCGGATGCGGAAAAGGTGCGGACAATATTCGTCGTTGTTTCAACATCTGTGATGATGTTCGTAGGTCATCGAGCTCAACCCTTCATCCTATCTCGGGTACGAATTGAAGCATGCAGCGCTTCATGGAGCACGTCGCTATGATGATGCATTCAAGGCTTTCACAATCATGCTCTCCAAGTTGGATGATACACCAGACCCACGGATACGACGTAGGCCCACACAGCTCGAGCACCGGCTTGAAGATCACTTATATTTTTGCAGAGCTACGCCATACATACGCCAATTTATCTAAAATAGAAGATGCTATTCGACAAGCCATTCACGATCAACTGGAAAATGCCCCCCTTCGTCTAATCAACACCTCTACTGGACATTTGTGCGATCGAGATGCACAGATAAACGCATTCATGGAGAGTACAGAGCACAAAGAGCTTTTGCATTCATTGATGATGCATGCGCCCGACCAAACGGAGTCCATCAAAGAAGCGGTCGCGAAGTACTTCAGCTGGGTCATGTTGTCCCATAGGTGGGAAAGGAAGGAGCCGCTACTGCACGACATTCAGGGCAACGACGTATACAATTTGAATCCGGTCGGAACCATTGTGAAGTTGCAGAAGTTCTGCAAAGTTGCACACAATGCGGGGCATCGTTGGGCGTGGAGCGACACGTGCTGCATCGACCAGAACAACAATGTTGAGCTCCAGCAATCAGTCAACTCCATGTTCGTCTGGTATCACTACTCAGCGCTCACCATCGTCTACCTATCGGATGTTCCTCCTTCATCAAAGTTGGGCGCGCTCGCAAACAGCACTTGGAACACGCGAGGATGGACCGTTCAGGAGTTCCTCGCTCCTAAAATTGTTCTCTTCTACCAAGCAGATTGGACCTTATATCTGGATTACCGCTCACGCAACCACAAGGAATCTGTCAGCATCATGCAGGAGTTGGAAAATGCAACAGGCATAAATGCGTGGGCACTCGTTGACTTCCATCCAGGGACAAGAGATGCCCGAGAGAAACTCCGATGGGCGTCAAACCGAAACACCACCAGGGAGGAAGACATCGCCTACTCTTTGTTCGGCATTTTTGATGTCAACCTTCCTGTCATCTACGGAGAGAAAAGACAAAAGGCACTTGGACGACTGCTGCAGGAGATCATAGCCCATTCGGGCGATATCACGGCCTTAGACTGGGTGGGACAATCGTCCAACTTCAACAGTTGTCTTCCTGCCGAGATTTCTTCATACAAGGCTCTGCCATGCACGGTACTATCTCTATCTAAACACGACATGCAGAAGTCGGTCTCCACGCTGCGAAACAATATTATGGCTGTGGCGTCAGCTTCGAAACTATATACCGTTCTTGAGAACCTCAGCGTTCCTCGTTTCGCAAACGCCAGATTGCAATTGCCTTGCATCATATTTCCTATCACAGAAGTCAGGCGGAGGCCTGGTCAAGACGGGGATACATGTTTCATTTATGACGTCAAGGCAGACGGGCTACAAGACCTGCTGGTCATAACGGAAGACAGGCTTGCTCAATTCTCGCCTGCAAAGCGTACTCGGCGGACATTCCTGCTCGTCCGTCCGTGGAATCGGTCTGATCTCGGGCTGATTAATTTTGCAGACGAGCCACAGAGCGTAGAAGATTGGCCCGAGCCTGGGTCTCCTGGCTACAACGAACCGACTACGCGAGAGTTGAGGTTGATCGTTCGGCTCGGACAGCCTTTTGGCGGACTTTTGCTAGCGCAGCAGTGGGGTGGGGAGTATAAGAGAATTGCTTCGGATAACAGAATCATCGCGCAAGTTGCGGACATAACATCTGTTGATGACATGATGAACGTCAGGATGTTGGAGATATTGTAGCTGCGATGAACGGGACATTTTCATTTCATACATTGACAACACTTCCACATGCACAGTATCCATAAAATTTTACATTGTATCGGTCTCAAACTCTAGTCTCCAAACCCGATGTCCTTTGGAAGAGGAGAAAGCTTTAGCGCAAGTTATGTGCAAATGCTTCCTAGAACTGCCAGCCTTCGTCTAGAATCGTCTAGTAATCGACTCAATTATAATTACATAGCGTACAGTGTGGAGTCCGTAGACAATTATGGCTAAGAATTCAAATGACTTCAGTTTCTTGCCAGTGACCGTAATCAGGTCGGCTCGGCTCGAACATACTGTAATAATATGGCCTTGTATAATGGCAAGCGCCTTCGAAGAGAATAGGGGCATAATTCATAATACTACACGACGAGGTTCTCCTAGTGAGGATTCAAGTGCTCCATCCGACAGCGCTTACAACCTAGTATATGCGCCTTGCCTGTGCGTGCGCTCGCTCACACATTCTAGCGAATGTAGATCAATGCTCTCACTCCCCCTTCGCAATACTTGGCCAAGAATATATGAATTTTTCACAGAATCCAAGTATAAATGTCCCCAGCCTCTTTATCCACCCGTGGATGGGATTCCGCTATCATACAAGTAGTTTGAACTTGAAACTCGCATGTTTAAATCAGCAGATATGCGAGGACTCTTACTGGGAGTCTTATCTTCTCCACTGATGGTGCGTGTCTTAGTGGTGCACGGTCGAAGCTGTGCCTGCATAGCATTTCTCACTTTTGGACGCGTCGACAACTGAAAGCCTGAAGAAATGCAGAGCCTCGAACTAGTAGAAACGAGGAAGGAAAAAGACTGAGGTAAAGGAATATTCTAGACACTGAATATTAAAGGATCGTTGAAACGGAGTGAACGTGTATGATAGGTGGATGTGTATGTAGATAGATACGCACCAAGGATGTATCGTGATAGTGGCAGGATGCAACGAAAAATTGTCCTGGTGACTGTGCATCATAATTACTATTGCATGCTAAACCATCCCAATCACGAAAACGTAACGAGGATTGCTTCTGTCTCTTGCAAGTCTACCCCAGAGTTGACAGGCAAGACATCAACGGTTAGTGGCCCACTAACTCTACCGTCGCTAGTCTCGTACGTCTGACCTCCCCAGGTCAGATTACTGGTGTCGGAGGCATAGCTACAGATAGCTTTAGCATCCAGGCCGCAACGATGATGAAATCAGCTCATACCCAATTTTCAGCGTCTTCACGCTCGTATTATTAGGAGGATATCCGAGACCCGTGAAAGAGAAATCGATGTGAGTCGAATTCCTTGCACCAGCGCCGGAAAAGTACGCGACCGTGTTTATGAAGACTGCTCTTGAGAGGTTTCCATGCTCAAAAAATGCATAGCCCGATACATTATTTTCATCAATGGAGATTTCGACTGCCTGCGTGGTCCCAGATGACCCGATAGCTTCTGCGACGATGATAGCTGCGTAGTATGCTGGCTGTGCGTGCGGTGCCAACGGTGCAATCGGAAAACCGTCGAGAATCGAGTAGTTAAGCGTCACGGGTTGAATCTGCTCATAAGGGGATTGAGTAACGCTGCATTGACTCAGCTGAGTACTAACCAAATTGTACTTGTAGCCAATGCCCTCATGAAAGTGTATGCGACTAATACCAACTTGTGTGGCATACAAAGTGTAGTCAAGTAACCAGAGGGCGGCACCGGCTGTGTTGCTGACATCTGGTAAAAAGGACGATCACATATAAGTCATTGCGACCACTGTTCATGTTGTCGGTCTTACTAGGTGCACCATGGCAACTGATACCTATGAACAAGTTATCAAGTCTAGTGCTGTCTAGCAATTATCGGACAATAACTTACTGTTTGTCTCCCCGAGGATGTACTTCAGCCCGTTGGCCAAGGTCGCCTCAATATCTGGGATAAACGCGGATAAATTACCACGGATATAGCTCTTGGTCATTAAGTCCTGCAGCGCAGCTCCGCTGCCAGTACAGAATGAGCCACTATAATGGTGCTGCGAAATGCTAACCATGGGATTCAGCACGCCATCCAGATTCTGAGGTTGTGTTTGACATACGTTTCGATCAGTTGACCTGCAGGAGATTCAAGAATGCCCAGATTAAATATAGCTTGCGGAGAGAAACCGCTAAGGTTGTTGTGAGAAGACCCAGCGAAAGCGGCTCCGATTAATTTTGTGTAAGATAACTTGGAAAGGTTGGCTGTTATGGATACGTTATACGCAAATTCCTCCCACCTATATACCGGTCAGCACTAATGAGGAAGTCGTCGTCATAAACTTACTCAGAGACATATTCTTGTACATTCCAGCTGCTGTTACGGCCCTCGTTGTCGTAGTAGAGATCAGCCTCGTTGCCGACTTCAATGAACTTCAGAGTAATATGTTTCTCTAGGACAGGAGGGGAAGAAAACGCGTTCATGAGCGCGACAGTTTCGAGGTAGGCTGCCGTGAGGTTGTATTCCCTCAAGTTCAAGCCCCAGTGAACTTCCGTCCCTGGAAGTAAAGCAAATTAGTCGCTTGAGAGCCTCTGGGAAGTTAGATTACCGTTGGGAAGATGAGAGATGATATCATAGAAGCCTTGCCCAACAGTGATATTAGTGGCTTCTGGGTATGGCGTGATTGTGCTCGAAGGAGGGAAAATATCTTCTTCGTACTATGCACCAGCTAAACACACGAACCAATTCACATTAAAAGAAATTTACCTCAACGTTATAGCTGAAATCAGTATGGTCCTCTGAGTCAGCACCTATTCTTACGAAGGGAGGAGTATTCGTAATTTGGATAAAGTTATCAAGGACGTTGTTGAAAAATGTATTCGGTTCTGTCGTGCCCGCCCAATCGTCCCATCTATCTTGCTCGATTGAAAGCGAAACGAGGTTCCCCTTGAGTGGTGCTGCTCCCAAGGGCGCAGTAAGAGGGATTGTAACCTCTATTGCCGAGACGATTGGAACGACGAGCGTGATGAAGCCCCACATCATAAATCGCGGCATGAGGGGCGTCTTCTTGGTCCTGGTGCAAGCCTAGAGTGCGACTCCGAGATCCTCTATACTGTTGAAGGCGGGATGACGATCCGATTGGCCGTCTTATGACTGGTAAGGTGTCGTGGAATCTGTACAAAAGTGAAAGATGAATTATGCATCACGATGAGGACGCGAGCAGGGTGCCAGGCTTCGAAATCTATTGCAATTAGCGGGGATTACGAGACCACGTCATAGCTTTTGTCGGGAATTTACGAAACCCATTTCAATGCTCCATTGTTGAGACCCAGTAAGAACTGGCTGTGACGGGAAAGGCTGGGAAAGTGTATATGCAACAATATGTGAATTACCCGTTTAGTACTACAGTGTACTACCAGTACTTTCACACCACTGGTACAATGATCAACCAGTCTTTTGTACACCACTGGCCCTCTGGAGTCTGTATAATCATTATTCCTCACTCAATTCTGCGTCAATGTGCCAAAAAAATTGGCACATCATACTCTATTGTTATCACTCTGTAAGCTACACTAATTTTTGTGTTATTTCAAAGAGTGAAAAATGTAGGAAGGTGGTGATACTGTAGAGATACGCACTTACTAACAAAGAGTCTGTTTGGACAGTGAATTTTGCCAAATTTCAAAATTGAAATTTGCTTTGTCATCTTCTGTTGAAGTCTGAAGCTGAGCCGGCACAGGATACAGGCAGAAGAATATATCCTTATGGCTCATGATCCTAAAAGTCCGATACATCTTATACTGTAGTTATCCACTGTACAGGATACATCTGTTCTGTATGGTAATACATTGATCAATCACTGTAGGACAATGACTATCTAGGGCTATCTCACTGGAGTGGGGCATCTAGATCTCAGTGGCGTGCCTTAGGTGTTAGTGTTTCGAAGCTGCATTGAAAGAAAGGTAGTCAGCTTACCCATCTCAGTGTGACATGCATTTGAATGCCACTGGCACACGGTCATCACCCAAACCTTCGAGCTCGAGCATCTGTTCTAGGACCACCAAATAAAAGCGAACCTTCATGGTATAGTGTCATGAATGTGTATTGAAGATGGTTCCAATCAGTACTACAGGCAAAAACATGTGTAAATTAATGTATAATACTCATAGAATACTACTATTTGATGCGGCCTGGTTTCACGGTATTCCCTCCCATTCAGCTGCGGGAAGGTGAAGGGAGTGATGGCCTAGTGTGGAAGGTGGCGAGTGGCTGTTAGGAAGGCATAGGAAGACCTGTAATTGCAGTAATTTGGAGCATGCGGGTCATAGTGTTAGGCAGCATGTACCAGGTGAGATGGAGGTGGATGTGTCGTGATGGATCACAGGAGACAAACACGCTTGTATGCATGAAGGATGGAACTGGCACTCACTTGTGTTGACATTTGAGCGATCTGAGACAAAGAAGATCAAAGGATCCAAGAGATAAGTGCAGAGGGGAGTGAATGGTGGCTCGTGCCCATTTCATATATGTTAGACTAAACTAACCAGACTGTAGTGTACCTTTTTTTATAGGTACAAATGTTTGTTAACACAGTTCTTTCAAAGAGACTGAGATTGTACCTTGTTTTATAGTGTGTGTGCCACTCCAAAGTCTCACTAATCACTAGAGCTTGGCGGCCGACGCTCTCTCAATCGTAAACTGTGCACCCATTCTCTCATGGCTCACGATCAGTGCCACTGTTGCAATTGCGAGTTTGCCTGCGAAGTCGGCTGCTGTGATTGAGGAGGGTTCTTGATTCCAATGGATGAGAGCAGGAGGAGGAAAGTTGAAGATGAGCAGGAGAACAAGGGAGAGAGACGAGCAGGAAGAAGGAAGAAGCAAGAAGGGACAGAGGATGTGCAAGAGAAACCAGCGCTGACGAGTGACTCATCAGGATAACAGTAGTGTACAGAATTTGAGGGTGATGTGGTCAGACACAAGTGTAAGCAGCCTGAATGATGCATGAATGGAGAGCAGGAGGTGGGAGTGTAAATTCAAGTCTGTGAAAGACTTTGTGGTCAGCACGTACTAGTAAAAGACCTATAAAAGTCCAATGATGCATAAACCAAAAATGGTGTACATGATTATTGAGCTTTCTCAACAAAATTCCAAACACCCTTGCAAAACTACTGAAGAGCTCGAGGAAGCAAAACAGACAGACATACTATGTACAGTGCAAATTCATTTTACTTTGCTAGAAGG